AGAGATTTACCGACCACCGCCTGTAAATTTATGGCTGGTTCGGCCCAGTAGTCCCCGCACTGCGTGGCAGGCCAAGGGGACATTTTGTTTTCCAACGAACTTTGCCGATTGCAAGCAAATTCGGTAGTTACAACACTCCTACGGCATCATATGGCTACGTGCGGTGCCGGTGTAGGGCCGCGAGGGCAAGCGGCTTGGCGCCTCGTCAGCAGCGAGGTCGAGCACATGCATGGTCCAGTGCTGGGCAGTCGCTCGGCCTCGGCGCTGGGACGGCTGGCCAAGAGCGCCGCAATGCTGTGCTTGCAACGGCGAGCTGGACCCCGACAGACAGAGATTATCAGAGATTCCCACCAACGTCGCGCCCACCCAGGGGACGCGGCGCGATGCACTGTGGGCGGTGCACGGAGAGCCAACGGCTCCCGATCCCCGAGTCGAGCACCAGCAGCGTTTGCGGGCCCCGTGCAATTCCACTGTGCATGGATGCAGGTGTATGCAGGTGTCCTCTCGTCGTCAGGGGGCAGACCAGTGTTGCGTCGCAGCACAGCGCCCCACCATTGGCTGCGGCGCCGTAAACGACAGGGTCGAGGCGCCGACGGTCTTCGGTTGGGACGCCGGGAGCAGTTTGGTGGGCGAGCCACTGCTGTGGCACGACCTGGCCTTCGGGTGCAACGGTCTCGCGCGTGAAACGGACCCAGGCGCGCTTATAGCCACTTTCGCACGTCTGGCCAACAAGCCAGTCCGCGAGCAAGGTAAGGCTGGTCGCCTGTAAGGGGTCCATGGCTCCGCCACATCAAAGGCTTGCGCTTCACAGCCGAGGAAAAGTGGGCAAGACAACAGTAGCCTCCGAAACCGCAGCGTCTTGCTTGATAGCACCACAAGGACACGCCGAGCTGAGAGCCTCACCTGCGTTAGAGGCACGGGAGCTGGTCCACCGGGCGTCGGTGAGGATGTCACGCAGAAACCCACGCTCAAGGTCAGAGAGACGGTGCATAAAAGCATGGAGTGTCACACTCATAATCGATGCCAGGACTATCCTTGACAGCAACCAGGGTTGCAACCAAATGAGTCTGCACATCAACTGCTCGTAAGATGACGGGGTGCAACTCTGCAAGTTTTCTTGTAACTTCAACTTGGGCACATGCTTTAGCCAGTGCGTCAGCTTTTTGGTTACCACTCGTGAAAAAAACCGAGCAATAGCTGTCTCGCACACGTGAGCTGTGACTTTCTGAAAGACACACTGCCTGCTGGAATCTTGAAGCTGTTCTATTAAGCAGAACCATAAATCAGGCTTGTGAAGCGCTCCTAAATCGTTGTAATCAAAACCGTGTGCCTGCAAAGACGTGGCAATGCTCACAAAAGTTCACGGTCAGACACAAGAGGGATATCTTCAGACGTACGTGGCTTTGAGAGCTACGACTGCCGCATACAACTCGGCTCGTGTGATGTTTGGTTTTTGCTAGGCAAACGCATGGAAAAATACCCAGTTGGTCTGCAACCTGTACTGCTGCAGCTGCTGTACGTAGCGGTGTACATTGAGAAGAAAGTAGTAGTGCCGCCAACAGAAACCGGAGATGCAGGGCGCAGCCTGTCTCATAAATTTGGAAACCACATTGTCGTCCTCGCAACCACGGATTGGCCGTGTCTTTGAAAAATGGGGGCAATGCAAAAAACAGGTGTTCATGATCTCCTCGCACTCCGCATTATGGAAACAGATCGGTTCTGCAGAGTCCTGCGATGTCCTGCGGCTTGCAAGCGAGGGCCTGTAAAATGGAATTAGAATGAAGGGACCGAACGATGGCTCGCGTGCATAAAAAAAGAAATTCTATCAAAAGCGACCAAATGAGCGACGCAGGGCCACGTGAAGCTTAAAACGGGTGAGTGGGGTGGGCCTGCGTGAAAGCTAAGGTATCAGCGTCAGCCGATCGAATGCGCCGCTTCGGGCCAAAGGTGGCACAAACGATGGCCTGTTTGAGTTCCTGCAACGGTCGGTCACCCACGAAGCAAGTCTTCAGACCGTAGTTGGCAAAACTGGACGCAGCACCACAAACTAGTTGAGCCTTTTGCAAGAGGGGAAGGGGAAAACAACCGGCGCGCTTAGCAGCTTTACGCGCTTTTGAGACGTGCTCACACCGAATCTGGGTGCGACGAGGACCACGAAACACCAGTTGGCATTGGAACAAGGCGGCCACCCTCAACCTCTAACGTGGCATCATCCGCGTAGCTGCGCACAGACACAGCGGTTTCAGACGCGACGGCACGGGACCAAACCGACATGAGAAGGTTCACTCCGATGCACGCAAATGCACCCCCTCGGGAATGCCACGGTTTACATTGAACCTCCGCCCAAGGCCATGAGCTGTTTGGAAAAAAATTGCTAGCAGTCCGTATGGCACTAAGCCAAGTGTCGCTCATAGCTAATGCACTGTGAACGAGGAGATGGCGAGACTCCTCTCTTGAGTGATGTCCTGGCCGACTCGTCCGAAGCGCCTCCTCTCACCTCCCGCATGGGGTGAGCGAATTCTTAGGAGGTTGGGGGTTTGGTTGGTTCTGGACTTTTGGTTGGTTCCGGTAGCCTGCTGCACTGGGACCGCGCCCGGAGGCTTGCAAAAAGGTCCGTGAGAAAAAAAAATAAAAAAAAACGAGGAGGTTGCAAAGCACTTGGTGCGGAATCGAGTCACAATCTTAGCAAACCGCAGAGGAAAAACCCATGCGATGACTTTGTTTGATCCACGCTTGCTCAGCAGCCGAGCCGACAGCCAGGCCGAGATGATACCCGCACTCCCTCCGAGCAGCCCAGATCTCCGCCTACTCGCACAGCTGACGTGCACGCACCGAAGCCCAACCACGCTAGAGCAAAGTAGCACCCGTGATGGGCCCTTGATCTTCTTCAATAAAGTCCTTAGGGACCAGGGCAATAACCTAGAGAAGCAGATCAGGTGGCCACCGCCCTCGAAAGTCCTCGACGTCGTTTGGCATGTCAGCCAGCTTTTGGAAAAGAGAGTCAGGCCAGCTCACGAGCTCACTGACAGCCCCACCATCAGCACAACCAGACGAGGTGTCAAACATGGAGCGGATGGCATCATGCATGTGAGCGGCTGCAATCTTTGGCAGGGCAACCGGCGCAGAGACAGCATATTGACGAAAGCGGTTCTAAAAAAACACCAAAGTCGACCCGCATATGGGCAGAAAACAGGCTGCCAGCTGGACCAAAGGACATGCTCAACGTCAGTGGGCTCAAACGACACCGAGTCAGAGCCAGGAAGCTTGACCAAAACCAGCCCAAGAGACAACGTGACGCTTTTGTTTGGGATCCCGCCACCGGGCCCGACAGGTCCCACGCTACGAGGAAAAGCGACAGCGAGTCTCGGCCGCATGCTGCCGATTCACAGCACCGGAGACGAAGTCCACAGCAAGACGAAGGTTTTGGGTAAGGTAAGGGAGCCTGAGTGGCAAACCAGCCGCTCCACACTTCAACGGGGACGTACTTCACGCAGTGCCGACAAAGGTGCTGCCAGAGAGCACGCAGCTCCCTTTCAGCCTCAACAGATGCAGTGGCGGCAGCCACCTGAAGCCGAAGCTTAGCGTCAAGGGACCGGAGAGAACGCTGGCGAGCCGCATTCACCAAAGTAGCAGGTTAAGCAACGCCGTCCCGAACACGAAGCGGAGCCATGTGCACCCGTCTCGGACGACCACGCACAAGGCGAATGCGAAGCAGACGCTTTGCCAGTGACAAGCAGAGGCCACGTATAGACTCAACAGCACCCGTGTTTCGAGCACGCTGCCAGGCAGGCGCAACTTCACACCACAGTTTTTGCGCATGCCCATCACAAGCAGCTTCGCCGAAAAACCCGAGCAGTGGCCGAGGCATAGGTCTGGCGGATAGGCGTCGGGTGTTTGACAACGTAGCCAGCGGAGCAACCTGCAAGGAAGCAACCACAGGCTTGTGCACCGGAAGACCAGACGGCGGGTAGCTGACATCACACAGAGCGGGAGCCAGACGCGGGCTGAGAAAGAGCACATCCACCCGAGTGCCAGCACTTTTCTTAGCTTGCGCAAGATACGTGGGAGGCGGGGCGGTGCCAGCGGCACGTGCATAAGTCCAAGCAGCATCAGGCCACCCTTGCAACTGAAGCTGAGCCACCTGTGCTCCCAGTGCCCCTGCCGCCGTCCACAGTTCTGCCTAGGCCGCGCGGGTTCTCCGATGGAGTGGCTTCCTTTCCATTGCGGCGCAGTGCGTGCGCCCGCGACACCACACGTGGTTGGCAGGGAGTTGACGAGTTCTTTGGAGGCTATCCTTCGCCCCGCCGCCTCGCTGGACTCGCAGGCATGGCCCCGTCACCGCACGGACATGCACGGACGTTCACGGCCATGCACACCTTTCCCGAACTGAAGCTGGAACTTGCACACCGGTTTTTCTGCCATTCATTGCTGCACACTGTCGCTGCAAACGTCGCCAGGGCTCATGTAGCGGATCACCTCGCTGGCCCTCGTTTCGGTGTCCTTTGAGCTACTGCCCATTCAAGCTGCCGTGGAACTGGTGGTACTGTTGCAAGAAACGTTTTGGTGCGGGACCTCAATGTCGCCCCCTCCCGAAAAGATGACCGCCACATCGAAGTCATCGCCAGCGGCTATCAACGGCTTGCCGCTGTTGATGGCGCGCCCCAAGCACTGCACGAGATCTCGGTGGCTAGGGACGCTTCAGCCCCGGCCTGTGTTTAGAGCCTCCGTTGGCTTGCCACTGTAGGCCGCAGTTTGCCCCGGCGGACTCCTTCTGGCATGCAATCGCAAAAGGGTGCGGAACAAATAATATTAACAAGTTGTCGTCATCGAAGAAATGCTAAGATGCTGTCGAGCCTTTGATATGAACGGAACAAAAGGGCACTGGGTTTGATCAAGCTGCACAGGGGACAAAGTTTTTGTCCAGCAGGTGGCTCAGAAGATAAGGAAATCATGCAACATAACTTGTCTGATTTGCACTGCGTAGCTGCATAGGGCTTGAAATGTCGGTGGATGCCGTGGTTCAGCTTGCCAAGGACGGCGCTTACGACGGTGATGCGGTCCAGCAGCTCAGGGCTCTAAACAGCGAGGCTTTGGAAGAGCTGTTGCGGGAACTTTGGGAACCAGCGCTTGCCGGCAGTGGGGGTGCCTGGGCTGTTCAAGCCGCTTGGCTCGGGTCTCCAGGACGCCTTTCCGAGCTGGCCACTTCAGGTTCCCATGCCGTTGGCGTGCGGGCCTTGACCGCGTTATTGAAAACCGATCCTGCAAGACTTCTCAGCCTTTGTGGCCTTTCCCGGGACGGCGGTGCTGCTGAAAGAAGCTGCCTCAGTGCGGCACGTCGGCGTGTGGCGCTGCGTGCTCTGGGCCGATTGAGTCACACTAGTTTGGAAGTCTTCGTCACTCCAAAGCTTCTCAACAGGCTTGTTTCAGTTCCCTGTGACTGCCCTTCGGCTGCCCGGCTCCTGAAAGGAGCAAGCGCTGAGATTGTTGAAGGTTGGTGGCCCAAGTTGGCTTTGCCCTGTAGCACGGCCGTGTCCATAGCAGCGCGGCTGCCGCAGCTGACCCTACAGTTGCTCGTTGATGCCCCGCAGCGGTGGCAGGAGCATGAGCTCCACAAGGCACGCGGTTCATCCATCATCGCGATTAAAGCCTCCAAGATGCAGAGCCCTGTTGAACACAAACCGTGTGGGCCCATCACATTGTCGTCGTCAATCTAAAGCTCAAGCTTGAATACCTATGAATCCCCTCAATCGCCTTCAGGTGGTCTCGGCTTGTGCGGCTTCCGCACCAGCGACTCTCGGGTTTTTGGCACGGTATGCCGAGCAGGCGGCCGTCAAGAAGGCCCAGTGGGGATGCAGGGATTGTGCTATGATTTTTTTGACACATCGAAGCTTCTTAATCATTAAGTAGGCTTGGAAATAAACGCTGTTCCGTTTCTTTACCCACACAGCCCTCAACCCCTAAGTCCGAGCCGGAGGGCCAAGACGTCAAGCGTCGCACAGGCAGCACCGCCGAAGCTGTTCTTGTGGATCTTGCAGGGCCTTTCCAGGAAGGCACCCCAGGCCGCTGAGCTGCGCTCTGTACATTCTCAAGACAACTTACGTGCTTTCAGGCTTCAGGCAGTCCCCAAGCCCTTTCTAACAGCTTTCTGAGCTTTTTTGGTTCCTCGGCTTTACTTCATTTATGTCCATTTACAAGGAGGGGTTGGCAGCGGTGGCTCGGCTGCCCGATCTTGGCCGTGCAGACCTGGCGCAATGGGGTGCCGTTTTGCGTGCGTGTGCTCGCACCTTTCGCGCAGTGAAGGTTAGGCACCCCAGGCACCCGAAGCCCCGATCTTCCCAGTTCAGGGTCAGGGACAGGGCAGCTGGACAAGGGTCTGGAATCGCTTCAGTGAGTAATTAACAGAGAGCAAAGTGGGAGCAAGATGTTTCAAACAGATCAGTAGTGCCTCAGGCTGCGGATACTAAAGCCCTGCATCAACATACCTGGTCGACGCTGCTTTACCTGTTGGCTCGTTTTTGCCGGCACATGTGTAGCTGTGTGGGGGCCGCTTATTTTTGAATTTACTCAAGAACGATGGCTCGTCCTAAGTGTTGCAGTGCTGGCCGGCAGCATACGGACTCATCTGAACCAGCTGAACTACCTGCTCATGTCCAAGCAAGCTTGGGTTGTTCAGTTGCTGCTGCTGCTTCATGAGTTGAGGGAGACACATACACAAGGGCATTGCTTTAGGAAGTCATTGAACCTGAGGCTGACAGTCGTACCACCAAGTTGGTCGCATAGAAGCTCTTGATGTCGTGTCGGCTTTTGGCAGCCCCCAACACCAACATTCCTCTAGCCTGTGCTCCGAAAAGGGCTACGTGGGAGTGCCCAGACATCCAAGGGCGAGGAGATTCGTGGCCACTCGCTTTGGAGGTCGCGCTCAAGCTAGTCTCCATGGATTCGGTATCTCTGCCTGCGTTTTTGTGGTACAGCCCCAAAAACACTCAAAAAACCACGAAGATGAACGAAAGCCTAGGATTTGGATCCCGCTCCTCTCTTCCGCGCGCTGAAGCCAGAAAGGCCTTTCTCGAAGGAGCAGTTGCGCGGGTGAGCCTTCAGGTACCCCAATGCCATGACGGCATCGCCCACTTCAAGCCTTGAGTCAATCAAGAACGCTGCTGAAGAAACTTTCCTTCAAAGCCGTAGCAGAGCATCAGCCACTCACTGAAGCAGGCCACTTCTGCGAACTTGTGCGGCACGACATGACATGCTAACTTGCTCATCTTTCCGTCCACAGCATGTGCAGAGACTGCGACAAGAGTCCCACCAACCCATGTCCACAAGACAGGGGTCGATGAGACCCAACTCTTAGATTTAGACCCGCATTGCCCCAGCAAAAGCAAAAACCCTCAAAGCAGGAGCAGCTGGGAGCCCTCTTCACCCGGCTGGGCCTCCAGCATCTCGGGGGCTGCCTGAAGGATCTCCGGCTTTGGCACCTTGGCGTTACTGTATGGCTTCGAGGACCTAGAGTCTTAGAGTGCTTTGAGGTGTTGGGGTCTTGGCAACTTCGGGTTGAGGGGAATTTTGGCTAAGCTGCGGGTCCGAAGCCCCAGGATATTCTAGGGTTGAGGATTCGGAGTTGAACGGTCGTAGGGTGGCTGGGAGGTTCAGCACCATGCCGGAAGGCAGGCCACTGGAGTGTTGGTTTGCCAGATTTCGGGACCCCAAATCTCAAACTTCAGATGCTAAGCTTAAGATTCGATAGCTTAAGGCTTGTAAAGCTCGGGCAAACATAAGCAAAGAGCAGTCGCCCCGTGGACAAGACAATGCCTTTCTAGTCCTTGGCCCTTTAGACCATAGATGCAAGGAACGAGGACCGTGACCTCGAGGAGGCGCTGTCAGCGCTGGTCGAGACCATGCCTCACCCGGAAGCGGCCTCCATCAAAGACCTCGCCCAGTGGACCCCGCAAGCCAGGCCTTCTGGTTTTGTTGAAGACTAAGTCTCGAAGCATCTGAACCCGAAACCTCTTCTTTGCTTTGGGGACCGTCGGCTTGGAAGATGGCTTTCTGCAGGAGGCTGTTGACGCAGAAGCTCGCGCAAAAGAAGCCTCCGGAAGTTGCAGGAGGGCCTCCGGACAGCAATTTTCTGGAGGCTTTGGGCTGGCAGCCATATGCAGATGTCGAAGCGGAGATCAAGAAGCGCTGCAGCAGCTCCAACGCGAGTGCACGGCAAGCAGGGCTTTGCTGCCTGATCCTCTGTGCAGGCAGACATGGGCCTGAGGCAGTGACAGACGCCTTGAGGTTCTTCGAATTCCGCCTCCGGAACGAACAAGACAATGTGCGGGCAGGCGTCCTTCGGCAGATGGCTGAAGCACCGGTGCTTGTCTGGCAGGATGTGCACATCCCTTCACTGAGGCAGTTGCTCACGTCATCCGTGCAGGCCAAAGGCACCAGTTCGGAGTCTCTCTCGGTCTGGCAGCTGCTGGTGGAGGCCCTCTTGGCCAACGGTGCGGCCTTGCGCACTGAACTCGGCCTGGGCGCATGTGGAACCTTTGCACTGGAAGTGAAGTCGCAGTTGACTGCCGCCTTGTCTTGGAACGTGAGCGATGCGGGATTTGCATCCGATGTCCTCTATCAAACAGCGCGATTAGAGCCGCAGCTGGCCTTTGTTGCTTTTCCGTGGCTCGTGGATTTCCTGCGGCCCGGCATTCGGACGTTGCTGGACTATCGGAGGGTCGATGAGGCGGACCGGAGCCATTCTCATCTTCGACCTGACCTTGAACCCCACTGGTAAAATCTGGTAAACTCCAAAGCGCACCCCTAAATTCTAAACCCGCGAACCTCGCTTCGCCTACGTAGGCCTGCGCGCTGCTAGTTCAATGGGAAGGCCAGCGCCTCGAACTCCTTCAAAAAATGCCTCGTGGCGGCCGCCCCACGGTGCCCGACATCACCCACGCCTGTGCCAGGGCACAAAGCAAGTAAGCTCTGATTCTGGCTTACGGGCTGAGGGCCTGGCCATCAGCCATAAGTGTGCGTTCTGGATTTCAGTGCTTAAACCGGATGGGTTGCACAAAAGCCATCAAATGACGAACGAACCGCAGCAAGCCCGTGCAAGTCCCAAACCCTCCGAGTGTCAACCCCAGTTGTCGGCTTGAGGTGCAGCCTTTGCCGTGCTGCTGCGCGAGACGTTCGAGACTGCCCTGCAGGCCCGATGAGGGAAGGAGGTCCTGCGTGCTTTCGAGGCAGGGTATAGAGAAGGTTGAAAGGAAGGGGTGTTCTTGATGCATTGAGATTCGGTGGTGAGCAGGCTTTCCGGGTTGTGTGGCCTGGGTTAAGCCTGTCAGCTTGCGACTTGAGGCTTCAGAAGCTCAGGGCCGGTAATCAGAAGCTCAGCCCCAACCAGGGAGTCCACAGCATCGACTTCTCGGGCGAGGCCTGGCGAGGCCAGGCCGCGCTTCGGTCTGTGCTCCTGGGCTTGGGTTCTGGGGGGGTTCTGCCCTAAGGCTTAGGGCTTTTGGAATGGCCGAGGCTTCTGCCGCCCAGACACCACCCGAAGAACTCCGAGGGCCTCAAGTGGGCACAGGAGCCCTTGAAAGCGTGGAGTGCCCCAAGGGCTTGGGGCTTGGGGGCACGGCCACACTTGAGTGGTGTGGAATTTGTAAAGCTTTGTGCAGAAGGAGCAGACGGTGCGATGCCTGTGCCAACTCTGCAGCTCCTGGTGGCAGACCTTCTTCGGCCGCATGGGCTCGGAGCTTCCCTGGCACACGGCGCTGGCAGTGCAGTTTCTGGGCTCCCCAGAAGCTCGGCACCTGCAGCGGCGGAACCGCGCGCTCTTTGACGAGCTGGTGCAGGCACTTGGAACTGGGCATGGCATGGGGGCATGTCCTTTCTCTCACACATCTGCTCCTGACCTTTTCTTGAGGCACTTTGCAGAAATTGGGACACGCTGGCGGAGTGGCAGAAACGACAACTCGCCGGCGCGGTAGGGCAGCAATGGGGCAGCGCATGTCGATCGGCAGAGATTTTTTCGGGCCTGGCACCTTTGCTGTACCGACTCTGCGATTGGCCTGTCCCAATGGTCGTGGAGCAGCGCAGCACCACCACGCGCATAGGCGAAGTCAGATCCAATATTGCGTTGCGCAGCCGAGCACACGCGACTAGGCCGAACAGCTTGACCTGAGGGCCTTCCGAGGCATGCCAAGCCTCGCATTCGTAGCTAAACCTGAAGACTCTGCATTCATTCCGATAACTCCCATACCCATTCAGAATCTACTTGTAGTGGCACTACGTCGAGGAGGCCATGATGCACGACGACGCGGGCCGCCTGCACAACATCCCGGCGGGCGTCAAGGAGCGCCTTCACCACATCCCGTCGGGTTACACCCAGGCCAGCTTCGTCGACGACACCGCCCGCCACCGCGTCATCGCCAACGGATGGCACTGGGGGGTAGCCCGCCGCCTTCTGGCGATCATCGTGGCCTTCTCCGTCGCTTCCTCCTCGACGGCAGCACCGGTACCTGAGCCACGTCGGTCAACCCTCCAGTGGGCAGCGGAGCAGTTCGGCGGCGGACCGGTGCCGATGGAGCCACCGCCGCGACACCGACCGGACATCGACCTCCCCGACAACGACCCGGACCTTCATTGGCACCTGTCGGCGTCCCTGAGGCATTGCACGGTGACCCGGCGGCCCGATCTGGAGCCGGCCTTGGAGCGTGTACTGCTCCTCTGGCGGTCGTGGCGCCACGACCTGGCGAGGATCCGGCGGGAGGTACTACAGGACATCTCCCACCTCGTCGACGACATGGAGGACCACACGCAGCGGTGGCTGGAGCACCGGTCGACGTCGGTCAGATCGACATACTCGACACCGGGCAAGGCGAGACCGACGCAGATCCCCGTCATCCTGGAGTTGCTCCGCACCGTCGGCTACCCCGACGTCCCCGGCATGCAGGAGGACCTGACCGACGGCTTCGACATGTTGGGCGAACTCCGCCGAGGCCCGGGGTGGCGAACCAGAACCGACGAGAAGTACTCCAACCCGGCGTCGATCGAGAACTTCGCGTCGTCGAACTGGGAGTACATCAAGCGGCGGGCTTCCACAGCCACCGTCGGGGAGCACACCGACACCCTCCTCGCCGAGCTCGTGGAGGAAGTCCGTCTCGGCCGGGTGGTCGGCCCAACTCGGGCCCCCGACGGCTGGAACTTCAAGACGACGGCACTCCTCGACAGGCCGGGGGCCGACCGTCTGGTCCCGCCGCCGCCGGGCCAGGCCTTTGCCGCAGCCTCCTTCCCCGTCGTGCAGGAAGACGAACAGGGAGGAGCGAAGGTCCGTCGCGCCGAAGACTGGCGCAGGTCCGGACACAACTCCACCGTCAGGGCCCACGACGTCCCCACGCACCACTTCGTCGACGACTTCGTGGACATGGTCCGGCGAGTGGTCGACCAGGCGGGGGGGCCGGCGACACTGGCGAGGATATTCGGGCACGACCTCCTCAACGCCTACCGCCAGTGGCCGGTCAAACACCCGGCGCACTCCGGCACCTTCATCGCGGGCCCAGCCGGCGTATCTCTCTGGTTTCATATGGCGATGTGCTTCGGAGCCGCCGCGTCGGTGTGGCACTTTAACCGGACAGCCGACGCCCTCCAGGCCATACAGCGGGTGCTCCTTTGGATCCTGGCCGGCCACTTCGTCGACGACTTCAACGGCGTCGACATGGATGAGTCGGCGAACTCGGCCTTCCGGGCGATGGCCGACTTCTTCGAGCTCGTCGGGTTGCAGACGAAGCCGTCCAAGGCCCAGGCCCCGGCGACTCAGCAGACAGTCCAGGGGGTCCTGGTGTCCGTCGAGACCGACGCTGTGGTCCTGCAGCCGACCGCACGAAGCGTCAAGAAGGTCCTGACGACGATCGACGACGCACCGGCCAACGACGAGCTCACGCCGGATGTGGCGAACCGTCTGGCCGGCAAGCTCAACTTCATCACCCAGTCGACCTTCGGCGCCCTGGGGAAGGCAGCCCTTCAGCCCGTCTATTCAAGGGCACACGACGCGGCGGCCACGTCGGCCACGTCGCTGTCGACGGGCCTCCGGGCAGCCCTCACGTCTCTTCGGGCCCTGCTGGCGGACATCCGGCCAAGGAGGGTACCCATCATAGACGACGGGGCACCGGCGGCGATCATCTACGCCGATGCCTTCTACCAGCCCGGCGAGGTGAGACACAAAGCCGGGCACATACCGGCAGAAGTCGGGATCCGGCCGGGGACCCGAGGCCGGAACGGTTGGGGCTTCGTCGTCCGCATCGGCGCCCTCGTCTTCTATGACTGCGGCGTGGTGCCGGCCAAGTTCCTGGACATTTTCGCCTCCCGTCGGGCGTTCATCTACGTCCTCGAGATCGTCGCCCAGGTGCTGGCGCTGGTCACATTGTCCCGTCGGTTGCCCCAGAGGTGGCTGGCCTTCATCGACAACGTCGCCGGCCAATGGGCACTCACCAAAGGGTACGGGAAGGACCCCGCCGTCAACGGCGTCTTGGCGGCCTTTTGGTCCACGGCGGCTCTGTCGGAATGGCTCCCCGACTTCCGTCGGGTGCCGTCCAAGGCCAACGTCTCCGACGCGGTGTCGAGAGGGGACCTTCACACGGCGGAGAGCTCCGGCTGGGAGCGGGTTCACACACCCGTCGAGTCGATCCTCAAGGTGCTCTCCCGGGCCGCCGTCGACCTGGACTTCGCGGTGAATGAGCCGCCGACGAGCTACTGAATCTGGCGGTGTGAGCGGGCTAAGCCGGCGCAGAGTGGGTGAGGGGAGCGCCGGGCGGCAGCTAAAAGCGTCCCCCGGCGCCGGCTTGCCTAGTACTGGCGATTGCGACGGACCCGGCGCGAATGCGCTTCAATCCATCCAAAAGAAGGGTTTCGTCCGTCGTAGCTCTTTTGGGTACCCGTCGGGGAAAACGGTTGTCGTGTAGCACATTTATGTGCGTAGGGACAACCGTCGAATCGACGTGGATGCTGCAGCCGCTGTCTGCTCCACGTCCCCCGACGATTTTCAGATCCCACCCTCACCGCCCTTATTGGGGGAGAGAATTTTTCATTTGGAGACCTTCGGGTCGTCGCTCGCTGGCGGGCAGCGGGCCGGGGCAGCTAAAAGCGTCCCCCGGCGCCGGCTTGCCTCGTACTGGCGATTGCGACGGACCCGGCGCGAATGCGCTTCAAACCATCCAAAAAGAAAGGGTTCGTCCGTCGTAGCTCTTTTGGGTACCCGTCGGGGAAAACGGTTGTCGTAAACACGTGGGCCCTTGTTGAGGGTCTCAGGAGCTGGTGGCGTGCCAGAGATCGGGAAGGGCGTCCTTGCTCGCTCGATGGAGGCGCCAGCACGCATCGCTCCAAGCCGAGCTGCTCTGCACTTCCCAAGTGCTTCTCAGGGCCTTGAAGCTCGGCCCCATAAGTCAGCACTGAACGGAATGCTCCCACCCTGTGTAAGGCGACACTTTACATCTTCTCAGAGTGCCCCGACAGTAATCACGTGACATAGGTGATGTATAGATCTAGGGTGTGAGGTTGGGGTATTCGGGAGACTTCACCTTGGGAAGGGCATGGTGCATTAAATTGTCGTCCCTCCAAGCTTCTCAACGTGAGTGTAAAACCCGAGATCCCTTACCGGTAGGTTTCTCGTTGAGGGAGTCTCCACGTTTCTCAGATTCGGGCTTTGGGCCGCCGAGGCAGCACAAGCCCGAGGCGATTCAGTTGCTGGTCGGCTTCGAAAGCGAGAAGCTGCAACAGCTCCAGCATCTCATGGCCACCTGCAACTTGCCCCTGCACTTCTTGGCGGAGGAGTGGAAAGGCGAGTCTGCATGCATGATTATGGCGGAATTCTGCCCGTAAGATCAGAGGCGCGAGAGCTGAGCACCTGAGGTCCTCGGCAGTTTTTCTCCTGGCCTGTGGCGCTGCAGCGGTCCTTTGCCAATGTTTGGCTGCGTCTGGGGTCAAACGGGCCCCAGGTGTTCCAGGAAGCAACCGGCTGGGAAGTGAAGTTGGCGCAGTGCCGCCTGCGTCTTGCGCTGCCAGCCGTGGACTCCGAGCTGGGTGGCGTGCTGGAGGCTTGCGTGGAAACCTTGAACCGAGAAGACCCGGACTCGGACACGGCCGTTGCCATGGCCCGAGGCCGGGCCGGTTGGCTTCTGGACCGTCTGATCCCTGTCTTGGCTTGCGCCGACCGGCCCAAGGAAGTGTTTCAGCTGATCTCCAGGGAACTGGGCCAGGGCAACTCCAAGCAAGCCGCTCGCAGCTTCCAGCGCGTGCTGCGGAGGCTCGGTCCCGTTGATGCCCAGAATGCTCTGGAAGCTGCGCTCCAGAGCCGCTTGAAAGTGGCAGAGCGCGTGGCGTTGCTCAGGGATTTGAGCGAGCTCGGCCTCTTCACCGGGTCGGACGCCAACTTTGTCGCTCTGCTCGAGTCCCTCTACGAGAGCCATCGTGATGTAGGCGGGGCCGTGCTCGCTGCGCTCTGCAGAATGGGCCAGACGTCCCTGCTGACACGCGTGAGCCAAGACGACAGATCGCTGTACCAGCTGCAGGTCATGCTTGGCCAGCTTCAACGCACTTCGGACTCCTGGGGCGACGAGGTGGCGAGCGTCCTGGCGACGCTTTGCCAAAGACCTGGATTGGGAGTGCAGTCCTTGCAGGCGCTCTCGGCTTGGGCACAGTCAAAGAGAAGCCACGGTGCAGGCACCGTGGCCTTGGTCGCAAGTGCATCGTCTCAAGCCTTGGCTTCAAAAGACGAAAACTTCTGGGCGCCAGCGGCAGACTGCTTGGTCTCCCTTGCCCACCTGGATTCCAGCCCACTTACAACCATCTTCTGCCAGCTCAGTGCAGACCAGGTCGCCAATGTGCTTCATGCCTCCGCGAGGAGGCTCCGTGTCCTAACACAGCGCCTCTTGCAAGCGAAGGCCTCCTCTCTGGTTTCGGAGGCCTTAGTGCTGGCAGTTGTGTCGGCGGCTTTCCTCACGCCTTCTGCCCTGGCGTTGCGCTTTGGCTTAGAGCTTTGGGCCACGTGCCTTAACTGGGACGAGCCTGCAAAGGTTCTGGAGGCATTGCAGAGCCTCCCTTCTTTACACTCCATCCTCCTGCCTGTGCTGCTCTCAAGCTGCTCCACATCACTAGCCCAGCAGAGACCCCAAGCTTTACGTGAGACCGCTCGCGCCTTGCTGCGAACGGAAACGGAGCCGGCTCTGGTGATGCTCATGGCCGTGGTGAAGTTCCTCCTTCAATCACGGCGAACCGACCCTCAGCCTCGGACCACGCAGATCCCGGAGCAGGAGGAGGATTCATGTAATGATTCAGATGATTCAGATGAAGACGAAGAAGTCGACTCTGAACTCCCATCGTCAAGGCCACCAGAGCCGCCAAGGCCCTCAGAGACTGGCGATGCAGCTGAGTTTCTGCAGGCTCTCGAGCCCCTCTGCAGTGCTTCGGCCAGCTTGCAGCTGCTGCTCATCGACCTGCAGCTCTGAACCGCCACGAAAGGTGCGGCTAGCCGCCAGTCCGATTGGTTGCAATTCCCTTGCAGAGATCCACGGACGGGGGCACAACCGTCATCGCAGACACCTCGATCTGCAATTTCTGCAGTTCTCCCGGCGTGCCGCACATCCAGGAGCACTCCCTCAGCCTTGTGGTTCACTGGAGTAGGCAGCCTCGGTTCGTTCGGCGAACAAGCCATGAATGTACAGCTACACAGGAGGACAGCATATTCGGCATCAAAGTGCTGACCACATTTGAAGATGATGAGGCTGATGTGATGCTGATGCTGATGATGACGGCGACGACAACGACGAGATGAACTCCAGTTCACAGGACAAGATTCACCGAAAGTGGGCATAGATTCTTAAATCATGGCGCAGGGAGTAATTCCTCAACAATTCCACGACTATGTCTTGCTGCAGCTTTTGCACGTTTCTCCAAGCCACCCGGGGGCTTCCAATGGCTGCATCGCGGGTGCGAAGACCTCCCCAGCGGAGGTGCAATGTCCTTTTCAGACTCTTTCCGGTCTGAGTCTGACTTGCCAGGCTGCCCTGCCTTCAGCTAGTGCGCTTGTCCATCATTGCGGCGATAGCAGCGCCCTCAATAGCGAAACCTGTCCAGTGCTGGTTGGAGGTTTGGTTGAAAGTTATGGCTACATGGCTGGCAGCTGGTGCTTTGCAAGCTTGTTTGGCTTGAGGCATCCGGCGAGACAGTGTGGTTTGACATGCGGGCTCACTTGGCAGTGTGCCTACCTCCGCTTGCAATGTTTAGCCGTTTAGCCTCATGATGATGTCATGTTACCCATCCCTTGTTTGACACGATTTGATGGAGCAATGGCTCTTGCTGGCTCCAGTGCACCAGCTGACTCACTGAAGACTTCGTCGCGCAATCTGCGCAGATGGAACATCCAGGCTGTGAGTCAGTCCCTGGTGTCATGTCCTACTTGGGGCCTGGTGGCTGGAGCCGCACTTCTGGCAATGGGTTTGCCTGTTCTCGTGGCAAGCATGAAGAGGCAACTGTGCAGTTTTTTTTTGGGGGTGTTGCGCACTTGGGTGTTGTAGGGGAGCTGTGTGTGTTCATGCATCAAGCCAGGAGGAAGGTGCCGTCCTCGCCAAGAAGGTCTTCTGAACCTGGTGGCTTATCTGCTGCACTACGAACTGCTTCAAGCCTGACCTTTGGCAGTGCCCGCTCGCAAAGATCGTTCGTTTTCATGTTTCTGCTGTTGATGTCACTTGCCCTGGCAAATGCCGCAGCTGTCGCGCAGTCCTTTGCACAGCGGGATTACATGACAGCACTATCGCAAAGAAACGGCGATCTTTTCTTCAGCAAGCTTGGGCTCGCAATGGTTTTGCTGGCTGCAGCAATGCCCTTGCGATCACTTGCCGAATTTGCAGCAGGTGGTTTGACAATTGTTTGGCGCAATGCTCTCACTGACAGCTTGCTCCGAGAATATTTTCACCCAAAAGTTGTGTACTGGTTGCGACGCAAGGCTGAGGTACCCGATCCAGACATGAGGATTGCTGTGGAAGCGGGTCACTTTGCCGACATGCTTGTTCTCATGATGCGCGACGTTTTCGAGAATGTTCTCAAACTCTCCGGGTTTATGGGAGTTGTGTATAGCATCTCGCCTGTGCTTTGTCTGGTGATGGCCGCCTATGCTGGGGTGGGTGCACTTGCCACCGTCAAATTCTTCGGAGCCCCGTTGGTTCGACTGGATCGGACCATCAAGTCAGAGGAGGCAGCATTTCGCAAATCTATCGCCCGCTGCTTGGATCGTGCCGAGCCGCTTTGCCTGTGTCGCGGTGAGCCCTCGGAAAGCACCCAAGCTGTGAAGCAAAGCTAGCAGCTAGAGTCAGCTAGCAGCCAGAGTAACTTTTCAAGTCTGTTTTGCAAAACAGTCGTTGTGGGTTTCAACCCGATCCTGCAAGGCACTGAAGCACATGGTCGGTACAGCAGTCTGCGGCAGCAACAGTGGGCCAGGGCATTCTGGAGAACCAGCTTGGGAACCTTTCGAGAATGCTTTAGCTGGGCTGCTTACCTGCTTCCGGTTGCAATCGTGGCTCCGCTTTGGCTTCAAGATCAGGTGCCTTTTGGCACGGTTCCTCAGGCAGTTATGGCCTTTCAAGTTTCGCTTGGTGCTTTGACTGTGGTCGTCCGAAAATTCCGTTCTGTCTCTGCCTTGATTGCAGAGGGCAGCCGACTGGAAGGCCTCAGCCAAGCACTGTCGAAGGCGCTGCATTGCGCGGAGCACCCGCTACCACTACCACAGCCTGAGAAGAGCAGTGCTGAAACCATCGGAATGGACGGGGTGTCGCTCACTTTACCGGATGGATCTCTGCTTTATGATAAGCTCTCGTTTAACTTGAGGCCAGGAGAGCGTTTGGTGGTTTTCGGTCCATCCGGTGCTGGCAAAACTACTCTCGTCCGCGCGTTGGCCGGCTTGTGGGATGGAGGCATTGGGAGTATTCGGCATGCAAGCCCTGTCGTCTTTCTTCCGCAAGACCCCTACATGCCGGAAGGCACATTGCGGCGAGTGCTAACATTTCCCGCTGCTCCGAATACTTTCCTGGATGAAGACATTCTTGCAGCAGCCCGGTGCTCCTGCCTTGACGATGTCATCTCTCGGTATGGAGAGGATCTGGAAGCGTGTGCTGACTGGGAAGCTGTGCTCTCCAGGGGTGAGCGACAAAGATGTGCATTTTGTCGACTGCTCCTCGTGCAGCCGAACTTGGCTATCCTGGATGAGGCAACCTCAGCTCTGGATGAGCCAACAGAGGAAGCGCTTTATCAGCAGTTGCTGAATCTTCACGGAAGCTCGACATTGCGTGAAGCGATGAGCGTGGTTTCCATAACTCACCGACCCTCATTGCAACGGTTCCACACGCATGTGCTTCGCCTGCAGGTAGATGAATCTGGTCAACCTACATGGGCTTTTCAAGAGAACAACATCGATTTGCCGTGAGAATTCGTGGCGCTGTGCCGGTAAACTGCAGCAACCAAGCTCGGACAGGATTGTGCTGCCAAAAAACGCTCGGACAGGTGAATGCTTCGGGAGCTTTGAACCAACGGAGTAGCTACAGAGCCCCGAAGTTTCATTCTGTGGCCTTGGAGAACATGTGTCCATTCCGAGCTTTACAGTTACAAACGTGGATATTTCTGCCGTGATTCCGCATGTGGCCTGTTTGTTTTCTCGAGCATTGTGTGTGTGAAATGCTCAGCTTTTCTGCGGGGCTTTACTGTAGAACTTCTTGCGAATTGAGGGTAAAGTGGAGTGAGTCGTGTGCAAGACCCTGCAGCTGTAAATGTGTCTGGTGCAACCGAGAAAGTGTACTGGATGCTTATGGAGCGCCTTGAAGCTATCATCGTAGCAGAAGCCTTTCTGCCCAGCCCTTCGCTTGGGCAGCACCAAGCAGCACATCGACGGGTGGGGAGTACGGAAGTCGATTAGCATCTCCGCGCATCAACCCTCCTCGTTCACAGCGAACCCGCGGAATCTTACTCTCTTGCATTGGTGTCTCTTGCAGTGGTCGCAAGGTGTCTTGGCCAAGCTGGCAGCTCAACTGCAAACTGGCCTGGTGATTCTGCTTCGACGTGCTGGCCTCTCCAAGTATCTCCCTGCGGTGCAGGAATTCCACGACCTGGCTTTCGTTGCCGAAGTACCTATCCAAGAGGTGTCTGTGTCTCCAACTGGCAGAGTTGTCAACTCAAGGCGACCGGCAACTTTGGATCGTCGCGGTGCCCTCACCGCATCACTGGCCGCGTCTGGGCCTTGTCTTTCACAGTTGACCTGCAATCGTAGAGCAGCCTTTGGCGCGTGAAGACCATCAGCTTCAGCACCATCAAAACAGCTGAGGCTGAGCCTGCCACAAGCAGCAGTTGCCGAGGAGAAGGTTCGAAGCTGAACTTGTAGTTGTCAGCACAGGGTTCAGCAAGATGTTCAGCTTCCCTGCCTTTGCTAAGGTTCCTCCAGGTTCCATCCCGGCGGATCTGGTTGCAACATCTGTTGGTCAGAAGGTGCGGCAAGCGGCAAAACCGCACCCAGAGCCTATACTCGGCCAGTTGTGCTTGGCCGGAGTGCAGGTGACAACCCCAAACGGTGTTATCTACGAGCCACTCGAGCTTGGCCTGTGGCCTGGCATGCCTGGGTGTTACCTGAGTTGCCTTCACAGCTGTTTCGAGGTACATCGGAGACGGGTCCCAGGAACGGGCCGCCGCGCGGAGGAGCGAATCTTCTGCTCAGGTCGGGCTGTTTGTCGTGTTGCACTGCACATCGTTTCATTGCAGTCGCCCACCTTTGAATGGAAATACGTCAGGTATACTGCACACATTCAGGGCTTCGACGGTCCTGTCATAGATTCATCTGCATTCAGGGGCTCGTCCTGACCTTGGAGTGCAGGCGAGCCCGTCTGGCAAGCTTCGCACTAAACGTGCTATACCACCAAGGCGTAAGCCCAACAAAGTGGATTTCGTCGAATGCAGACTAAACGTTGACTGGCCCTCAGATCCGGAAACTACCGTGCTGCCTAGGCTTCGAATTCGGCTTGCTCCTCACAAGCTGAGGATCCATCGCTCCCAAACTGTGTCTTTGAAGCGCGGGCCATGGTGCTTCCCCCTTCGAGCCGTGTTCATCCTGGTCATGAGCAGGGACGGTCGCACTACTGGTCGTGCTGTTAGGCAGTGAAGGTCTCAAAGCTGTTCTTGCGTTGATCCGCCCGCCGTGTCAATCTGGACCTGCAGCACCAGAGCAAGCACCTTCACCATCCAGTAGCAGGTGATACTATGTGACACTAACTTTTCCAGAAGCCAAGAAGGTAGCCGCAGCGCATGGCAGGCTTGTTGACAAGTCACGAAAGGTAGCACAGCGAGGCTTTCGTTTCTATCTGCGGAAGCAGTAGGCCGGGACCGCCAGCCCCGACGCAAAAGAATTGAGATATGGGTGGTTGTCAATATTAGGGTCCCTTTTTGGGTCCCTAGCATAATACGGCACCTAATATTTGGGGTACCCAAAACAGGGACCCTAATGTGGAATTGGAAACAACAGAGGCGTTCACATTATACATAAACAACCTTCTTACATATATATATATATATATATAATTATATATATATATACATATATATATCGACCAAGATAGGTCTCCCCTCCTCCTCTCCTCGCTGCTGAGTTGTTGATGTGGTTGGATGTGCCGGATGATGATGACATTTCTGTTCCCCGCTGATGGAGCCCGCCTCGCCAGCTTTGTTTCCCCTCCGTTGCTGATTGCGAGCTTGCGTAGCCAGCCCTGTACCGCCTGCCGTCCGTCCAGCCCAGGCTAGCGGCTAGCTTTCGTTGGCCCCGCCTCTCAAGTACACAGATAGGCAGACTTCAGTGTGCACACGCAGACATGACTGCATCTGTTTCGGCATGTGCAGTGTATGCTTTTGAAGACTGTGTCGCATCTCTGCAGATGCACGAGACTGTACGAGTGATGCAAGTTCATCATGTGACTCTTCTTCGTTATCGTAGAGTGTGCCCTTTGCTGATGTGCCGGACTGGAGTCGTGAATGTTCGAGTGGGTGTATGTGTCTTTCGTTTCCGTTTGAAAGCATTGTCTTGTCGCTGGTGCTGGCTGTTAGCAGGGAGACAAGACTTGCATGCCCAGGCCATCAAGCTCATGAAGGTTGGAGCCAAAGGTGGCGGTGTTCTGCGATTCCCACGGTGTATGCGCGAACCCGATGCAGCTCTTCGGCAGGTCGTGCTGTTTGCCCTCCTAGTTTGAGTTACGGCGCCTGCCTCAGAAACTCGGAATAAGAGGCTCAAGCATAAACCGACAGGGCTGGATAGGCGTAATCGGACTATACTGCACCCGTTGCTCCACAGTTCATGCGACCCGGTTCCCCACAAAACAAGGCCGATCTGGCCTGCTCGAAACATTCGAAACAGATCGGTAAGCTGACGACACCTCTTGGTGAGCTAATGCAGATGGTGGCATTGCAAGAAAATCTGTAATGGTGCTCTCGGCTCAAACGTTGCATCGGCCAGAAGGGGAACAATTCGTAGCAGTAGGAGGAGCTTGAGAAAAGCGCCTGCAGGTGAGGGCAAGACTGCGTATGATGCTGACGAGAGTGCTGACGTCAAGAAGGTCATGTGCCGACTGTGTGCATCAATTCCGGAGTGCCGTACCGCGATGCCTGGCAGGTAGAAGCCGGGACTACGCTCTACTATGACTTGGAGCTGTGCCTTCCTCCGTCGTCAGAGCTTTGTCCTTTCTTCGTCAGCTCTTGACCAAGACCTCCCCGAGGATTCGTATCATCAAGCCCTGAGTTTGGACACATCTGTTTTGAGACTTGGAGCCTGTTATTTCTGATGCAGCCTTTGACCTGAAGGCTCTTTCTCACCTCTGTAGTGGTTCCGATGGACCGACTGGTATTACATGCTGCCACAGTCCGGAAATCGGAAAGTTTATGAAACTTGTTAGCTGCTCCAGTACTAGGGTAGAACAGGGCCAGGAGATGGAAGACTCCTCAGGAGGGTATTCGAAGCCGAGTCACGCTCTCACACACACACACATGCGCATCTGCGAACTGTGTGGTCAATGAGCCTGCGCATGCAACACGGCTCACAGCTGCTTTTTCTTCTTGCATCGGTACTGTGCTCGACAGTTCCTTCCGTAGCCCCACATAGTGTAGCAAGCAAAGTAGCGCCATGGCATAGTTGCTTGTGTAGCACTCTGAGATTATCGAACTCTTGATGGCGGAGCGAGTCTGCATTATTCTTGGCCAGATCATGTGACGCATGTGCCTTTGAATGCCATGAGCTGGAATGGCCGCGAACTGAGTCCACAGGTCCTGTCAGGATTCTCATTGCCAAAGATTCGGTTATCAGGTCCTGGTGGTTCTGCAGCGAACCGGCCACTGCCGACGGCTACGGACGACTATCGCTATGCGCAGGCATGTCTTTGACGAAATGTCAGCAAGCACGATCGGAGAGTGTTCGGTTCAGGTTCCCGAGGAAGAATCCCAGAGGCTTGCAGGCCTGTGGCCGCTTTCTCAAACAAGCAGAGCCTTGCGCACGCATACCCTGCCAAGTGGATTTCATCGTCTCATGACAGCTTTAGGCAACCATTTCTGCACACATTGCCGTTGGCTCCATGTCAGCAGTCGAACTGCCCACAGTAACAGTGCCCGATCACAATGACAGGACAAAACGTAATATGCAGCTTGGGTGGAAGGAGTCTTCAGCACAAGTTCAGGAGTTACACAGCTTTGCAGTCTTGATGCCCCGGCAAGACATGATTCGAAAACGTGGCCTGCCTTTTGCGGTGGCTTTGCTGATCCTGAAGCACGGGCAGTTTGCACCTCAGAGGAGTGGTATCGAGTGATATCGTGCGCTGCGCAAGGTCTGCTTGCTGGTTGCACTGGCTTGCCAGCCACTAGTGTGCCTCGTACTTGGCGGAGTCTATCATCAAGCAGGCATCGTGGTGAAGAACGCCTGGGTCCGTGCAAAGTTCTTTTCTCGACTTGGGCACTTCGGCCCACAGGTGATGTGTCCCGATCGTCGCGAACGACACTGAGAGCGGGAGCTGCACCCCTTGGGGAGGATCTGCGCCGCACGTTTCTCACCGTTCTGCTTCAACTGCCGCATGATATTCACATGATCTGTCCTGTTGGGCAGGCATTTCAGCTTCCCCCGGAAAAGGTGGTAGAGGCTTGCTAAGACTGCTAAGAGTCCGGTCAATGCTTGGAACTGAGAAACCTCAGCATTGAAAGTGTGTTTCCAAAGGCCGTTTCCAAAGCTGGAACACGAGTAACACCCTCCGACGTCGCCGCTGCTGGCGGTCTCAGTCTGGAAGAGGCGCATGAAAGAAAGAAGGCTACTACTCCTGCTCCTCCGACTAGCAGAAGTGGGTGTAGTACTAGTGCTAGTACTACTGTTGCTACTGTGGATGGAGGAAACATTGACCCGCTTCTATGATATGCTATGTAGCTTCACCCCGCTTACCCTACTTAACATTGCTATGAGCACGGGCTTCAATTTTGCACCGGCCCAAGAGATCTGTCGTCAATGTTAACAAGCGGGTTGTTGCTTGGATGTGTACCTGAAACACTGTATGTAGGCGGTGCAAGATTTCCTCCATCCACAGTGGTAGCAGTAGCAGTAGTAGTAGTAGTAGTAGCAGTACTACTACTACTACTACGACGACGACTACAACTACTACAACTACTCGTAGTAGTTGTAGTCGTCGTCGTAGTAGTAGTAGTAGTACTGCCAATGCTTCTACTACTGCTGCTACTACTGTTGCTGCTGCGACTAAGAAAGGAGGCAAAAGAGCTCAGAAGTTGAAGAGACAAGATGAGACAAGCCTTCGCAAGCTCCCCGCCGAGAGGCTCGCCGGGGCGTGGTGGAGCTCGCTGGTACTTTGGGAGCCGAAGCCGAGCTGGAGGTTTCCAAAACAGGCCGAACATAGAGACATTGTTGTTAATTTTAAGTATATGTATAATAACAAAATGGTAGAAGTGTGATTGTAGTTGTACTTATTCGCAGATGCAAGGCAAGGAGCAACCAGAGGGCAATGTGCACCACAGCCCCTGCTCAAAAAAGGTTGTATTTATTCGTATTGTTATTACTACTTTTTACAATTATTGCGATTTTTATTGTTAGTATCATCATGAAGGTTGAGGGTCTTCCTCTCGTTCTGCTAGGCGAGTCATCATGTTTGCTTGCCTTCTTCTGGTGCTACGGAAAAATCAGAAGAGGGGTGACAATTTATAATTTATAATTAAAAAAATCGGGGCTCAAAACCCCATAAAGCATAAGGCATCGGTCAATTAAAAGCTTAACTTAAAAGAAAGGGAAGAGAGCCCAGACCCTCAACCCAGCGGAAAAGTGCAGTTCTTCGGACTACTTCAATTACTGCTACTACTAGCATTACTAGTATTTCTATAATTGCTACCAGTACAACTATTACTACTAGCTAGTACTAGTAGCACGACTATTACTTGACTACCCCAGACCCGGCCAGAGATTTATTGTTGCGGCCCCGAGCCAGCAGACCCACCCCCAAGAGTTCAACGAGATCAGGTCACCACCCTAGTCCCCCCATCAAAGGCTCACAGGGTTATGCCCGGTGGCATCTCGTGTTTGTTGGGGGTATATCAGTCTATCATATGATCCAAGCACTAAGATGGGCTGCAAAACAGATCGAGCTCGATCAACATTGACAGTCTCGGTAGACTGACCAGGTGGGAGTTGGAACATGAGATAGTGACGCACCAGGATCAGAGCTTGGGTGCAAAATATAGTGAAGTGATGAGCCGCTTTCTCCTAACATGTTCAATGCATGAGACATGCCACGATCACAAGGCCAGAACAATAGTATCAGAGCAGTGAACGGCCTCGCGGAGTGTGTTCGGGTAACAAACCTCACAATTCCGGATGCGTATGGAGTGCCATGCAGAGGGCACGGTAACCTAAAAGCCGTTTCTCAACCCTAAAATAAACTTTAGGGGTAGAGACCCCAAAAGTGGCCTCCCAACTTTCTGGTACTGGCTTCCCCCATGCGACTGGAAGCTTGGCCTCCTTGCAGGTGAGCTTGTGTACCTCTTTCCCCGGGACGTGAAGGGGGCCTTGTCGAAGGTTTCCTCCGCTGCGGCAGCTCGAGAGGCGGGGATTGGACCTTTGGTTATGATTGTATTGAATATTGACAGCGTTTCTATGTCAAAATAAAACAATTTTTTTCCTTACCACTTCTGTTTTTGGAATGTTGTGGTTTACAGAACCGAAGCGGAGCTCTCTCGATCTAAACAGCCATGGGATGTGTGGGGTCTTCAGAGCATGCACAAACCTGGTCAGTATCTCGAGATCTCTCGGTAGGGCCGTTTGGGGTCCGCATGGAGAAGTTCTAGGCCGGAAACGACATTCATTTCGGGGCTGGGGGCTTGGGGGCTGGGGCTGGGTTGGGGGGCTGGGGCTGGGGGGCTGGGGGCTGGGGCTTCGGGCTGGACGCTGGAAGCTGGTAAGGCCGAAGGAGATAGATTTGAATTGAGATCTTAGGCCAGTGAGGATGGTTGAAGGTCAAAGGTTTCTTGGATAACAGGTCCATCAGTTGGATGTGCCCACCCGCAGTGCTAATTGGTCCAAAACTTGAGCAGCTCGCCGCCCGACCCGCTCCATGAAGCTTTGCTCAGTCTCAGAGCGCAGAGGCCATCGATGGGCGTCGTCTTTTTCAGAGACCACCGGAATCTCTCCCCCCAAATCTCGCCTAGGTAGACTTAGCCATTTCTCACAAAACCAACAAATGGCAGGGAAGATCCGGAAGTCAAATTCTCCCAATCTGTTTGAGCTACAGATGCATGAAGCGTGCACTTGGATGAGTCAAACTACGCACTTATCACAACTACGGCAACAATTTCTCTTACAGGTTCTGCTGTTGCTGCTTGCTATGCCAGTGGACGTGCGGCGGTTTCCAGTTGAGGTTGATGACGGTGACGGGCTAAAGGGGTTTGGGGGCGCAGTTGCAGCCTCCAGGCCACCACAGCAGCTTGCACTTCCGCAGACCGCCCTCCTGCAGACGCCAGGACACGATCATGGAGCCATCGATGTCATCGATGACGAAAGTGATGTCGATGAAGCCGCGCAAATACAACCCGGAAGTGGCGTTTCTCATTTCCTTTGCTCTCGCCGCCGGCGAGATGGAAATTCCAACCACTACGGCTGTTGTGATAATTGACGGCGCCGACGACGCATGGGCACGCAAGATCGCACAACTGGCCGTTCACACGGGGTGCTGGCTTCCAGCGGTTTTACGTTGTCCGTGAGTTTTGGGGGGTGGTTGCACCAGTCTTCACCCGTTGTTCTGCTGAAGCAGGATTTAGGGCACATCCGAATAGGAGTCTTTTCTGCCCGGAGGTGGTAGCATGCCAGCCGTCGATACTTCGGCAACATTCTACACCAAAATGAACTGACATTCCAGAAGACACATAACGCGCAGAGAATGATTTATTTTCCCTGCCACATTTTGGAATGTTGAAGTTCTTTGTTGGACAAACACGAGTAAAAAGGGCAGGGGTCTCCATCCTCACAGGCATTGCTTGGGAGTCCAAAGCATCCAAGTCCAAGCTCCCACTCCCAGCGCCATTGTGGTGCCCGTGCGGGCGAAGTGATGTTGAGATTCGAATGAGTAGGTCGGTGAGTCGTTGACGGACAAGACCGAATTCACGCAATTGAAAGTCCTGGAGCGTTTTTGTGCGAGTGAAGTCGTGCAGCCACTGGTGTGGCATATTATATATATATATACATATATTTGTCATGATACCCTTGTTATTGTTATCATTCTTTTTGCTATGTGTTGACTGTCGAGGATGATATTATTACTACAGTTATTGCTATGGTTATTAGTAGTATTGCTTATATTCTTACTATCATTATTCCTTTTAGTACGGTTCTGAAGGCATGTTTGTTGGGGCTTGTTTCTTTGAGGCCTGGAACAAAGCGAAGCCTACTGCCGCCCGGCCACTGTTTGGGAATCTCTGTGTGCATTTCTTGGCTTGTGTTTGGATCAGGTTTTCACAGCTCTCCGTGCTGCTTTCGGTGTGGCCCTATTTGCCTCCATTGCTGTGATATACACAGCGATCATTGCCATCAGCACTTCCAGCTCCGACAGGGACCATGCAAGCTGCTTTCGAAGGGCATCGCCCTGCAGTTTGCATGCGTGGCATAGGTACCGTCCCCCACCGTAGCTGGGATGTCCAGGACCGAGATGACCGACGAAGGGGTGGAGACTCCTTCGGAGGTGGTGGTTTCGGTTTTGGCCCGACCTTGTATTATGGCCCGTCGAGACTTGGAGGCAATAGGTCAATAGGTATTGCAAGGCGTCTTTTGCTTACCTTGCCATGGCTGCCTAAAGATTTCTCGTCAGCCCGATCAGACTTGGTCGACTTGCCGTGTGTGCATCACTCCTCGGTTTTCGGATCCCGCCCATCAGCAAATGTCAGTCGCCCAAGGCCATTTGATGTGATTTTCTACAGACCGTATTATTCGTATTCTTACGGCGGCGATATCTACGATGAGTGCCTCGGTGAGAAGCAGAATCCGCAGCTCGTTGTTGACATACACGATATGCATTACACGTATGGCGCCATCTTGATGATGTCTCAGTTGGGAGTCGCGGAGTTCTCCGCCAAAAATGGGCTTCCTCGAATCAGTTTACAGCAGCTTGACTTCCACTTCGCTTCGTGCACGGCTGCTTAATGTAAATTTGCAGCACCTGCAGGCTTTGTCTTTGGTGATGGAGATCCAAACGCTGGCCGCTGCCTGCCAAGAATCTTCCATGCGAAGCCACGCGAGTTAAAGTGAGTAGGTACGGTACCACTTTCGAAGGAGACGAGACCTCTTTGCGTCTCCACTTGCAGGCTTGGATCGGCAGCTTGCTGCTGTGGCAGCTCTCGCCCGGCGGAACGGCGGAGTTTTGACAGCTGAGCAGATGGCACCTTTGCGCCTGGGACGAGAGCGAGAGGACATGAATGAGTGGAATGTTGTGGGAAAGCTGCGAGGCTGGACCCTCCCGGATACAAGTCACCGGAGAGCACGTACAACGCCGCTGAACTGCACCAGTAGTGTTGATCTTGAGGCCTCGAGGCGGCAAGGCTTCTCGCACACACAACAGCAGAAATGTCGACAGAAGCTCGGATCGTGCAGCGATGCCGAGGTGAATGAAAGCTGGGTGCTGCCAGCAGTCTCAAGGCTAAATGGAAGGCCCGAAGTGGCGGCTGATGGACAAATCGCGTGGCTCTCGGGAAGAGGAAAGCCCAGTACCGGCTATTGATGGCTCATGGGTGACCGTGCCACGAAGGTCTATGTCTTTGATGACCTACGGACCACAGCAGGCGACAGTTTGGGATTTCCAGTCGCAGAGAAGGTGAGTGTGCGTCAGGTGCTACGCTACGGCTTCTTCGATTAGACAAAGTGTAAGGGTTGAGGGTTATTGTGGAGCTTTCAGAGCTTCCTCAAGCAAAGTTTTGCAGCCCTCCAACTGTAGAAGCAAGGCTAGGCTTCCGAGTTGGTTGGAGTATTGGCCAGTAGTGTTGTTCGAAGCAAAGGTGAAACTTCTTCGCGCAAGCCACCAGCAATCTTGGAGGCAGTTAAGCTGCACTCGGAGAAAGGTAATCATGGGCACCATGGTGAAAACCAGCCGTTCCGTCCTGCTGTGAGGAGGAAGAGGTTCCTTTCTCTTTGGCGGACGAGGGCAATCTCACGCTCGTCGTCTTACTCGGCCACTTGGTTTTTCTCTTGAGTTAAGTGCCGTCCAGCAGCCTGTGTCAGCTTGCAACAAGTGCCGGCGCGACATTGCTTCCTATTTTGCGCAGATGTTATGGGGTAGCCTAGGTGTCGCAAACCTCGTCGGAGCCGACCCTTGGTGGCACCACAGAAAAGCAGCACTCAACACGAGATCATGGCATGGTAATTATTGCCTTTGCCTTGCGACTCCCAAGCTATTTCGAGGCCTATCTCGGTGCGCAGTTCGCGGGCCTTGCAGGATACAAGCTTACAGGCAAGGCCAGATGGATTTTTGAGTGCCGAAGCATCACTCAAAAGCACATTGACCAAGGCTTCCTGGCTGCAGTGAAAGGCTTCTACCCAGGACTGCTGGCTTACGCCGCGGGCATCTCAGAGTCTACACCAGAAAAAACGGCAGATGTCGAGTTCGAATATATTATACTATAATATACTATAACATAATATAATATAATGTATTGCATCCGGTCGGTGTCGGAGGTGGGGTTTTTCGCTGCCCCGGCCTGGCGATTCTTTGGCCTCGGTAAGGCGAACAGAATCTGGACGGCAGTTAGGATGGAGGTCATGTTCGTTCCTCTTGTTTTCGTCGGTGTTATTGGAGTCTCCCAGGACCTCATAGAAAGAGTATCAGGTGAGCAAATTGGCCTTGCAGCTTTCGCTCCTTTTGGTTCTCTGCCCTCCATTTGCTGCAGCTGCTGGCCTTTCGTCATGTAAGGCGAGATCCAACAGAGGAACCAAAACCGCAAAGATTGGTTGAATGTCCTTCAGTCTGGTGCTGTGGACGGAAAGCTAGCCCAGGCGAGGAGCTCAGTGTTGCAGGATCAATTAAATACGAGGGGCAAAAGACAGGGCGAATCCAAGTCGATGCTTCGCTTCACGCCCGCATGTACTCGAGGGCATGCGGGATGACACCTAGAGGCAAGGAGCCTTCGACAGGGCATGCGGCAGATTGGCAGGGAGGACTCTGTCTACAGCACCGCGAAGGACGACGCAGTGTGCTGTGCCCGATCTGGGACGCAATCGTATCGGAACCGGAGATGAGAGTGTGCAAGAGGAGGCACAAAGCCAATCCAGTCGGAGCGATCTCGAAGATTTTGATCGCCGTCTGCGAAGTTGAGGCGGGACTCGAGATTTTCTGTGAATGGTATGGTCGTATGTGCTGTCAGCATTCTTGAAGGCTTTTCGGGGCCGACGGGACGGTTCGAAAGGACTTCTCTGTGGCTGAAGCCTGGTACAGAATTGGGCCCGCGTGGCCGATGTGGCCTTTTGTCGTCGAATTTTAGAGGACTTGCAATTGACATGCAGAAGTCAGGCAGTACAGTTTAGCGGTTTGCAGAGCCTGGCAATGGAAAGTCCGGAGAGAAATGTTGTTTGTATCGTCCATGAGTGCCTGATCCTTTCGTCGTAACAGCTCCGGAGTTTCTTTTCTTGCACAAGGGCCTCAACTTTTTCAAGAGCTTCTGACGGATAGACGATGCCAGCATCTCTTCTATGTAGCCGTCCTCACAAGCAGGAGGACATCCAGGGATTCCAGCCTTGGCACAACAGGCAGAAAGGCAAATGGAATGAGCTTCGTAGCTGGGCGTCGCAGCCTGATGTCGGTTCTAAATGAGTTTTGTCACATTTTCCGTCAAGCCAGAATCGTGTGGTGGGGTGTTGCTTGTGTGGGGACTTCCACTGTGGCCCTGCAGCCACACATCTTGGCCGTTCGGTCTCTTGTGCTTCGCTGTTTGGGTTGTCACCATTGTTGTGGTCTGCGACACGGTTCACGTCCGTTCGTGTCTCACGTTCGGCTGCGAGAGCCAATGGATCTCGTCGACTTTGGGCATGATCAGGAGTTGAAGCGCAGGCTTCACCGTTTTCTTGAAGGTTGCTTCTCAGGGTAATGCGAAGCACTGCCAGGAGCCAGGCGTAATGCAAACTCCAGCCCGGCCGGAGCTTCAGGATCGGCAGGCTTCCCGCATGCAATCCATGTGTGACCATCCCTGTCGTTTCTGTTGGCAGGCAGGCAGGCCCCAGAGTATGCAGAGGTGGGGAGTTATAGCTACAATTCATGCAAGGATGCTTGTTTAATGCATTGGGCAGACAGCATAGGCCGAAATCTAGAAGATGCCAAGTCGCGAGATGTCCCGGACATGCAGGTCATGATCAAGGCGCACAGCCGTCGGACCACAGATCTGTGTACTTTGTGCGGATTCGTTCTGCCGCCTGGCTGCCATAGTTTTTCATATCGTAGCATCGCGAAGTCATGCAGCAGAGACACGAGCAAGATTGTTACTTGTATTTTGTTTTCGGAGCATGGCAAAAAACGCTGGTAGTCCGACACGTGCCTAATGCCTGCACACACTGAGATACCTGCTCGTGCAGGTATTGGGCTGGCATGTTTCGGCCTGAGAATGTGTGGGAGCTACCGGGCTTTGGGGTTCGGTGAGAGTCAAGGCAGCTTGAAGTGAATTTCCATGAGCTGGACGTTCTTGGGACATGTCGCTCCTGCAAGAATTTGCTGAAGGTGCGGGATCACTTATTCCGCTCTCATCACCGGCGACCCGCGGAGGCTATACCACAGCCACCTTCCCAGTGCATGCTGCAATGCTCCGACTTCGGGCAGATTCGCCATTGAGCGGACAGAGGTTTCGATTACGGCGGCCATCTCTGCGGTGTCGACCCAGGCGTGGAAGACAAGGGGTCCAAGCCTCAGCGATTTCACTCCTTGTTGGATGCTCAGCAGAGCCTTTCCCGCTGAGGCTCCTCTACTGGCCCCGCCCGAAAGATCCCGAATATGCGATCTGCATCGGGCAGTGCCCAGACAATCGTCAGGTGCCTGGGAAGTGTTTGCGGGAGAGAAGCTGTAGTCTCTGGCTGGTCTGGGTGCAGCATGTAACTTCCGTTTCTCGGGTGGTAAATGCAGCTTGTCATTTTGGACTCTTGGCTGATGTACGCCGCCATGATCGGGTCGAGCCTGTACAGGGAGTTGTTGGGAAGCAGTTTCGAGACTTGCTGTCCTGATAGTTATCCAGGACACGGTCACTGCGCTGGAAGAGGACGGTCGGCGACAGAAGCTTGTGTCGTGCTCATGATTTCTGATGTGTTTGATCGGTTGTAAACCTTAGTGTGAGCCTTATCTTTCAGCAGAACAGAAATACATAAAGACCGGCACAGCAGACGGTGCTGCTGATGCTTCAGCCCGCACTTTGCAGGAAGCTGCTGTCAGCCATGGTGCAAGCGGAGTTGAAACCGCGACCATCACTTCCAAGCAAGTTCGAATTCCAACATACCCTTCCAGGTGGGTCGGGGTGGATTCAAGCTCAGACTTTCGCATTTGCGAGCGGCTTCCAGCGAATTCCAGATTATGCAACCTTATGAAATCTTATGAACGCATGGCCAGGGAAATCGGCGGCCGCTTCTGCCTGCCGCTTCCGTTGGCTGAGACTCTGGATGGCAACGATGGTGATGGCGCCACCAGGCTGCCGAGTGCCGCCGGGTCGACGGCTTTGCAGTGGCCAAGGCTTCCTGCCGACACTTTGCAGCTTACCTCAAAGACTTGTTTTGACTTCACGTTGGCGGAGCCGTGCAAGCTGTAGTTCTGCATTTATCTCAGCTCAGGCCCTTTCCAACAACCAGCTCGGCTGCCCCAGCGACAGCGACCACCAGTCATGCCTTGGTGCCACCCGCCGAACCTTTCCACCAGCCCTCGTGGGGTTACCCCACGGCTCCTCCCGAGCAGCCCCGCACAGCCCGACCACGGATTGCTGACTTCCCGGGGCTCCTGCCACCGAGGGTGCAGTGGCCTCGCCCCAGCCGGCCCAACCCCGGAGATCAGGGCTCTGAAGTCCCAGAGATCCAGACCTCAACTGATTTGCCGACGAAAGCCGGGAAGAGTGCACCCGTTAAAGCTGGATCTCAGGTCACGAAGCCCCAACAGCACCGGCACAAAAAGGGTAAGGAAGACGAAGACAAGGACGAAGACAAGGACGAAGACAAGGACGAAGACAAGGACGAGGACAAGGACGAGGACAAGGACGAGGACGAGGACGAGGACGACCGAAGAAAGGACAAGGACCAGCGGCCGGAAGGGCACAAAGGTGACACTGGGCACAAGATGGATGACGCGCCGCCCACAACAGAACCCGCCCCAGTGGAGGACAGGGAAAGTCAAAAAGACACAGTGACTCACCAGCCAGCTGCGACAAAACCCAAAAGCGGAAAGGTGGATCAGAAGCTGAAGAAGCCCGCGCCCAAGACCGGGCAACGAAACAGCACTGAAATCAAAACGGATGCCACTGGAACAGCGGAGAACGTTTCTTCGCACCACCACGAGCCAGGCAGAAGGACCCACTTTCATTCTCCGAAGGCCCTTCTTTTTGCTTCGTGCTGAGTCTGGTTCCTCCAGGATGTGGGGAAACACTGCAAGGCCTGCTGCTCAGTTGCATCAGGGTTCTGCTTGTGTGTTTCGACCACGCCCAGGAGCTCAGAAACCGCCGAGTTGGCCAGACTGTTGTCTCAGGCGAATGCCTAGCCTCGCCGTTTGGAGCTTGGTGCTTTCCGAACGTGCCTTCGGGGCTGTACGCTGAAAGCAGGACGACAAGGGCCTCGGCGCCTGGCTCCGCAAGACTGCCTGGGACATTGCTGGCGCCTGGCCCGTTGCCCTGCCCTTGGTGCCGAGAACCGGCCTAAGGGACACTGCATCGCTGCGTATGCAGAAGGAAGACAGCCTTTATTTGCCTTGCAGTTGGTGGTGCTCGGCGTGGTCTTCGCATCTCTGCAGGGTAAAGCCATCTCATCATTGCTACAGGGCCTTTTTGCGTTTGGCGCTGGTCACAAATTTGAAGCCTACCTTCTTCTGCCAGGCACTGGGTATTTGGCATTCATGCGATTCTGCGCTGATGCCTTGGTTATCAGCGGGGTTCGCATCTTCCAGCCCTGCGCGAAGCCTGAGGCTTGCCCTTTCACATTTGGCGTCCTCTTCCTGCTCATACTTGCAACAAGTGGTATGTCAGTGCAGCTGGGCGTGGTCAAAGATTCGCAGACGACCTGTTTCTTTGCATCTAAAGCCACCGTACGTCGAGGTATTCCTTGGCAATTATACGCACGGACGAGGACTCCTGCGTGGGTCTATGAGGTGCCGGCCTGACTCTAGAAAGCTCTTGAGACTGGCAGGAGGCAGCAGAGCAACTGTGCCTCGATCGCACCGAAACTGTCAGCTTCAAGGGGCCAAGGAGCCCGGAAGGTAGAAGCCAAGGTAAAAACTCTGTATGACACAAGCAGCTTCCCGCAAAATGGACGGCGAACTCTCCAGACACCCCACGAAGGGGCACTGCAAAAGAAGTGTCTGCTGCATTCTGTCCTTGCTTCGAGAAACAGAAAGACGCCGAAGCTCAAAGTTCAGGAGCTACTTACTGTCAAGAGTTCGCACAAAATTAAATGGGCATGCTGAGGTTTGGCCGATACTCGGAAGCTTGCCTGCATTGTGGACCCTTTTCATGCAGCAGTTTCGGAGCTGCGGTCCACGTATGTTCAGATGATGCACAACAGCTTCGTGTTGACTGTGTTGGGTCGATGTGCTTCTCTGACTCCGTGTCTACTGAGGATCACCCCGTCCTGCTCAGTCAAGTTGTTGGCTGGTCATGTGCAGGAGATTGCATTTCAACATACGTCGCAGGGCATGCACGTCTGCAAAACCTGCACAGGAGTTTGTGTCTTACTCCTGGGCATCTCCATTGCCATCTTTCCCACAATGCGCCGGGCTATCGGCTGCATTGATGGAGCTGCGCAGGCGATTTGGGAGGAGCCTCCGTCGCCTGACAGCAGTAAAGAGGCCGCGTGATGGCGCGTTCGGAACCTAAGCGCACTGATGTAAGGCTGCTGCGGTTGCCCGCCGTAGAGATGATGATCAAGACGCTGTTCTCCATCAGCTGGTGCCCTGCATGACCTGCTGGAACTGGAGGTTAATTCAGCAGCGGTGTTCAGCACAGGCTGATCTTCTTCAGCTTCGTCATCACAAGCGGCCAAATTGCTCCCCAGCTGAATGATTGATGACTCTCATCACTGTGTGTCCTGAGGACTCAAGTGTTGCGTGTTGTCGCAGGACCCGCCGACCTTGGACGTCAATGGAACGCCGGTGTACACGCGGATTCGGAGGTTCAACTCAACGCCTCTGCAGAAGCTCTGCCCTCTGCGATAGAGCACGACAGTCGCAGGCAATGTTATGTTCAGAGCTTCTGAGGTTTTACGTCTTTGTCTATGTTGGAGGCTCTACGACGTTTTGTATCACTCTCGTTTGCCGATGGGTGCTGCGCAGGATACCTTTGGACGCTGGAAACGCTTAGCCTGATTTTCCACTTCGCAGCCCGGGCCTTAGGACCAAGTCGCAATTTCAGACAGTATCGTTTCCGAGTGAGCTGCATCTGCAAGAGCTGCTCAGTTGCTCCACTTCATATGTCAGATATCGGGGGGTGGTTCCTTCACATGAGACAGACCGAGCACATTCTTCAGTTCAAGTTTGAGGCCAGCTTCTATGCTGTAAGCTGGTACTTCACGCCATGCAGGCGTGCCGGCCAGAGAAGTGCACTCAGACAGAGCGGGAGATCGAGGGTCTCTCGCACGGCAGGGCCGAGGGCAACAAGGTGGTGGAGACATGGCTGTGGCGAACTGGAATTGCATATGCTTTGAGGCATCAGGGCAGGTGAGACCCAAAGACTTTGTGCGAGATGCAGTCTCCTCTGAAGGTACCACTTGGGCAGTATGGCCATGGGTGGTTTTATGACGATGGTCTTCCGCCTTTGGCCAAATCTCCGGTTTTCCTTCGGGTGGAAAAGACAGGGCCAAGAGCTGAGGCCCAATCCACGCGCCGATGGCTGTCTTGGCAAAGCTCGAGCCTCGCAGGACCCTTCGGCACGCTTTCGACACAGCTTTGCCAACAGACAACTCAGGCTGGCTAAAGCTGGCGAGAGGCATCTTGGAGGGCAGCGCCAGTGCCAAAATACCTAGTTACTAACGCACTGCACATGCCCGCAGACAAGCTCGCTTCCGCATGTCGGACGTTGATCAGTAGGCATGCGCCGGATGGCATCATGTCCAATTCCCTGGGCTGCGTTTGGTGCTTTGAAGAAGTTGTTCTCCAGCCGCATTTCTCCGATAGGTGCAGTAGGCTGACATGGCTGACGAAGCCCGAGGTTCGCTTTGTCAACAAGAATGCAATCATTTGCATGGCCACAGCCGCAGCGGTGCGTAAGCTTTAGTCGGCTCCTTTGGGCTATGGAGCCGAGGTGTTGAACTCAAACAATTACTTCGTCTCTGCCACGGCAGCAGTCCCTGCCTGAACTCGGTCTCATGAGTGTTGTCATTCGTCGAACATGGGCGGCCAGCTGTTGAATTCAAAAAGCCTGTCATACCTCTATGTCTTCAGAGTGTCCAGTTGCTTGCTGGTGCTCGGAACAGGTCCAGACTTTGACAAAAGCTGGAAAGGACCGCCGACGGTCGAATGAGACGAGCATTCGAGGCGGTTGCATCTCGTTGCCTTGTTGCATGCAAGGACATTGCATTCCTGAATGGGTTTACTGGCAGTCTGGGCCCTTGGCATGCATTCATGGTGCAAGAGACTCGCAAGAGTCGTGGTCTCAGGTCTGCACAGTCTTGGCATGCTTGCCACGGCATGCCTGACGGCTTACCTGGCATTGCTTGCTTTGGGCGTCCTGCGGCTGCAATAGTGCCGTGTCCGAGGAACAGTCTGCGAGACTGCACAGCTCAGGGACTGGACATTTTTGCAGACCAAAGCTCGCCGCTGTTCGCTTTGGCCTGAGAGGGAAGTGGCCCCAAGGAATGCTCCATGGTTCAGCTGAATGCAAGGTGGAGAATAGAATTGCAGTTATTGTCGCTGTTGGTCTTCTTTCGGGTGCAGCCGGATGCCCAGATTCAGACGGCATATGTATCAGAGAACGAGCGAAGAGCTTAGTGGAACGGCTCCGTCTTGCAGACAGCATTGATCGCAGGTCGTGAGGAGACTGTCATTGGCCGGTGCAATGCTTTTGGCTTCCTGAGGTGGCATCAAGCTTCATGAGCCTTTTCGATGTCGTGTTCGACACGCTGATCTTCTGTTGGCTGGCAGACCTGCAGCCGACCGAAACTGTTTTCGTTCCCCGGCTCAATCCAAAGTAAAGTCAGAATCGATACTCCGCCCGTGCTGTGCCATGCACCGTCAACAGGTTCCGCACAGCTTGCTGAACGTCTGGGCCTGCAATTGGGTTGAAGCCTAGGATGTCGGTTCGGGAACTCACCTGGTCTCCCCGAGGCCCTGGGACAGCCGCAGGGGCGAAAGGAGCTCTCCGACGCGGAGATTGATGTGGAGTTCGGTCGGCAACCGGCTGTGGGTCCAGGTGGGGCAGCTGTTCGGGTCACGTTTTGTCCGCATGTTCGATTTGTCACGCACCGCCCCATCGATGACTCATGAAGCGACATCCGACAGTAAATTAGTAAACTCAACGCTCTGATGCATCTACGGCGAATCCAAGCCATTCCTCTGCAGCCTGTCCTCAATCAATCTTTCGTCCACCAGGATGCTTTGAGACAGGGGATGCATACACTCCTGGCACGGACACATTTGTAGTTGTTCCCCTCCCCCCTCTGCGAGTCAAATTCACGTTTGCTTTCCGCTGCGAGGCTGTGAGATCTGAATCTAGATGCTTTCCGTGAACCCTTCTTTGGCTGATGTCGCACAACTCAATGTTCTGGGACACGTCCCCACAGCCGTCTCCGACACAACTGGAAGCTGCGGCTGCGTCCAGTCCGTTGAGCCCCCTGGCGGCCACGGTAGTGGACTCCGAGACTCCAGGAAGCCTGGCAGGGAGGACTCCATGCTCGCCGAAGGCCATGTCTCCAACCATTTCAGAAGCTTCGACAATACCTGGCTTGCCGAGTCGACTGCCGACTTCGAGGGTGGACTTCCCCAGCTTGACGAAGTCCTTGTAGATCAGCACGTGCACCATGCCCAGGCCATAGGATGCGGCATGTTGCCCAGCTGCAGCACCAAGCTCTTTCGCGAAGAGCTGAGAGACAGTGCAGCACTGGCGCTTCAGGCTTGGCAAGCGGCAAGCGGTAGCAAAGCAACTCCAGCAGGTGGCATGCACTCACCACCCACCTGCTGGAGTTGCTTTGCTACCGCTTGCCAAGCCTGAAGCGCCAGTGCTGCACTGTCTCTCAGCTCTTCTCGAAAGAGCTTGGTGCTGCAGCTGGCCTGGGCATGGTGCACGTGCTGATCTACAAGGACTTCGTCAAGCTGGGGAAGTCCACCCTCGAAGCCAACGAGACGTCAGCTGGCGAGCTCATGAAGCGTCTCACCAGGTACAAAAAAGACTTCGGGGGCGTGTCCCTGGAGTGTCTGCCGGTACTGTACGTGTGCCCGAGTGGAGACCACGCCCTCCACCTCGAGACGTACGTCCACGGATTTATGGCCTTGTTCGAGGCGGACTCCAAGATCTCCAACCCGAACATCGACGCGGACCACGACAGCAGGGAGCTCTATTCCAGAGCTTCGGCGGATCGCTTGATCGAGGTGTTGCACGAGGCTAGTACCAAGACGGTGTCACAGCTCCACGCCGGCAAGACTGCCCTGAGAAGCCACCGGAAGAAAAGTGCGGGCGAGCTCCCCATAAAAGAGGAGTTTAACTCTAGCTTAGACCTCTAAAGGAGGATCCTCGCTGCTTCAACTCTACACTTCTTTGCGTCTGCACTGTACAGCTTCTTGCAGAGCGCTCCAGCTTCAAGTCAAAAAGTGCTTTCTCCTGTAGTTGTGCCTGCTGTTGTGTTGTTGTTTGGCGCTGTCTTCTGCACTCGCCGCTTCTAGTCACCAATGCTAGAAGCGCGCAGGCCGAGGTTTTATCCGTTTTTACACATTTTTTCGGGGCCCGGATGCTGCAGGGAAGGGTGATGTCTTTCAGTTTCTATTGACCTACCGGTGCCAATGAGGATCTCGCAAGTAAGGCATCCAATTCATTTTCGAATACGCTTCTTAACTTGCACGCGCGACTTTCCAAAACTCTCGTTCTAAGACGGTCATGTTTTTTTGTTCGGAGTGTTTTTTCAAAACGCGGGCCGACGAACTGAACCCACGCTGGCCGTTGCAGCTATGGAACCCGTGAGAAATACCGGAGCGATGGGTGCGAACAGACAGAAGCAGCCGTGTGAAAGACATCTAAGGTTCTGATATGATTCTACAGGTGTAGTCGGTGTAGTCAACCAGTCTGTTCTAAATTCCCGCAAACCGTGACCGGCAGTGCAGATGCCGCACACGGTCGAAGTGACATGCGTTGAACCAGTTTTCAGAGTCGAGATGAGTGTGTGTTTGGGGCTACACGCCGTGTCAGGCTCAGCAGCTGCGTCTGTTAGTCAACACCTGAGCGCTTTGTTGTCCAGGCTGCTTTTAGCTTGTGATTATTAGATTCTTCTATCTTCTATCGGCTTCCCGTCGCGCGAGCCTGAGGCAGCCCATCGAATCAAGATGGACGAGAGGCGGCAAAGAGGGAAGCAGCACGAAAGGCTGCTGCGGAGCAGGAAGCCCTCCGCAAAGCAGAAGAGCAAGAGGCACTTCGGGAAGCTGCGGAACGCGAAGCATCGCGGAAAGCAAAGCAAGCCCGCGAAGCACAGGAGGCGGAGCGTGCGAAATGGCGGAAGCTCCAAGAGGAGGAGGCTGCGCGCCAGAAAGCAAAAGAGGAGAAAGCAAAGGAGATCGAGCTAGCAAGAGCTGCTGCGGAGGAGATCCGCAGGGCTCAGTTTGAGGAGGAAGAGAGGAAGCTGCAGTCCTCACAACCTGTGGCTCCCATGCAAGCCCCAAGCATGCCAGCTTCCAAAGAAGTTGCCGACACTCCCGTGGAAGCGGAGCCGGCGGAAGCAGCATCGGCTGCCCAAGCCGAGGAAGCAGCGACCAGCGCGCCCTCAGCCGTGCCGGAGGCAGAAGCCTCCGAGGCGGTGGCGGTGCCTGATAGGCCCGAAGAAGTCGCAACGGCTGAGAGCAACTCGGCTCCTGTGGGGGCACCGGCTGAGGAGAGAAGCCGCCCAGCCCCCGAGCGCCCCGAAGGGGATTCGCTACAGGCAGCAGAGCAGTCAGAGGTTTTCAAGGCCGTGGGCCAAACGGATCCTTTCGCGGCGCCTTCAGAGGCGAAGCCGGAGCTGCTTTTTTCTCAGTGCTTGTAGCGTGTAGCGATGGAAAAACTCGATTCCGGCAGGTGCCCTCGACACTGAACTGGGTTGCAGTGGAAGCCCAAGTTGTGATGTTGCTGACAATGCCAGTCTCGGCCAGATGCTTCCTGGAAGCTTGCAAGCCTTTCCAAGGACTTCGAGTCTGCTTCGCCCAAAGTGGAGCCCGAAAAGGCTGGTGAGTCTGGTGTTGCCGTGGCGGCCTCAGGCAAGAAGGGCTGCAGCGTGATTTCAGGTCGGGCTAGGTTGGTGACCGAGCTGTTCGTCCGCCGTATGTCGTAGCCGCACTGTAGGCGAGGCTACGTGATCTTGGGGTTGAGATGCAGTTTTTTTGACGAAGCCACGCAAGGCCAGGAGTCCCACACCGGGTTCACTGGTCTTGTGAAAGTCCACGTGCTTTCTGAGGGGATCATGCACTCCGCGCATGATAGCCGCTCCAAGCCATCCTCTGCCTTCGACTGGCCTTTCCAACCCCAGTCCAAGCGTCGTCTCGAGATCATTGTATCACATTGTATCACAAAAATCCAAGTTATCCAAGCTAATCAACACACGGGTCAGGATGAATTAACATACTATGTGACATAACTCCCTGCTTCGCGTACCAGGCCATGCAGGAGGCAAAAAACACACGGGGCGGGTCGACGTGCATCGTAAGCTGGCCCTGCGCAGGGCCGTGCCGTGACGCTTCGTTCTCGGATGTGGCAACCCTCGTGTTCGGAAGTGACAACCCTGTCGGTGGACGCGGCTTGAGCCTGTGGTACTCGTAAGTCTCACTAGCGTGGTCTCGAAATGACAACCCTCTCCAACATATTGGCCTCACGTTGGTCAGTACATTAAAACTCTCGATATTGCCGGTGTGTCCGGGCGCTGCGTGTGTGGTGCCGCGTCGATTTGGGCTTCCAAATGTCCGAATCCCACCAGCACTTTAGAAAAACATTTGATCATTTGGTGGTGTCCCGCAGTACATGTGTCTGGCCATGGTCTTGAATCCATCCTGCTAGCACTTGGGGGAAGCATTTTGGTAATGGTTCTAAATCCTAGTCGTAAACCCTAGTCGTAAACGGGGGAAAGCATTTGGCCGTGGTCCAGTTTATTTTTCGGAAGCGTGTACTTCGAGGGTTTAAGAATGCTTGTGGATGGGTTTATAGAAGGTTTGCCGGGGGGTTCAAGGGGTTATAGAAGGGTTGTATACAGGGGTCAGGGGATTTTGGAAGGGTTTGCAGAAGGATTGATGGATGGTGGGTGGATGGGTAGGCGGATGGAAGAAGGGTTGCATGGGGGCATGGATGGACACATGGATTGTTGGATGGATGAGGTGAGGTGAGATGAGATGAGGTGATATGAGATTAGATGAGGTGATGTTCGGTGTTGTCTCGCTGCTGCAAGCGCTTTCGGCGCACTCGTTATCTGAAGGTGGAGACACCTGCGGCATCGGCAGGCTAGCCTGTGCGGAGCGGAGAGCCTGCGATTCTCACGGGCATACCGGTGGCTCAAGACGAGCCACATCGATTGATTTCGCGCCGGGACTACCAGCACAAAATTTGAGCAAGCATGAATCGCATGAGGGTTGGTGTCCAAGCTTGCAAACATGGCTATGGCTCTACTTTGTGCTGCTTTGGACAAGACCGCTGATGGTGAGGATGTGCTGCATTTCAGCTTGTCGAGTTACAGCATGTCAAGCTGAGAAGTCATCACGGCCAGTGTATCTGCGTTCGAAGTGATGTTGGCCGAGACAGATGGATAAAGAGTCTCCTAACTTCAACAACTTCAACCTTCCACACGTCTTCGCGTGCCTGGCTGCCTGGCCATGGAGTGCAGATGTCGGGTTCCCAGCCGTACATTTTGAAACAGCATTGCAGGTCTGCAGGTCTACAAATGACGGATCATCGCCGAAGACTGCCATGAATTGCCCGTAGAGATCCTTAGAGTGCTGCGAAATAGGCACTGAAGGGTTCATAATTCCAAGTAAAAAAATACCTTTTGGGATTTGGTGCCGCTTGGGCTGCCAAACATTCCGTGACAAGTGTTGAAATGATGTTCACTGAGTGTATACTGCCCAAGGCGCTGTGGACAAGGGCTTCAGTGCCGAGCGTTGTTGCGTGTGCAGATTGCGATTGGACTTGGTGGCCGTCGGCTTCAGGTCAAAGAGGAGCATAGCATGAATGTTGAAATGTACACATGGCAAGAGCATGACTGTCTGTGGCCGTCCAGAGTACACGAACTGCCTCGGGAAGTTCCATCAATAACCACGACACGCAGACGGCATTGGCACCAAAGGTTTACAACAGTCAGCTCTAGGGGCAGAGCACTTTAAAGCCAGCGCACCCTGACCCTGCATGGGTGGCGTTGGGGTCTCAGAGTTTCGATTTAGCTTCGTGACACATTCCGGGTGATGCGGCCAGGCTATCCTGTGCAACAGATGCTGCGAGAAGGACCTTTGATGACCTTTAGATGTGGGCTGCCGTGTTTTGTTTTGGATCGGTGGGGCAAGGAGTGACTGAGAAACATGCTGCCAATTGATTGTGTGTGCTAGATCGCTGAAGCGAAGGGCTTTTGCAAAACGACCGTCCAGAGCATGGTAATGAGTTTGGGCGGAAGTGGCAAGGATGAGAGAGAGCGCAGCCTGGTAGACGAGTCGAACGCCTTGCAGATCTTCGGCCGCATGGTTGCATTATGTTGCAGGGTTTGCATCGTAGGCTGACTCCGGCACCCAGGGGCCCAGCTGTCACAGCGGCTTGAGACCTGAAATGCAAAGGCGAAGACTTCCCATCGCTGTCTTTGCCACGGCCCAAGTCGAAATTGCGTCTCTGTGCTTCAAAGTCCACGGCTCGCAATCCATGCCAGAGGCCGCCGATAATACCACAGAGGCGTGGTCTGACATGACAGCCGTGTAGCTGACTCTACACTCTAGCCATTGAGCCTTTGAGCTATGACTTGGCATACTATCGTCGTCACTTCCAGTTACGCTCAGCTGCTAATCTGCATCTATGACAGGTCGAGCAAAGACCTAAATCAGTCGCTGTCGCCATCGCCGAAGTCCAAGACATTGGCCTTGACACCCACATCGCGGACTCCGAAAACACCGCGAACACCCAAAGTCGAGCAGGCTGGGCAGGTCGCACTTGCCAACCTGAGCAGCTTATACTTTGCAGCAGCCGAAGTCTGGGTTTAGAAAACAACTTCTCGTATCGCGGCTGGTGCAGAGCTGCGTGTTCAGGTCTGGCTTTAGGCTGTAGTAGTTTTGGAATATAGGCTGTGACACCAAGCCTGAGCTGCAGGGCAACATCGAAGACGAAGAAGATGGCGAAGGGGGATCATCTGAGCTGGAGCTGGTGGAGGAGCTTCTTTATCAGCTGGCGAGGGGAGATGCATGAGAAGAAGCAGGGCTTCGAGGGGTTTAGGCTCTGCGGATGCCACGGGGTAAACAGCTGAAGACTTAAGGGACATTTGTATTGCGCGCCTGCTGCTTATGAAATGCCAGATTATGCGTTTCGGGCAGGGCCCAATCGTCATCGACGAGTACTTCGACTTTTACGACCCCTACACGAAGCGGGCCGAGGCCAGACCCGATATCTTCGCGGCAGAGCTCCTCCTATTCCTTGGCCAGGTTCTGCCATTGACTGAAGAAGTTAAGCACCAGCGGCCGGCGTCAGGCGGGCGCGATTCTGGAAGTGCTGAAGACCGGCCGAGGTGAAGTGTTTCCTGTGGCCCACTCACTGGCGAGGCTTAGTGGCTTAGCATAGCCTAGCATTTCAAGAACCCGGCACTCAAACGACCCACCCTTGCGTGGACAAGCAAAGCTTGGTGCGCTCCATGATGTCCTTCTAGCAGACATCAGGAGAAACTGCGCATTTCTTCAATTTTTGCGCAAACCTGCAAAACTTCTGTGGCATCACGACTAGCTCTCCTTTTTGCAAGTACTGCCATGGGTTCAAAAGCATCTGATCCAAAATCTCGGCCGACATTTCGCGGAACACAGAGACAAGAAGCCTCCGAATGAACAGACCCGTTGACGGAATCGAGTATCAAGGATTCCCAGAATTTACCAACCATAACCACCCCGTTCACCTTGAAAGCACTGAGCTGATGTTGTTGCCTCAATCTCTCCCGGATTGCGAGGTGCGAGTGGTAAAGGAGAACCATGAAACCCCGGGGCACCGAACTGGAGAATCTCATTGGGGCGGCATTTAATGTCAGCGCGTGGTTGACAGACGGATGTATCCTTGGAACATTCGAAAGAAGCGTCTCCGCGGAGCTTCACAGTTGAGCTCTGACTCTATGCCATGGTCCCGAGACTGTTGGCCATGACGGTGGGCAGTGACTTAGTTGTGACGCTGTGCCGGAAGCTGGTGCGGTATGATCTGAAAGTAGAACTTGCACCTTCAACGGCACTTCCGCTGGTTCTCTGCGGGAAGGTTTGGCGCACAGGATTGACATTGGAGACCAATGTTCAGACTGTTCGCCCAGCTCTTACTGCGCTCACTTGGTTGCAAGGGATGGTTGGCTGATATGTGGAAAGGGGGTCTATGGCATCGTGAAGCCACTACCTCAATCTTAGGAGATTGTTGCGCGATCGTGTCGGTCATGCAGGGATTGTCATGGCGTGAGAGTTCTGCCTTCCTAACCACAGCGAAATAAGCACAGGGCTTTATTTGGTAACTAGGCGATCTATACCAAATGTGACTAGTGTGGCTTGTCCCCGATGTCGGCCACATGGGCAGCCACGCTTGAGATCCTATGCCATCCTATGCCTCCTCCATTTTCCACCTAGTTTCTGCTTGAGGAAAGTATGTACGACGATGTACGAGGGATAAATGAGACAGAGATGGGCGCATGCGATCTGTATCTCATCATCTCGCACCATGAGGCCACTTGACGCCCTGACCCCAAAGACGAGAGCTCGCTGTGAGGTCGAGGCGGGCTTGCGAGGCATCCTCAAAGCATTGCACCAGAGCGTTGTGCTACCAGGTCTTGACCAAGTGGGGTGTGCCGTCCTCAGGTCACTTGAGTCCGCAGTGTTCTCCAATTTGCGTCCGACCATTCCCACATGTCAGCTGCGGATCGAGACTGTGCAAGTATGCGGGAAGAAGCACGAATAGCAAACGTGACGTCCATCAGGCCGCATCTGAGATGCTGAGGTCATAGCGGGCAAGCTTATTTTCTCGCGAGTGCTGACCCTCACCACGATGAGCAGCCACTTGCCAAGAACGACATGCATTCACGTGGAGATGTGCCTGTACAAAAGTCACATGCCCCATTCATCCAAGACTGCGGGCGTGCAATCGGGCGCATGTTCATTCGCGAACATGCTTGGGTGTCCATCCGGTGCAGGAAGCGTGCTAAGCCGTGGTTTCGTTTCGCGGTCAGGAAAAGGCTTGAGCCCAAAGGCCTCAATCTGCTCCACTGTTCCGTAGCCGGAGATTTCCCTTCGCGGTCGATGCAGTGCTGATAGATATGATCTGGGGTCGCGACGATAGTGAATGGTTCATGTCACTGAACAAGTCGTATCGATGTGGAATTTTAAAGTTGGGCCTGTGCCCTTGATGATACAGTCCCGATTCATTTCCTTGTTTCGCTTCTCGCCCTCTCTGTGCCCCTCATGCTCTTGTGCACGCATCATCGGGGGAGATCCTCACACACTCAACTTCCAGCCCTTCGGCTGTCAGAAACTGTTTTCTCTGTCCGTTCGTTCGATGGATGTTGACTCCGAAGCTGTGCCAAGGCATCTACGTAATTCGTGCACAGCAGGCCAGGGTGGAAAAGCTGCTTGGCGGCACTTGTCTTCAGTTGCGGCGTGGCAGTCTCCGTTTCAATATGAATTCAAGCATCGTTTGGGCATATCCCAGCTGATCCGTGATGATGTTCTTGCCAAGGAACTCGCGAGTTTGGAGGTTGGATTATCTACGTCTGCGTGCTGTAGGTGCCACTTATCCAGGTAGCGGGATCCCGAGCTTCCTGCGCAGGCGAATCGAAGGAAGAGCGCGAAGGGTCGTCAGTCAGGCCTTCCCGCTTGTTGGAAACGTTTGGCGTCGAGATCCTGTCGGCAGCATCCAGAATCGAACTGGCCCTCCATTGCTGAAGTTGCTGTTGCGCTGAAGCGCGACCCAGTTGTAGGCACAGTCGGTGAAACTACGAAGCAAGTCACTTTGCGCAACTTCAGTTCGCAGCCAGAACCTGTCTACGCCTGCGTGGCGAAACTTGTTTCTGGATGCAGGCCGCCCACCTTGCGGCTCGCGTGATAGAAGAGCCAGGGGACACGCTGCACAACCAATGGCGCCTCGCCCAAGGAGCCCGTGCTGATAATCTGTCCGGAAAACTTGTGAGGTATGTGCAAGAGCGAAGAAACAGCAAACACGAGAGAGCGAGACAGAGGATTGGAACGAGCAGGTCTCGGTGGAGCCTACACAAGCCCAACATGCAGACTCACCAATAACTCCGTCTCCCCACGAACCCTCCTAAAACCCCGAAAAGCGGGGCGGATGGAGGCTTGTGTGTTTGAAAGACGTCTTGTATCGCTCCTGCTCAAGCACTGCCTTAGACATTGAGGGCCCCGTCGAAGCCATGGCAGTGTGGCAGCCGCAATGGAAGCAGAATGCGGGCACAGGAGCTGGGATCGAGAACGCGAGATAGCAGCCATGTGTGTAAGTACATCTCATCACGTCATCTAGGTTTTGCTTTGGCTGCTTAAAGGGACTTTCGTGGACCGGCCAGGAGGCTGGGGCGGCTCCGGCGGTTGGTCCCAAGGCAATAATGATTACCAAGGCAAAGGACAAGCCTCCTACAAAGGCTCCTCCTCTTCATGGAAGGGAGCCTCCACAGGCAGCTGGAAGGGAGCTGCTAGCAACGGATGGAAAGGTGACTCTTCGAGTACCAACGGATGGAAAGGGGACTCTTCGAGTTCCTTCAAAGGCTGGAAACCAGAGGCTTCCACAGGCTGGAAGGGGGACTCCTCATCGTCCTGGTCATGGAAAGGTGACTCGAAGGGCAAAGGCGGCGACGATTGGTCCTGGTCCAGCAGCTGGAGCACGGGAAAGGGCTCTGGAAAGTTTGCCAAAGGTAAGTTTGATGGCAAGGGCGCCAAGGGCAAGGGCAAAGGTCGCTCACCCGATTTAGTTGCAGCACGCACTATTTGAGACAGCCGTGTTTGTTATCTGGAGCTGTGGTGCTAGCTAGCAGCTGACCGGCAGCTAGCTGCAGATAGCGGCAAGCTGAGACATGTTGTTGTCTTGACCGCAGTCGGACGATTTTTCACTTTCCTTGACAGCTTTTGCGTCTTTTCGCTTCCAGATGTGGATCGGTTCGGATGACAGGCAACAGCAATGGTGCAGCAGATTCAAGCATGCGGACGGGCTTGTGGGGGCACGGAGTAGTTGTCCTGGGCAGTATGGGCCGCTGGTGCGTCAGACGGGTTTGGAGTAAGGGTGGCTGGGGGTGCAGGTGTGGGCGAGGAGTGGGCTTGGGTGCAGGTTTTGAGGGGGAACGGTGTAGGGCCAACTACAAACGTCGTCGGCTCTACAAATGTGCAACGAAGAGCCCACGGCAGGTTGTATGGCACGCAAATGCAAAACAGATTGGCTAGCACGATTTGGATTCTTCTGCTGACGCATATCCTCCGATTCAGTTCGACAGTGATTGCAATCCCATGAGATTGGAGCACTGCCGCGGTGAACAAGCATAGACACTACTAAAGGCACTAATGACATGCACGTTGCAGGAGATTTCCTCCATAAGGGGTACCTGAAACTGTCGGTAGCATGTGTCGTCGAAAAGGTGCTGAGCAATTCAGGGACCTGTCGGCCGCTGGCAGTCACACTGTTTCATTGAGGGGGGGTCAGCGCTCAAGATAGGCAAGGGGGATATTTGCTCTGATAGTACTCAACGAAGGCCTTCTCATTCTCTCTGGCAATATCAAGTCTTTGCGCCATTGCACCGTTATGAGAGAAGGGTGCGATGGGAACACTGGGTTTGCCGTTGCCAGCTGGCATGTGCTCCGAGGCAAGCGGGGTCCTGGCCACAAGCTACCTCGCACCCGAGTTACGGAGAATCCAGTCTTGGGGGAAGTGCTGGAGTGGAAGGGCATCTTGTCCAATCGATCTAGAGCCTTGCGGAGCGGCAAGCACTCAAAAGCCTGCTGCCTATTGGCGCGACGACCGATCCATGCATGTTGCTGCCTGGAAGTTCAGTGCTGAATCTGAGCTTAAGGCAAATACGGCTGGATTAGACCGTCTGAGCAAGTGCAACATGCACAGGCCCGGCATTCTTTCTTCATTCTTGCGGCTATGGAAGCTATGTATGCCAAGTGCAGTCCGGCATGATGATTTTCAGGCTGATCGGCGAGAAGGAAAGATCTTTGTTAGCCAGCAGGACCTTGTCGGTACGTCTGTGCCGACCTCAGATGTGAGTCTGTGCGCATGTCCACAAGTCTCGGCCAGTATGCAAGAATGTCTGTAGGACCCAGCGCTAAACGATCCTGCAGCTTAGGAATTGACACCGGGGAGACTGTGCCAGTTTCAGATATTTTCAGACCCGTCTGGGCTCGGTGCCGAGGACCTGTCGTACATAGGAGAACTTGTAGAATCGTGGAGAAGTTATAGGCGACATTGAGATCAGCAGCCGGCACAGACCGAAGGCAGAACGTAGGGTATTCATCAGTCAAGACGCGAAGTAGGAGCCCGACAGATTGACAGGACTTGAACCTGCGCTCGGCATGTCCTTCAGAGTGAGCGCATGGAAGACTTGTTCAGCACTTGCCGTTTTGTGGCCCCTGCCAGGAGTGTCTGCAGGCCTGACAGCGAAGAGATGGATGAGACTTCCCGATTCTGACGATGCCCTGCTTTCTTGCATCTTCCATCTGAGCACCTTTGGTGAGCTTCGGGGGAAAGGCCAAGGCCACGGCCGTGACCCAACTAAGGGCTCCAAAGCAAAAGACATGGCTTGCTCTGGGCTGAAGGTTTTGTGCAAAGAGACGGCCACATGATACTGCAGCTTGGGAAGATTTGCAAAAAGGATGCCTGCTCTGCAGCTTGCAACATTCGAGCACAGCGAATCATCTGGCAGCTGGTGTGCGTGTGTGCAGAAGAGCTAAGCGTTTCCTTGAAAGTGCAGTGCGCTGCAAACGCTGCGAGGAGGGGCCTTGTCTGAGCTTTTCACGACAGAATACGTTGACACTTTGTGGCGCACCCAGGGACATTGTGCGACCAAGCGTTTCCTCTGTTCTCCTCGCACGGGCACTGCTTTTGAGGATGATATTGGCGAAAGCCACCTCGAAGCTGGTGGCTGTTCAGCCGGTCCTCGTCGAGGTGTCGGGAACCATAGCAATCACCTGGGTCAGTAGCATTGCGGTGCTCATTTTGATGAGCGTTTATGTAGAACCCCAAGTTTCTGTTCAGCGAATCAGAAGCTCTGAACCAACTCGGCACTGCAGCACGAAGTGGTTCAATTTGTTGGCCCCAGGCAGTGTCGACTTTGTATCCTGGGCAGGCCAGAGTTCCTTGCCGAGTCTTTGGTGACATCCATGGTCAACTCCGGGATCTGCTTCTGATCTTCGTGGGGTCCCGAGCTGCCCCAGACACTCAGATAGCATGTGGCTAACAGGTGAGGGTGGTTCAACAACATGCAGCGGGGGGTAGAGGCAGAGGATCCTTGCCGAGCTTTGCTAAACCAAGCTCTCTGCACTGGTTCAGGATCCCAGGGCTGATTGCTCTAAGAGTATTTGCTTTTGACATCTAGTCGCATTTTCGCTGTACACTGCGTGTTTGTCTTGAATTTGCATTGCTGCTGCATTGACTGATTGATTGTTGGCCAGGTGGGCTAGGCAGGGGGCTAAGCCAAGAACCCCAGCAATCACTACAGAGACCTGACTCAGGGCGTCTGAGACTTGCTAGGGACAGGTAAGGTGTGGCGTGGTATCGAAAGCTTTTGCATTACCACTCTGGCAATCTAAGTGTGTGCGTGTGATTCTCCAGGTCCTTAAGATGTTTCGACAGTCCTGATTGAGTTGACCTTTACCAGTTTGCACGTCTTCGTGGCGTTCGAGGCAAAAACACAGACATAGTCGCTCAAAGGAAACTCGTTCGGACAACAAGCGGTGAGTTTCGGCTGGCCCGAGTGCGCAGAAGGTCCTGTCGTTCAGCGCAAAGCTTCCACGCTGGGGTAGAAGACAAGCAGTGAATATTCCCGCTCCCGGCGAATTCAGAAGGAAGTATCCTTTGAGTTCGTCGTGGCACTTGCATATTTGCAGACTTTTCGCTCCTGGCTTAGCTCAGGCCGCCTTCGGTTTTCCTGGAAGCAAAGAGGACAATTTGAATGACCTCGAAATGCGGATCCCTCAGATTCAAGGGCTTCGTGCGTTGATGCGTGGTCAGGGGCCAGGCCCGAGGGAGCAGCCCTCGCCAAGCAGCATGCCGTCAAACGTTGGGAGCTGCTTCCATAAGCAAAACCAATTAGATGTCGAGTGAGCCTTCTGCTATCATGACACTATCTCAGATCGCTGATCCGGACCGAAGACGTTTCTTGTGAAGTTAGCAGAGCGTGTATACTGTATTCAGTATCTGGCTACTCATCGAATTTGCAGCCTCGAAAGGTGGGGAGGGCCATGGGCGATGACACCCAACAATTGAATCCCAGGGCGACAGTGTTATTATAGGATTCGCCATGTCGCGCTGCCTCCTTGCCTGGCTTCTCTTATGTGGTGTTCAAGGATCCGAGTTTGCCTGGACAGACGTCGCACAAACCAATGCGCCGACTGAAAGAGTCGGTCAAGGCATGGTTATCACATCGCAAAACCGGCTCTGGATGTGGGGTGGCAGTTCCAGTAGCAGCCTCACGACCGATTTGTACTACGTCGACATTCAGGCGGCCAGCAAAGAGTGGCAATCACACACACCATCTGGTAATGCGCCCGCCATGCGGGATCATCACAATATGATGATCACTTCTGATGACACGATGTACATGTACGGTGGGGGTGGCGATGATATCTGGTCCATGGACCTCCAGGCCGCGTCTCCAGTGTGGACGGAAATATCGACATCGGGCACTCCGCACGGTACAGGGGATCATAACACAGCCGTGCTGACAACGAGCAATGTGATGTGGGTATTCGGCGGCCACACCCCCGAACAACAACAAAGTCACCTATATCGACCTCACGGCATCCAGCCCGCAATGGACTTCGGTGTCGCCAACGGGCGACCTCCCCGAAAACCGAAGGCAGCATGCTGCCGTCATGACTTCAACTGATGTGATGTACATCTTCGGAGGCGCAGCAGACTCCGGCCACAAGAATGATTTGTGGAAGCTCGACACGAAGGATCCCACCCAGTGGGTGGAGGTATCGCCGAGCGGGAGCTTGCCTGGGGTGCGCCGCGGCCACAAAGCTGCCATTACTTCGGCCGACGTGATGTGGATCGTTGCGGGCGAGCAGGATTGCTGCTTCTACAGTGATGTGTGGTACATTGATCTCCGGGCCGCGAGCCCCCAATGGACGGAAGCAGCCAGTGCGCCTGCGAACCGCGCACACCATTCCCTTGCCATCACGTCGGATGACAAGCTTTGGGCCTTTGGTGGCTACCACAGCGGCTGGCACAACACCTTATGGAACATGGATGTCAAGGTGACCACGACAACGGCCACGGCTACTTCTTCGACAACAGCCACAGCCACAGCTAGCTCCACAACGAGCCAAACGATTTCCAGCACGACTTCCACAGCAAGTTCGACGTCAAGCAGCACAGCTACGATCAGCACAACTTGGAGTAGTACTACCACTGGAAGCTTGACGTCAACAAGCACATCCTCAAGCAGTACCATCACAAGCAGCTCTAGTTCAAGCAGCACCAGCTTCAGCAGCACGTCTACAAGCAGAACAAGCACCACTAGCACAACAACAGCCAGCACAACTTCCAGTAGCTCAAGCAGCACAACCACAAGCAGCACAACCAGCAGCAGCACGACCACACGCAGCACGACTTCAACCATCACGAGCACGAGCAGCACGTCGACAAGCAGCGCGACCACGAGCAGCTCGACCACAAGCAGTTCGACCACACGCAGCACATCGACAAGCTCCAGCAGCAGTTCAACCTCTACCTCCAGCAGCACAACGACTGTGAGCTTCAGTTCCACAACCAGCACTAGCAGTAGCAGTTCATCAACGACGTCAACCTCGTCAACCGCATCCTCAACTGTCACAAGTTCCTCGTCAGTAACCACCTCAAGCATCAGCACGTCTAGCACTTCATCATCATCCCCCACCTCAACCACAACAAGTTCGAGTACCACAACATCGGAATCACAGACATCCACAACCACACTGACGACCAGCAGCACAACGCTCACCGGCGAGGACCTGGCCAAGCATATCCAGGATCTGCAGCGGCAGGAGGAGGCCGCTCAAGCTGTCGCTGCAGTGGAGGCCATCGAGGAGGAGACGGTGCAAGAACTGCTTCAGGCCCTCTTTACTGATGGTGCGGCAGATCCAGTTGAAACAGGCGGGATCCTGGCCAATGTGACGAGGCAAACGGAGAACGGCACAGTCAAGGTCACTGCAGTGGCGCCCCAGGCAGTGAGGCGCGACGGCATCATTGAAATCACATCGGGAGAGACGACCAAAGTGCGCGTGCCAGCAGCTGTATTGGCGCAGGCGGCTGATCGGCGGCCGGCACAGGCAGGCGACCCTCCAGAGAACGCTTCACGGATGCTGTTGATCAGTGTCACGGATATTGCTGAACAGAAAGCCAGCAAGTTCGTCGACAGGCGCGAGGAGGGCGAGGCCACGTCCTTCGTGAAGACGAAGACCTTAAGCATTACTCTGCGGGACGAAGATGGGAAGGTGGTGGAAATAGGCCAGCTTCTCCGACCTATCGAGTTTGTGCTCGAGTCGGAGGATCTCACCAACACCTCGTGTGCCTTCTGGGACGAGGAGCACAGCAGCTGGTCCTTCCGGGGACTTGAGACCTTGCCGGACCCGGCGCCCGGCCAACTCATGTGCCGAACCCAGCACCTGTCCATCTTCAGCGGGGTCTTGACCGATATTTGGCAGAGCGCCGTGTCAGTCTTTGAATGCAGCTCCGTTTGGGAGTTGTTTACGCAAGAAGGTGTGGAGCGGCTGGCTGCAGGGCGCTGGATAAGCTCACTTCCAGCCATCTCAACTTTGCTCTTCGTGGCCTCGTTCTTTGTCGTGCTCCTGCGCGCTGCCTATGTCGACAGGAAAACGCAGCAAGTAGTTCCCTGGGAAATGGTGGAGCCGGTGCTTTTCCGCGAGAAGCCCCATGTTTCCGGGGAAGACTCGGACTCGGATGCCGAGGGCGACGATGAGCCCAAGCTCAAGCGCAACTGTTGTGTCCGCCAGCTCATCACGGTGAAAGAGTGGTGCTTTTGGTGCACGGGGATCTGCTTCGGCGTGGAGAACATCGTGCAGATCGTCACAGAGTTACTTCCGAATGCGCCGGAGGCCACGGTGAACCGCTGCATCAAGACACTCCATGCACATCGCAGTGGCGTGGCCAAGGACAGCTTGGCCATCCTGCTTCCGGCTGGTGAGAAGTTCGATGCCGACGACACCTTCGAGGAGGATTCGGGCCGAAGGCAGGTCGCTCGAAGCCAAAACCGGCAGAGCGTCTTCGCAAGTCTGGCGGGGGCGGCCCTCCCGAGCATGAACAACTTCACCTCGGCCCTTCGGGATCTCAGTGCCCGATGGAACGTCCACATCCACGGTGCCGGCGCAGTGAAATCCATTCTCGGCCGTTCCTGGTGCGCGCGCGTGGGGCTGCTCCTGCCCGCCTTCCACCCCTGGATTGCGCTGCTGCGGCTCAGCATCGTGACCTCCTACAAGGTCCGTGTCTCCCTGATCTTTCTGAAAATTTGCACATCAGGCGCCACGAACGCCTTGTTCTTTTCGAGCAACTCTCCGCTCGAGGGCTCGGATCCGAAATGTTGGACGCCGAAGGATTACTTCCGGAGGCTTGTGACGAACACCATTGTGGGCTTCCTTGCTGCCTTCCTGGGCGACTGCGTTGTCTTCACCCTCTTTCTGCTCCAAGTTCGCAAGCCTGTTGAAAAGCGGCAGTGGTCGGAAAGGGCGATTAGTCGGCAGATCGCCACTTGGCGCTGCAAAGGCTTCTGCTTCTGGTTCATTTGGCTATTCTACTCGGGCACATGCGTGTTCTACGTCATGATCTTCCTCGCCAATGTACGGTTGGTGGACGCCCATGACTGGTACCAGAGCACCGGCATGAGCTTGCTGCAGGACTTGTTCGTGCTCCCTCTCACCACGGCTGTCGCTATGGGCACTTTGGCAACACTGGCCCTGAGAAGCCGAGGTGTGAGGGCCAAGATTGAATCGAGGTGGTTTGAAGACGATAACGAGGTCCAGGAGGGGTGCCCGGATGAACCTGAGATGGAGCCAGGCGCAGTCATCGTGGATACAGGCACTGTCCCTGTGAGCCGAGGGAGCCCATCTCGACCAGCAAAGGCGCCAGCACACTTCGACGACGTCTTGCCAGGGATGCCCATGGAGAGCTCTTGAAGGGGAGGGAGTAAGCCTTCGACAAGGTTGACATCGAGGATCCAAGTCGCCGTCGCTTTTATTCTTGAGGATGTTTCCCCATGCTAGAGATATAGACTATAGCAGTACAGGAGGTATAGCCGCTCTTCTGATCCCTTTCTGGGGATCCTAAGGCTTTCGGGAGCCCATGCTATTGAGGGGTCCCCTTGTTGGGCCCCCCAGAAAATGTGAGAATGTCCTGTATTCCTGGTCTTTATCTTCTCGAGCAGGCTCCCGCAAGCGTAAACAGTGCTCAAAGAGCATCCATGTTGGTGGGAACCGGCGCTTGACCAATGCGCATATATCCAAATCGGTCAGGTCATTTTTGAGAGGGAAAGCTGCAATCGTAACATGCAAAAATTTCTTCCTACACCATTCGTGTCAAGCTGTCAGGCCCTTACAAGCACGAGCTTTAGAGCTCAGCATCCACTGAAGTTGGATGCGTCAGAAAGGGCAGACCGCCTCTTTTTTGCGGTTTTCGAGCCTTGTAGGCAAGAAGCCAAAGGCAGTACATCTGCGGCTTTTCCGAGGCGAGTACCCGCAAAGCTCCGAGGACATTGTTGTTCCGACATCGGTTCAGCAAGCGGAGATTTTCTCAAGGTTTGGGGTTCCGTGCCTGAATTTTTTGGACTTAGGCCGATACGTGTAATAAGCAGTACAGGTGTCCGTGAGCCGAATTCCCATCCTTGATCAACAGCGCCTTTCATAAAAGCCACCGCCATTGCTCGCAGGGCACGTCGGTTGGCAGTTGGGGAGCCAGCGCTTGACCAATGTAAGTGTATCTAAGGGATCGGTACCACCTCGAGCGCAGCACCCTTCTGTAGAAGTTGGATGCATCAGTACGGATCCCCCGACGTGCGCCTAGGGCAATGCGAGTAGGCGCAAAGCTCCGAGGACATTGTTGTTCCGACATCGGTTCAGCAAGCGGAGATTTTCTCAAGGTTTGGGGTTCCGTGCCTGAATTTTTTGGACTTAGGCCGATACGTGTAATAAGCAGTACAGGTGTCCGTGAGCCGAATTCCCATCCTTGATCAACAGCGCCTTTCATAAAAGCCACCGCCATTGCTCGCAGGGCACGTCGGTTGGCAGTTGGGGAGCCAGCGCTTGACCAATGTAAGTGTATCTAAGGGATCGGTACCACCTCGAGCGCAGCACCCTTATATAGAAGTTGGATGCATCAGTACGGATCCCCCGACGTGCGCCTAGGGCAATGCGAGTAGGCGCAAAGCTCCGAGGACATTGTTGTTCCGACATCGGTTCCGCAAGCGGAGATTTTCTCAAGGGTTGGGGCTCCCTGCCTGAATTTCAACGGCTTCAAATCGAGCAACTACATTTTTCCCTGTACGATCACGTGGTGCTAGGGTACAGCACAGTAACGTAGCACAATTCAGGCATGGTCCACAGCCCTGAGGGCCTAAGTGATCCTTGAACCGGTTAGGTTCCTTGAACAAAGGCGCTAATAATTACTATGTTGTTTGTCAATTTGTCGTTTGTCCACCATTGTACTTTCCCAACATGCCGTGGGAAACAGGCATTTGGACTTAGGCCTATAAGTATAATAAGGTTAGCAGTGCAGCTGTGCTTGAGACGAATCAAACAGCGCCTTTCATGTTAATAAGCACACCACTCGTCGCTCGAAGGGCACGAGTGCGGTCGCATCTGGCCGGCTTTGAGTCGCAACGACTCTAGCTCCGCATCATGTCTAGAAGCCGCTCGCCACGGTGCAGGGATCGGTACCACCTCGAGCTTTTGATTGCAGCATCCTTAGAAGTTTGATGCGTCAGTAGCGGGTCCCCCGAGGTGCGCCTAGGGCAATGCGAGTGGGCGCAAAGCTCCGAGAACATTGTTGTTCCGACATCGGTTCCGCAAGCGGAGATTTTTTCAAGGTTTGGATTCAGGCATGGTCAACAGCCCAGCGCATGTGCGGACTCCCAAGCGCCTATTTGATCCTTGAACCGGTTAGGTCCGGTTCCTTGCACAAAAAGCGCTGATGCTATGCTGTTTGTCATTTGTCGTTTGTCCACCATTGTACTTTCCCAACATGCAATGGGAAAGGAATTTGGACTCAGGCCTGTAAGTATAACAAGGTTAGCAATGCAGTTGTGCGTGAGCCGAATTCCCATCCTTGATAAACCACCTGACATAAAAGCTACCGCTCGTTGCTCAGGGCACGTCGGTTGGGGAGCCAGCGCTTGACCAATGTAAGTGTATCTAAGGGATCGGTACCACCTCGAGCGCAGCCCCCTTAGAAGTTGGATGCATCAGTACGGATCCCCCGATGTGCGCCTAGGGCAATGCGAGTAGGCGCAAAGCTCCGAGGACGTTTTTTTAATTCCGACGGCTTTGCTCCTCGCTGTTCATAGAATTCCATGAGCTTCAACAAACAGATGGTTTGAAGGCCATCTTTCTTGTGCGCGAAAATTTTGTGAACAGCGCTCTGGCTTAGAGGTGGAACATCAGTGGCTTCATGGTCACATGCTCGGCGCAGCCTAAGCTGCTTTCTTGTGTGCAATTGTGTAAACAGCCCCTGGAGTGCTGGTATTGTGGTACTGTAATAATACCATCATAGTACTATAATCGCATCATGTCATCACATCTGTGAAAACCCAGGGTCTGAGAAAGACGCGTTGTGCACAGCTGGTGCACTCCACATTTTCGGACTCATGAGGCACGAAAGTTCAAGCTGAAAGCATGGACAGTCGTTAGGGCCTCAGACCTTAAGACCCACATACAGCATCGCTGTATACTGTGAGTTCCGACGCACTGCTACTTCCCTTCCTTTACGTGGTCTGTAGTTGTCGCCTTGCTCGTGTACAGGGAAGGAGGAGTGAGTTTTCCTTGGAACTTGCTTGTAGTGCAGTTTTTCAGCTTTTCAGTCCAGACAATTAGCCTGCAGTGCGACGTGGAAAGAAAAGGGAAGTTCAATACAACTTCCTTACGGCAGACGCAATGAAGACTTGGAGGGTTGCAGTTGTTTAAGTACTTGACAGGTCTTATGTTTTCAACGGCGACTTCGTTGACAGGCAACACTTGAAACTTGAGGGATTCTTGATCATGCAGCATGCCTTGCGTCCTTGCTAGGGGAGCGCACTCCCTGGAAGTCATTGGACTGTTGCTGGCCTTGAAAGTTCTTTGCCCAGCCGGCCTCAGCATTGTGGGCCCGGCATGCTCGGACATGTTAAGGTCTCAATGCCGGACCGTGCTGCAGCCTCAAACAGCTCGTGACGTCTTGAGTGACAGCCACCTTCCACTAACTGTAGTATACCAGGTTTGGCTGGTTCGTGGAAACCACGAGGATCGCACCATGAATGCCAGATACGGCTTCTGGGAGGACACCTCACTTGCCTCGGCTGAGACACAATCGCTTCTCCAAGCTTTCCAGGAATGTCACGATCGGCTTGGCGACACATTCGGCCGCAAAACTTATGCCAGCGTCTTGGTGACGAGCGCTCCCTCCGAAATCTGCAACACAATTTTGAGCCAGGACCTTTTTCAGACCACATTTGACCAGCTACCGATCGCTTGCCTCGTCGCCAACAAGATCCTCTGTGTGCACGGAGGTGTGGGGGATGGGAGGCGAGATCCTCAGGCAAAGAGCGTGGGATACATCTTTAGGCAGACAATTGTGGGATCAGCTTTCCAGGTGGGATCTTAATGACCTACGAGCTGTCAGACGACCTTTGAGCCAACAGGTGCCTGCCACAGTCGAAAGTACGGGCAGCATTCTTTAAAGTAGATGGCTGTTTCTCCAAGCTCAGCTCTGAAGCTCTGCAGCAGTTGGCGATGTGCGCTTTTCCAGATGACAGGAGCTTTGTTCGACGAAGCTGCGTTGGGATCGGAACTCAAATCTGTTGGAAAAGAACTAGTCTAGCAGTAGAACACGATTTCAAGGTCCACAACATTCTCTGGTCAGATCCAATCGAGGACGGTTTCTGCCGTTGCTTTGGCAGGCTACTGGCCCCTTGATGAACGCTGCCAAAGATAGCAGTGGTTTGACATGACAGTTCTTTAAGCATTCCAACTGTCCAAGTGTGGGAGGATGATCGTGAACAGCGATCTCAAGAAGCAGGTGGGAACACATCGCATATTTCTTGGACAAGCAGATCCCAGTGGAGAGTCAAACAGTGCTAGAGCCGATGACTGCTGGCCGAGAGTTTCTAGTTTCAAAGTGCATTCAGGCCCTGTCTTCGGGGTGCATGAATCGCCACGGAACACAACTGCCGTCCTCTTCGGTTGGGTCGGGGCCTTTGCCTACGATCTTCAAGCGAAGCTTCCAAATGTGGTTGCAGAGTCTTTCAACCTGGCTGCCCAGGATGTAACAAAGACATTCTGTGCCAAGAACGGTATCAACATGGTCGTGCGCAGCCACCAGTCCAAGAAGGATGGAATAGGCTCGAAAGTGGTTGGATTGTGGGGATTTCCCGAAGCGCTTCGGTTTTCTTGGGTTTGTGTGGCCTCATGGTGTCAAGAACGGCCGGAAAGACGTGCTGTGGACACATCGAGAGAAGAAGAAGAGATGTGTCTGGTGAATCCAAGACACGAATCGGCAGCATGCGAGGCCACAAAAAGAAACCAGCATATTCAGTCAGGCCTGATGACGAGTTTCTTCCACTCCCTCGTTGTGTTGGTGGCAGGAGTTCAGTGGGTTTCGAGAGTCCTTTGCACAACTTACGGAGCAAGGTACGGTGTTTCGCGGGTCTACATCTACTGACTGACGGGCAGACCTGTGCACAAACGAAGAAACTTCGGTCTGCTCCAAGCTGCCGATGTCCTTAGCACCCTTTCAATTTTTCGGTCAAGCGTTTGGCAATCCCGGTTCACCACCCCTTCCCACTTGGGGCAGGGACGCGTTGCCGCAGAAGCCTAGTGTCGTCTGCACCCCGACCTCTCCATGACGTCATATGACGTCTCAAGTTCCGCCATACTCAAGAATTGCAGCAGTCACAGGGATGAGGGGCTTGGAGCCGGAACGAGCTTGTCAGTTCCTGATTTTGAAATGATTTTGATACTCTGCGTCAACCTCGGCCTTGTTCAAAATAGCCACGGTCACAGGGAAGGTTGGAACGTCCACCCAGGGCATGTAGACAGCATGGTGCAACACTGTTCTATGGATTCTTCAGGCAGGAGTTGGCATGTGTCAGCGCCGACATGCCTTGAAAGGTGTTGATGTGATGCATGACAACATGCTGATCCGGGTGTTCTCAGCACGCGATTACGAGGCAAGGCTGAAGCATGCAAGCATCGCATGGTTCGAGCTGGCTCCGCTGGAAGGGTTCATGCTTCGTTCTGCACACCGTGCCGGTTACCGGGCAAAACGCATTATGCAGCGCCTGAGCAGGGCCACGGAAACGATGGCGCAGTCCTCCTCGTACAGCCAACCGACGAGGGTGCTCGGTCGTTGGATGTGAATTCTTCTTGTGTGCGTGTAGCATCTCGGCAAGTGTTTAGTACTCAGGAGGAATGCGTGTCTGCAGAAATGGCAGGAGATGCGCAATGCTGTGATCGGCCAGAACAGATCATGGTGAGAGCACAGGTTCTTGGATCGTTCGCCAAGGCCACACGGAGCAGGTCAAGAACACCGGTCATGTAACATGTAGTTGGGACTTGTGAAACGCTCAGGCGACGGCCAATGCCAGCCGTGGAGCTCTTTACCACCTCAATGTGTCACAGGCTCACCGCTATTGTGATTGAGTGAGTTAGTGTCCCCTCTCAGCAACAGTCTGACAGGACAGCGGGCATTGAGCTGCCTCAGCGAGAGGGGTTCAGCTTCCTGTATATTCTCGCACTTGTATGCCAACATAAGCGCATGGAGCAGGGTGTACCTGTCAGATTGATGAGCAGCAGGCAATGGCAGAAGATACAATTCAACTCGATGGAACAAGTCTGCGACAGTAATTTGGTAGATTTTGCAAGACACACCTCAGTTTCACCTTCGCATCAAATGAATGCGACAGAATTCAAACTCGTAGGTAGTTCCCCGGCCCGATGCGCCTAATTTGTGATCCGCCTCCGACCCCCCCCCTTGGGCTTTCCCACATACAAAGTTGGAAACCAAACGTGTCAATTGTGCTAGGAGCTGCTCTCGGTTGTTGCGCTGCATGCAGGAGCAAGCATGCTTGCCAGAGCTAGTTCAATCTTTGGTTAGCCTTTCCTTCATCAGGTGCTACGAGTGCGTGCTTTCGTCCTGAGTCTCGGCTGTCGCCGTCCCCGAGAACGAAGCAGGATGAGGCGCACCAAGTAAGTTTGGATGTGGATCAAGCGCAGTTGCTATTTACAGCATGACGTGCGATACATGCAGGCAGACGTCATGGTCACCTTCGTGGTTCGTGGTCAGACGAAAAGTGAACAAGTCCCACGAAAGTCGCTGACAGACGAGGCGAGGTCACTGGCTGTCTGTGGAGAAGGTGGACAAGGTCCGATTGTCTGGTGGCTTGCAACATGTCTGTGCAGGTCTCTCCAGTTTTGTGCTGTGCTCAGCTGCCTGGGAAAGCTCCTCTAAGATATTGACGACGGGATGATAGTGGAACTTGGGCTTCAGCTTCGCAGGCGGGCCATGGTGGAGGAACGGCAGGACGACGACAGCTACACACGTGGCGAGCAGGTGCAGCACAGTGCTTGGTTTGATGGCTGTTTCGGTTTGTTGTTGCATCAGGACTCGCAAGGCCGCTTCGTGTTGGAGGGCCCCACTAACGCAAAAGCTTTTGCTTTGCTTGCCCGGAGCCCAGACAGGGAGTACACAGAGCATTAGCGAGCACATGTAATGATGGTCGAGCCTCCCGTGTACAAATGCGCGATGCATGCAATTATGTTGATGCTGCGTACGTTTTGCCCACGTCCCATTTCTCCGAATGTGCACATGGCATTGATTGAATGCCCGTGCTCAGAAGGCGACGGATCTTGAATGTCGTAAGGCATCAGAGTTTTGCTGGTGGCTCCCGAGGTTGAGTGCGTGCGGCAGGCCGGTGCGGCAGCTTCACTCAAGTGCAGCACAAGTAGCAGACTCTGGCACTGCCCGTTTCATCTGTGCCCTTGAGAACTCATCCTTTCCCCTGCAAGCTCGGCTGCAAGGACATGGATAGTGGCAATACTGTCAACTCAGTGTGTGATCGAAACTGACGGCCTTCCCGTGGTAGCACCCATTCTGACACACCAGCATAAGCATGCGAAGTTGTGTGCCCATGCGGGCACCGTGCCGTATAGGCGCAGTGCAAAGCGTCTGTGGCGGCTTTGTGCAGAAGCAAACGGGTCACGGTTGTAGAATTTGTTTTGCAATTTGGACGCCGCACAGCGGCCGAGCATCTGGAGCCATGGTTTCCGGTCTTATTGTGGGTGCTGCGTTTGCGGGCATTTACAACTGGGCGTCTGGCGCCGCCCGGTGTAAAGCGGAAGGAAAGTCTGTGGACTTCCTTTTAGACGGCCACGGTTGGGCTGCAGGTCTACTCCTACAATCGGGATGCTTGGATGACTGACATACAGGCAGGCCCTGATGCCGCACATGCACAGACTTGGCTTAGGGCGCGGCTGCTTTTGTATGTCGATGCAGGTCGAGCAAGCTCATCATTATCAAAAGGACTTGACCTCCTTGTGGCATGAGTGCTTGTGCCTTCCTGATATTGTGCCGGCCCGTCGTCCAACTAAAGCAGCTGAAGTGCACGGAGTCTGGAGGACAACCTGCAAATTCAGATGCAAGCAATGCGACGAGACGAAGTTAGAGATCTTGTAAATTCAGACATCAACCGGACTCTCGGATTGCGCGTGATTTCCCTCAACGAATATGGTAAGTGCTGCAAGCCACACAACTCCCCCCACCCAAGGATCAACAGCTCGCTCTTGGTCGCTACATTGATTTTATCACTGGCAGGACTGGGCAGGGTGCTGAACACGTGATTGCAGAAAGCCGCAACATAAACCAGGCAGGCCATCTGCGCAGGAGAGATGCTCTTCGAAGGTCAGATTCCAACAGATTGCCCTCCTTTCGTGCCATGGCCAGCTGTTGAGTCGCAAAAAGTTTGGCAAGATACCAGCACGGAGTGCGCACTTTTCGAGCAAGTTCTGATGCCATACTCTCGGAAAGCACGTCCGTGTCGGAGACGGGCACAAGTCAAATTGAAGTTACAGATGGTTGGGGCAACGTAAGAGAGCCTGGGCCTGGCTCTCCGGGTTCCAAACATTGCAAGGGGGAGGTGGAGGCGAATTGGACTTGGGCCGTTTTCCCAATGCTGGTCCACCCCCCTGAGCCCCAGGTGCTGAATGCCTACATGCTCTGCCTGGGCAGCGCAGTCTTTTATTTGACCTTGTCCATTCTGTCTGGAATCATCGCCAGCAACACAGCGTACCGAAAAGCCGCAAGGCCTTGACGGGGTTGTTGAGAGGCGCAGTACTGCCGACTGTTTACCGTGTAGGTTTGGGAAGGTGGCTTGGACAGAAAGCCAGCAGAAAGCCATGTGTTTCCACCTTTGCTGCTAGCATGCATGCTGTTGTCAGCCTTGGATTGGTGCTGCAGTCGCGGGCTACTAATTCTGAAAGTCTGAGCACTGGAAGTGGAGGCTTCTCGTTCACTACATTCGCCCACGGTGGAAGCAGCATTTTCAACAGCTGCGTCAACGCCAAGCCCATGTGCCTTGTCGGGATTTGTGACAGGTGCTCGGTTCGGCGGCACGCTGGCCCTTGCAGTCCACTGTGTAAATCCTATGAGTAGGTGCTCTTGGCAAGCACGAAATGGGAAAGCCCCTTCCGCTCTTTTGAGATGTGTGAGGAAAACACTGCCTGCTTCGAGTCGAAGCCTGTTGGCGAGATGATGCTGATCCTTTGCTGCATGCGGGTAGCCGAACGATGCATGTCCAGAATAATTAGTTCTCGTCTCCGTGCCCTGAGAGCAAGCAAATTGCAACGACAAATCCTTATCTTAGCAGCAATATCGGCTTTCCAGAGTACCGACCACATCGTGATTTGCAGCCTGAATGTGCCAGGTCGGTAGTAGTAGATTCGTCTGGCATCTTCGGACCTTCGGCGCATGCCACTTCAGATTAGACAGTAAAGCCGTCAAGGCTTTGGTGCAACATGGTGCAACAGTTTTGGGTCCCTAGCAGTCGAAACGTTGACACGGCATGTGTGTGGGTCATGCATGACCAGGCCTCCACTGGCCGGGCGAATGTGGAGATCATTTAGGATCCTCGGCGTTGGTGAAGCATCACCTTCACACGATGCTTCTGACGCGACTCGTGCGGCACATGCCTCGATCGCTCGGTTCTAGGCGGAAAAATCCGGACAAGTCTGACAACCTGTCGGCGGCAAGTCCAAGGGCGGTGCCGGGTTGCAGCAAGCGCAGTCAATCCCATGAAGCACGGTTTGGCTTTTCGTGCAACCGCTTGCAGCCTGCCGTCGGTTTCCGGAGCACCTGTCTGAAAGGTGCCGCATAGCTTGAGTGACATGCATAAGAAGAACGTCGAGCGATTTTATTCGTTCGAGGACACTTTTGGATTCCTTCTGCTTGAAAAACTTGCTTTCCAGTGCAACAGCTGTGGCAGGATAGCTCTCCAGATACCTCTTCGCGCAAGAACCAGCCATCTTTCCTCAGGGGATGCTGTAAAGCCGAATCGAGGACCGGTGACCGGACCAAGCTTTTCATATTCTTTGTCTGACACGTCGAGCAACGCAGCGTCTTTGGTCAGGTCGATGGGAAAGTTCCTGGCGGGTGAGGATGAGGCCGACTCCGACGACTCGGAGGAGGATCGGCAAAATCTCCAAAGAGCCAAGCGGAAGTGGCCTCGCCCCCGGGGCCCCGGCCTTCGGCTCGCATCGGACCTCGCATCTGATCTTGTCTCGCGACTTTCTCGAGGCCTGTGCAATGGTACGTGAAGTTTTGGCACGATCCCAACCACGTGCCCGACTTAATTTAGCTGATTTAGCTTTGCTGCATGGCACGCAGATGTGGAACAGAGGAGGCAAACTCAACGAGGTTCCGCTTTCATTCAGAAGCCCAGGAGTGGCAGAAATACTGCAGTTGCATGTTCTTGAGCGTCGCGCGGGGCACCACCAACTTGGTGGAAGCCTGCGGCTATCTGGCAGTGGGCACACTTTATGGTGGTTATGCTGAAGCGTGGGCTTTCTGGGCAGTGCAGATGCTGTTCTCTGTCGGGACCTTGGTAAAACACGAAAACCACGAGTATTGTACTGGCCGAGTGTTCCAGACTTTCCTTAGACTCGAGTTGTTTGGAGGTGATCAACGTCATGGTGGTGAGATTCCTGCTTGGCAAGTTCGAAAGGGAAGCTGCAGACAGTGACTGGCGCGACTGCCTTCTGAAGCCCAAACGCCCCTTCCTTTTGGCCTTCGTGGTGGCTTCGGGCCCTTTGTGGTGTGTCATCGCAGCTGCGACTTCTTTCGAGATGCTGGATCGGTTCCTCATTCCAACGTGCTACGGCACCCACACAGTGGTGAACATGTACTTCGAGCCATGGCAGCACGAGTGCCGTGGTCTCGCTTGTGCTCCCTCTGGGGATGGCGGGATGGCGACTGTAGGTCTGGTGGCTGGATCACATGACAGAGAACATGAAGCCCGTCGCTGGCGAGGAGGAGGAGGAAAGCTGCTTGCTTGCATAGTGTCTTGGAAAGCCTGTGAGGCTTCAAAGCAAGGTCTCTTGATGAACTGGAAGACGCATCTAACATCAGGCAAAACGGATACTGGATACTGGCAGCGGGTACGCGGTTGAGGGCATGGGTTCCCCAATAAGATTATCACGGGGGCTTGTGTTGTTGCATTCAGGGCCACAGGTTGCGCCGTCAACGGTAGAGGCTTGTACAGCTTGTCGCAGCCCGACGCCGTTGGCCATATGAACATATACCATTTTGTAATATTTTTGTACTATACTATGTCACGATATACTATACTATAAAATACTTTGTTATGATATACTGTACTATACTATAATAGAAGACCGCAGAGATCCTGGAGCCCTCGAGCTGTCAAGACTCGTGAGCCGAGGCTCCGAAGATCAGCTCGAGCTCGGGGGTGTTGGAGTCAGGAACGAGAGCCTCGGCGGGAGAGACGGATTCCAAAGACTCGGGGAGGCATGATTAAATTCGTTATCTCTACGATTTTGGGGGACTCCTTCTGATACTGATAGTGTATTCCACTCCAGGGTTTTGGTGGTAAAGTTTGGATGTACTGCTCCGGCTAGTTTGTCAGTAGCCGACTGCCGGGGCCGCTGGTATTGTGTCCTCTCTCTCTCTCTCATGTGTGAGTTTCCTTCGCTGCTGTTGATGGCTTCTTGGCAGCCGCTGTATCGTCAAAGGCGTGGTCCCCGGCCTAGAAGACCGAAAGAGAAAGGCGGACTGAGTGGAATGATGATGCTTTGGCTTGGTAGCTCGCCTGGACTCAAGCAGGTTACAAGTTTCCTGAAGGGCAGGCACTGCTCAGCCTTCGCGTGTTCGTTCGCAGGGCACGCTGCTGGTCACGGCATGCATCGCAAGACTGCCTCGTACGTCACGCATGTGGAGACCGTTCTTGCACTCACCGCCAATGCTTGACTTGGTCTTGTGCAATCTTGTGCACGTCACTACTTGACCGGGCCGTAATTCAGTGTTGCAAATTCACCGAGGCTTTCGGAATAGCTTCACGCCACGCCAGTTTGTGAACTGATCCGGCAATTGTGTGTCTGCGTGCCGATGTGAGGTACGCTGGTCATTAGCGCATTTTGGATGTTCGCCTTGGTCTGGGCTCTCCACGGACCGGGACTTAGCGTTGGTGGCAAGTCCATGGAGACGGACATTTGTGGCTTGTGAGGCGCTTGCTACGGCATGGATTTCAGAAACAGCAAGGCCCAACTTCCGACTCGCGTTTTGATGCATAGCTGCATAGTCTTAGTCCTGTGAAGAGCGGAGGCTGCAGTTTCGATGTGGCAAGACGGGCCGCCACTACTTGAGGCCGACCATGACGTGCGGCTGCGCGGACATGCTCTGAGTCAGTCTTGGGGACAGTGCTCGTTGTGCGCTCGCCGAGCGTGATTGCGTATCGTCGGATTTTGTGTGGCCTGCCCGGTTTGCGGTGGGGGCATGGGACACAGTTCGGGTAGTGGTAGACTGAGTGCAAGTGTGAGGGGGGGAAACGTTCTCAGGTCCACAAAAGTCAGGTGCTACTGTTGGGAGTCTGGAACACTGCAGTGCCTCCCCATGCTGTCTCCAGCTTGCAAGTCAAGTTGTCCTATGCTGTCTTGCAGCAAGACTACTGACTACTCCTGCTGATTTTTCTTTCTGGCTATATCCCGGTCCCCGCTAGACGTGCGCGGTTAACATGAAATTGTGCTGCTCGAGGGGTGTGGACCACCGATGGCCATGGAGTGATGAGGAAAGGGTGCGAATGCAGTTGATCTGGATTCCGCCAGAAGCCTGCTTGCCGATGCTTGAAGTATCTTCCGTCTGATCGTTTCTTGTTGAGCCTGGACGGATAATGGTAGCTGCATTTGTGCTAATACCCGTGCTTTATTCGATAACTTTCGGTCGCCAACGTGGGCACGGCAGAAGAGTTGGGAAGGCAATATCGTGCGCATGCGCAGGTATCGGCAACAGATATGGCTTCGCCAAGCCCATTTTGGAGTCCCCATGCTTTGGTGTGTCCTCGGAACCAGGCAGGACTTGGCTCCTGCCGCCCTAGCTGCATGACACAGCTACATTCTGTTTTCGTCGCAACTCACCTGCGGCAGGTATTCATCGCAGACCGATACCGTGTGTACGATGCTGGCCTGAATCATAATGTGGTGCAGATCGCAGCATGGACGTGGCATTGCTCATGGTTGTCGTCCCTGCAGCACAGGAGTTGAAAGACAACAAGTCCACTGTCGTGGTTTACCCTTGCTCCTCTCATGCAGACAGGGAGCCAGAATGTGAAGTACTAGGTCAATGCTGTATCCTGGTTGACGGAGAAGTTGCTGATGGCCAAGGTTCAGTAAATGGGACCATAGCCGACATATCGGCAACTTGCGATGTGACCCATTGTTGGCCCATCATCCTCGTGCACCTTGGACTTGGGGACATGTTGCGCTTTGGAAGCTACATGATCCATCATGCATACACCCAAGGGGTGGAAGTGAGACTGCCCGTCCTAATAATTGCCTCTGCTCTCGACAGTTGCCAGCTCCCCGATGGCAGGACAGTGTGAGTAAGCTCAGGGAGGCAGCTGAAGAACCCATGTTCAGGTTCTCCTTGTCTGAGTGAACAAAGATTCGGCAAGCTTGCGCAAGTGATGACAAGCTTCGGCGTTAGGTCGGGTGTTCGCCCAATCCCAGAGAACAATCCCTTCCATCAGCCATATCAGAGGCCCTGAAATTCTTTAAACCCTAAGACCCGTAATCTCAAGCCAGTTTAACATAACTCTAGGACACTTTAACGAAATAAAGCAGAATACAACGAGATATGGTATGACATTGCAGAACAGAATACAGAATATTCTCGTATAATGTAATATCATGTAACGGAATCGCATTTCATATACTGCATTATATTTAGAACGTACTGCAGGCAAAAACAGTATAGTGTAATATCGCTTAATTCTACAATACAGCATGGCATAATATGACGCAGTATATGACAGAACAGAATAGACTAACATATGCGATAATCTTGCAGGAATCTAGCATAATGATACATAATATGGCAGAATGTCATCTAATGTAATATAGTACTGTATAGTACGGAATAGTAGAGTATAGCATAGCATAGTAATGTACAAATGATTTGTCTGGTTCTTGCTTTCGCACAGCATTCGCTAAGGCATGGCACTCCATCCTTGGTAGTGGTCACCTGGCCGCATCTGAGTTTCAAAAGGTCACCAGAGCATGGCCAGCTGGGAGATTTTTCGGGTTCAGGGACGACGGAATTTGCCAAAAGGAGTATTGTCGTGCCAGATGACATCAAGGGTTAAGATTCGAACTCTGTGTTCGTCGTTTCTGGCTGTCAGCACACGTGACAGTGCCCATTTTGGGTGTCCCTTGGTTCCTAGCTGAGGACTGCAAAAGTGGAATCCACAGCCCGCTGCTTCAATCGAGTGGCGAAGCCCAGCGAATTGCCACCAGCAGAAATGCGACTCGACATCGACCGAAGCCTCCACTGACCGATTTCGGCGGTTTCCAGCAAGCCAAGCAGCTTCTGAGTCTCTAAGACTCTGAAAAAGGCGGGGAGACACGTGTCGCATCGTACCGTCTCAGCCGAGGCCTCGGCCAGCTCTGGCGCACTTCGAACCCTTGTAGCCACCATTAGAGACAAGGTCATATCCCAGCAACTTGGATAAATGCGTAAGTGCTCGCCGGTGCTGAAGCGAAATGTAGATTGTGGACGGTCGATGAATTCTTATCGGGGTGGGTGGACGAGAAAGCAGTGCAGCGGAAGCGTGGCTTCAGCTGGCACGAACAAGTCTTCAGCCCCATGCAGATGTGTTGTCTTGCTCATTCAATCTCGGAGCCAAAGTCGATGCCTCGAAATCTTCTGCCCACGCCCGGCCCTGGCTGTGCTGCCGAGATGGCATCCGCAGCAATGCACAGCACAGCATCTGCCGAACCCCTCACAGACAACATTGCCATGCTTTGCTATCACGTGCACAATGCCCGGTTTGCTGCAGGTATGGCTGGTCTATGGAGAGGGATGGATGGCAGCCGCTGTGGGACATCCAGCAGCATGGCAAGATTGCTCGTCCCTTTTTACTTGGGCATACTGCATACTTGTGCATGGCCTGTACTGCCGCGTTGACCCACTGCTGCCAGGGAGTCTGTGGGCGTCTTAGCCCTGGACCTGGTGGACAACCGGCTTTTGATTTTCTACCGTGGAGGCTTCCTGCAGGCGAAGGCGCCCCTCATTCACACCGAAACAGGTATTCTAGCACACTCCGCACCTGGAATTGAGACGTTGACGGGATAGGTGCGTGTCAAAGAGATTAAGCTTAAGTCGCCTAAAGCCAAGATGGTGCAATGCATCTATTGGGAACATCTTGTGCATCGTCGCTATGAGCGAGAGGGTAGCTGGGACTTTGAGACGAAGAGTTTTAAAGCAGAGATGTCGGAGGACATCCGGACCGGTGGCAACTGTGGCAGATGGGTCAAAAGCTCAGACAGCATTGTGGCACATGTTTCCGGGCACAAATCTGTCCAATGGGAAGGTTGCTGTTTACGTGGAGCCTGCATCAGGCACTGCCCAGCTCAGACAGAATAATTGGTGGCGGATGCGGGAACAAGGTGCATGAGCAAGTTTGCTGGCGAATCCGCTTAGACGTTGTGCTCACATCAACGCTGCAGGGCATGTTTCGTCTTCGTTTCATTGAACCTGGTACAGCACGGACATGTTCTGTTGTCGACATAAATGTATCGCCAACGGGCCTGGCACGTCTGGACATGCTCGTTGGCTGGTTTACGAGCTGCCTCCGCTGTTATGGAAGAGCTTGCTTCATAAGCAGCCTACTAGATTCTGTTATCACTTCTGCGGCTTCAGCACATACCGTGCCCGACGGAAGGAGACGGACAGCATGCTGCTGCTGGCCAAATCAAACGAAGGCTGATCTGTTTTCGCTTTGCTTCCTCGACAGAAGCACATCTGGGATGCTGAGGTGCGGCTTCTCAGCTGCTCAGAGCTGAACTACCCTCCATGCAGGCACCGCGCACCCTGTCGTTGCTGTCTTTGCCAAGACCTGGACCTGTTGACACTTTCTCAGGATTGCAGCCACCCTGTGCCCTCGCACGTCCGACTCAGAGGCTAGCCCAACCGCAGGTCCTAGGCAGCAGCGAGTCGGTTCAGCGTGAGCCGCCCATGACAGCATGCAGTACATAATTAGTACTTAGTGCTACTTGCAAGTACTTGCACGTCATGATAGTCCATGTTGCGACAGAATTGACTTGCTGCCTTCCTTCTGTACATGATCTAGATTTTCAATCTTTTTAGCTTGGTTCGGAGTGAGCCAACACGGCGTCCTCCCGCTGACAATGAAGTCGGCACGCCAGCCCTCTGCGCCAACACGTTGTTGTGCGGAGCCGCTGCCTACAAGCAGAGCTGGCACATTCTTCGACCGTCCGCAAAGTTCGTTCGAAAACGTGGAGACACCTAGGTCGTCAGCTGTTTTGCATCGCAACAGACCTCCAACATGTATTCAGACGTGTCTGGGTATGTAGGCATGCAGGCATGCCTGTACGTGTGTGTAGGGCTCTTTGACTTTCAGGGCGGCAACTTGCCCCAAGCGGATATGGCAGCCTGGCTTCTGTTTGGAATTGTTTAGGGATGTCCGGCCTTCAGGCCGTCTTGAGTGGGGCTTCCCTTTGTCTGACGAGGCGAGGCGAATACAAGAGTTGGACCTGGAGGTTCTACGACACTGTGTGGATACTGTCTTTTTTTCTTCGAAGATTTTCCACAATAAATAGAGGCGCAGCAGCTTTTTCGGCAGGCGCGCATTGAAGCCTGCCGTTACGTTGACTACTACCTGCTGCTGGAGCCTCACGCTTGATGCGCCACTCTGGATCTCGCCTGTTGGCGGCTTGTTGAAGTCTTTAGTGTGATGAGGCCTGGCCGCTCCAAGATGCAACTGACGCCAATCCGACATGCTTTGTGCAACCTGCAACATGGGCGGGTCGGGTGCTCTGCGTGGTCAGGAAGGAGCTGCTTGCATCGCTAGTTTGTGAAGTTCCACCGGCCGAGGTGGTCCATTCCGGCCCATGCACGCAAGAGACGTTTCAGCATTCTTCGACTTGTGTCTGCGCAGGTTCTTGACTTGGGCCAGCTGGGTCTATGCCGGTCGGAGATGATCATGGACGGTTTCATGTGTTGGAACAACATTGAAGTGCTGAACACTCTGCGCAAGTGCTGTGTTGAAAGCAAGCCGCGCTACAATTTCGGCATTCGTGAGTCAACTTCACCCGGTTCTGTTCCTGGTGGACTGGTCTGGTGAACAGGATCGGATCCACTTGGTTGGACTCCGCATCAGGAACTTGCGCTTTGACCTCAGAGTAGGTTTACCACCGATTGCTTTCGCGATTCCTGCTCAGTGGTTTGTTGGAAATTGGAAGGGTGGCAGTCTTTGCCATGCACGACTAGAGCGCGGCTCTTTGTCAATTGCCATTCTGCAATTTCCCGTCGACACAGGTCTGGAGAATTCTCACGTGAAGAAGATCGAGGTTCACAGGCGGGGTCGTGCTAGTCATTATCAGAAATGATGCTGACGGCATGTGCCTTTGAGCTACGTTCTAAGAGTCTGTTGGCACACGGCATTCGTGACTCTCAACGCTGCTGTGTTTTTGCTCCTGTCGTTCCGTGGACGCCGGCTTTCCAAAGGCGACTGTGCGCTCGCAAGATTTTGACAAGCGAAGCCCGGTTTGAGCAGGGCCACGCCAAACAAATCAGCCCGAACAGACGATGGACACTTCAGCAACCATAAAAAAACATGATGAGACGAACTAAAGTGCTGGAGCCCGCTCAAGTCTGGAATTTGTAAAAGTATGCTCCAGCTCATTGGTCGGAAATGCGCACCGACGAGAGTATCAAAACCTTTCCTCGCGGGAACGTTTTGCCATTGCTGAATCCGTACTTGCTGTCGCCGCGACCTGGTGAAAGAAGTTGGAACAGCTGCCGCTCTCCGATAGGTGTGTATATATATATATACACATGTATAGATAAGCACGATTAACTATACAAAAGTTCATTCATGTAGATTTAAAGTAAGTGTTAACAAACGTATATATATATATATATATATATATCTATATGTATGTGTATATATATATGTGTATATATACAATGTATATATGTATGTGTATGTATATATATATATATATATACATAGATGTCTTTACGGATATATACACGCCTGAAAATGACAATGACCTAACATAAATGAACGTCAAATGTTGTTTTGTTGCCTTTCCGGGCTTCCTCCCCAAGCAGCACACTCAGGCGAAATACAAAGCCTTGATTCATAACGTTTGGAGGTGTGACCTGCTGGACTGCGACTTCTCCTTCACAGTTACGGCCGGTGAAGCTTGTCCCTTAGCCAAGCTTCTTCTGCGGCTGACAACAGTATCAGCACTTAGACTCCTATACCGACGCTTCATGACAGCAGATGTGCATCCTTGCCCGGTCCTTGCCTGTGGGCCCAGGTGAAAGTGAGCAGCTCAAGATTGGAGAACGTCCAGTTCGGCGTTTTTACGATGATGGCATCCGTCGAGGTGACTACTGGCAACAGTCAAACAAGTTCAACCTGAAATGCTTCCATGAGTGGAGGAGTCGCAGCTGGTGCAATGCAATCTTCGGGTCGCTGAAGAGCTCTTTGTTGCAGATTCTGCTGCTTGGCATGGAATTGTTTGGAATGGCGAAGTACCCAGCAAGGAAAGGGTCTGAGAAGCCGAGGAGCTGGACAGCTGCACCTTCAAAGGCAGTGACGAAGATAGGAAAGACAGGCAATTCATCAGCATCCTGGCTTGACTGGCACACTCTGAAATCCAAAGCTGCCCGAGAGGGCATCTGGCTTGACATGTTTAGAGCTGAGGTGCCATCTTCAACAACTCGGATCTGCACGGAGCTCCTACCCTACACGGACTTACTGAATGTTTTGGCGGCAGTGCTTCGGAAGGGTCAGTCGTCAGACTGCTGGCATAAGTGAACATGTGACACAACCCGCAACGCTGTTATATGCTGTTCATTGCTGTGTAAGTCGTTTTGTGGGCCCTGCGGCTTGTGCTGCATAGCAAGTCCGAAGCTAGACTTAGCTTCCCTTCCACCTAGTCAGCTCAACTTAGCATAATTATACTATAAATATAATAATTGTACTATAACCGCAATATCATGTGCTATGCTGCCTCATGCTCGCCGATCCTACGCTGGCGAGCTGCGGTGCCGCCGTTGCCGCGAGAGCCACAGGGCCGGACTCGGAGCCGAACCTGTTCTGGGTGCGAGTCTTGGAGACCGGGTGACGGCCAGGGTGGGGCCAACTCAACCTCTGGGCTCAGGTCGCCGAGCAGCGCTGCGAGAAGTGCATCCGCAGGTTGCCTGACCTGCCTCTTGACCGCTCATGCCATCAGCTACCACCGACAAGGATGGCAAGACAGAAAGGGTTTTTGTCATGATAGTCCGATAGTCCTTGTGGCAGCTAAGATGTGCTTTTGGCACGCAGAGATCGAAGAAGTCGCACTGGCTGCAGTGCTGGCGATGGCAGCGCTTGGGAAAGGGTCCAGTGGTGCCTTGCCTGACGCAAATAGTCTGCGTACTATACTATACTGTACTATGCCAGTTACTATGTTGTATTATACCATAATTTACCAAAATATACGAAAACACACTGTCATGTACCATATTATGCTATGATGTACCATCTACTCCAATGTACTATGACACATACTAGAATATACGAAAATCTTTCCCTGAAACCTGTGAAAATCGAAACAAGACGCAGAATTGGTTCCCAGGAAGTCGCAGCTGATGCTTTGTAAATGAGCTGTGCTGCAAAGCTTGTCGTCATATCAGCGCAGCCATGTGTTGCTCACTCGAGGTTGGATCTTGCACAGGGCCCTTGCCCCAGCATCTGCGCGAGATCTTATGCACAATGTGAAGGACTTGCCGGGGTGCATGTAGTGTGTGAGGTGCTCAGCAGGCAACGCCTCCCGAGCCCACGACGAAGCAAATTGATCTTCCGCTTATGCCACTGCCAGCAGTGCCGCCCAGATGATACATGAGACGACGTAGTCAGTAAGCCCCACGGCCTTATGGTGAGTTCGTGGCGGAGGCATGTCTAGGAACATGCTAACCGTCGGCTCCCCACCTGCAGACTGTGCCGCTGCAAAACGCTTAAGTTTTACAGGCCGATCAAGGTTTGAAAGCTGCAACCACATCTGCTGGGAGATTGCGCAGAGTACACACGTGCTTAAGGGATTCGCAATTCACGTCTAGAGTCTGCTGGGCTTTTCTTGAACAAGGGCTCTTGGGTTAAAGCCTCGTCTATAGAAAACAAAAAGAACAGCAAACATATTGATTCTCTCAAAAGCCGCAAGAGCGAAGATCCGCTTGAGGTACTTGCCAAGTCCAAGCCAGCAGCTGATGATCTCAGAGCCGAGGCAGCGCCCGAGAAGACTGGCGATAATCGTCCCGTGATCCGCTAGTTCGTTGAGTATTCGTGCTGTAGGTATCTGCAGCTATATGATGACATACTTCTGAACGGAAGTCGGATCTTTGTGGTCACGCATCATCACGGAAACCTCCTCGCGAAAGTTGGGTTGATCTTCCACCTCAAGGAATTGAAGGATGTTTCAGCCGACACGCATGGACATTTCAAGTATGTGCCCAGGCTGACATTAGTGATTGTTTTTATTTGGCACACTTTTTGCTGCTAAGAAGGCTGGCCTCCGTGAGTGGGCGCTGGAGCTCAGGTTGCGGAGCACGAAGTCCGCGGCCGCCTGTGCCTCAGTGGGTCGGGCCAGGTCCTGTTTCTCTTTCCCAAACTCTAAGTGAAGCTCGAAAGCTGAAGGCGTCCGCATCATTTCCGTGGCAAACCCCGAAGACTGGACGGAGCCGTCCAGATACCTCCGAGCTCAGGCCACCGCTCATTCCCGAAAGCTGCATCCCATCTTCTGGAGTTGCTGACGCGTGCAGTGTCGCCGTCTGGGTTTCCTGCTCCAGAGTTCGCTTCAGACTTCAGACTTGGCTTCGGGGGTAGGGGTGGGGGCCGTTGCTGGGGGTGATGACATCTTCGCAAGTGCCGATTCCTGGACCTCGCTCTCTGAATTTCATCATTTTTCCTTCTTGCTTCAGCTTTTCAATGCGCGACACACGATTGCAGAAGCAACTGTCGTGAAAGCTAACAGGCCGTGTGAGCCGCGCAAGCCAAAATTAGAAAGGAATTGCAATCTTCGGAATGCCCGCTGCAAGTTCTGGATGCGTTCGTTTGCGCCCTTCAAAACTGTGGGAAACCCTAAGAGTCTAAGCACTTCCGACCCGCGGAATGCACCAGGCAATCTCTGTGTCCCTGACCTAATTAAGTGCGGGTGTGCACAGCACCTCTTGAAGATCGCATGTCGTGTGCCGAGTGCATCATTGGAGGTGCAGTTGATGGACCAGGAGCTCCAGCAAGAGACTGTTTCGCCCCCAGGCGAACAGGAAGCCCCGGCTCTGGTTTGGTCCTTTGGTGTTTGCTTGGGTGGTTGTTGACCTGTCATTTCATGGCAGGAGGCCTCGAATGCCTTGGGCCGCATCCGTCACAAGCTACAGGATGCCTTGGCGCTGCAAGGCGGGGGTTCCCGCAGACTGCAGCAAAGACCTGTGTGCAGTTGAGAGGTGTTCCTGTCGCGAGGTGAGCTCGAGCAGCAGAAGCCTGCGGCAGCCTCGAGTTGAAGCATCTGTCAATGCCCAACCGGCAGAAGCTAAGGAGGAATTGGGTAGGTTGGCCCGAAGTCTGCGCCTTGCCAGCGTGATCAGGACCTGCCCTGCAACCTTTTTTAACGAGTCAGCTTGTCGCGTTGGAAGAAACGATTTCTCACAGATAGACTCTCAGAGCTCGAGACAGCAGGAATCCTGGATTCTGGGCGTGCCTCTCAGCGACCGGTTCCCGAGAGAGACTGGGGTGAAGTGCTTCAACGGAAGTCGATTGCAAGTCAGGACATGTGCAGCATGCTGGCCTCTGTTCAATCCTTCAGGCCCATCTCTTTACCGTCGCCAACCTAGCCGAGACAAGCGCATTGCAGGCTCCAGCTGAACGTCCGTCGCCTGCGAGAGAACGTCAAGCGCCTCACCGCGCAGTGGGCGGAGCAAAACCCCGAGGCATGTGTGTTGCATCTGTGTTAGAACTGATGCAAGTGATCCCGCCGAGCTTGGCAGGAGTACGAGGCTTTGAAGGTACAACCAGAGGTCCGGCTCTGTTTGGCAGATGGAGGATTGGCCCGGAAACGTAAGTCCGTGAAGGTGCTGCCTGCTCGCATTCGCCGTGAGGGCAAGCAAGTGGGGGAGCTGCTGCGAGAGGGCACTGCTCAGCTGCAGGGTACCTTCCAGTGTGCCAAGCCTAGCACAGGGCAGAGCGAAGCCGCAGTCTGAAGAGGTAGGAGCAGAAGCGATCGCATCATAATTATCATCATTACTACTACTACTACTCCTCCTGCTGCTGCTGCTACTACTACTACTACTCCTATTCTTATTCGCCTCCCACTCATGAAGAGGCAGAGCTTTGGCCTTAGGCATCCTGCAAGCTCCGGATGCCGAAGAGCGTGCAGAATTGCTGGAAAACGCCGTGGAAGAGGAGCTGGTCCGCTTTGAGCTTCAATCTTCGCTCCGGGCCAGGGATTCGTGTTTATGATTTGCAATCGGGCATTTTTCCTTTTCGTTCTTCTTTAAATTTGTGGCAACAGAAGGAAGCATAGGAATGTAAGAAAGAAGCATAACACAGACCCCACAAGGCAAGGAGTGTGTGAAACGAAAACCCGGTGGGGACACTCCGAACGCCGGTCCTGCAGTCAAAAGAATCGTGGCGTGCGGCGTAGCATAGAGGCCCTCAGCTGCAAATCGCCTGTCAGCACAGGGTGTTCCGTGAAGCATTTCTGACGGTTACCCCCGCATCTTTCTCATCTGTGAGCGTTGGCATTTAAGTTTAGGGCTCTTGGGAGTTGATGCATGCTCCTCGTGTGCAGCGACTAGAACCAGCCCGAATTGCAGCAATCCTTCAGCTTGGGGAGAGGACAGGCAGATGACGTAAACAGCAAGCCGGGTGTGCAGTTTGTGCACCTGACGAGGAGTTGAGGCGTATGCGCGCGTTGCGCTCTCTGAAAAACGCCTTAGGGGAGATTCCTGGACCTGATGCACCTGCCGAGGTGTAAAAAGCACTGCTTGGACCGTCCCGCGAGTTGTCAACAACAATTTTGGTGGCACGGAGGCGTTTTTGCGGTCTCGTGTACTGAGGACATCACCTTACCGTTTGACCGAGTGGTGTGCGAGCGCACGTACTTCCATGGCCGACTCCTCCGCATGACCAAAGGCCGATGCGGGTGCACAGAGCAGAGCTCGTCGCGGAGCCAGTGTTAGCCATGCCGTCCCCCACCATTCGGGCAGGTGGCTCCACGATTAGCCTGAGGCGTGCAAAGCTGCGAACCCTTCCAAGAATAGTGCCAGCCTGAGGCGAAGAACTTGCAAAGAAGCGAGGCAGATAGGCAGTCGAACTGGCACCGCGAAGGTGTTTCGAGCACGACAGTCCTAACGAGCGCATTTCTGTTGCCTGCAAGGAATGTGAGGGCAAGATCATCCTGTGCTTGGAGGCGCGGGGACGGTGTAGTGTTTCGAGTTCTTGCTTGTCACCCCCTGTGCCCTGCAGAGAGTCCTTACGAAGCAAACCCACTTGTGATTGGTGCTATGTGCCGACGAAGACCCAAGCCCCTGAGGATCCTTCTCAAGAAACCCCCCGAGCTCGGCAATTCCAATTCATAATGAATCTTTCTGAAGGCTGCAAGTTCAAGGAGAGACAAAGGGGGTATTCTTAGCAAGAGTGCCAGGACTGCGACTTGCTGGAGTCATTGACCTTCCACGGGATGAGGCCCTTCTGGCACAGTTGCTGTTTATCTCCTTTCGCTGAAGGCTTTTCTCGGCTTGCTTTGTTTCAGCCCCTTGCTTGTGCAAGTACATCTTTGTGTTGAACCAGGCTGCAGTTGCGCGGTGTCCACTGTGCGAAGCCCTGTGAGTTCCAGGAGGCAGCGGCTGATGACCCCTCTTTCCTGTACAAGTGCATATCGTGCGTGGTCTCATGCTTTTGCAGGTCGAGTTTGCAACAAAAGTTTGCGACATCGTCTTTCCAAGGCCCCTTCAGTCGTGCAAACACTGAAGTTGGAGAGTCGGGCTTCAGAGTGCCAAAGGAGCAGCCGGTTTGTGAACGTCCGCTTCAAAGATGGCCTACAGGCGCGCACTTGTTCGGATTCTTGCACGTTTGGTTTCAGGACCTGTTTCCAGATTCATTTTGCAGGCATGCGTTGCAAGCGCCTGTCGCTTCGAGTGCGCCGATAGAAGTCTGCAGATCCTGAGCTGTGGTTTTCCACTGCCTGCTGTGACTCGTCTGCGTGTGTGAAGTCAGGTATTGCAACTTGGGCTATGGTCAAGATGCGGTAGCAGACTGTTTGCTAACGCAGCCGCGCACTCAGAGACTCGCCGAGCATGTCCAGGGAGCCAAGAAGCTATTCTGAAAGATGCTCCAGGGCTTGTCTTGGGATACTGGAGTCAGAGTCTTGAAGTGGTGCATGTGAAATGAGTGGAGGTGCCATTTCCAGTCGTGCCACTTCCCTTTCTTGGAAGACTGTTCGCCTGCCCGATTCCAAGTATGGCAGATGTTCTACCCAAGTTGCATGCATGTTTGCTGCCAGCAGGTCGCAAACTTCGCCGGGAGCCAGTTCATTGCCTGCCGCATCCAGTGGAGCGGACCTTTCGCACACGAGGACGTTTTGAGGTTTGGCGCTGCTACCACGAGCACGAAGCTCACAAGTTACTTTGCCAGGAAAGTTTCGTGATCAATTCCCACTGGCTTCGCAAATGGAATCTGGCCAGTTGCACTGTTTCTGACGGTGCCGCGTAGAAAAAGACTTCCTTCATCTTGCCACGTGCAAATTGCGGTGCTCAAAGGGCGCATTTCCACCCACTGGCAACATTTCACTTGAAGGAGGCTAGCTGCCTGGCGAGGGAAGCATGTTCCAAGCCCCAAAGGTGAAGCTTCCCTCTGGAAGCTCAAAAGGGCATCCATGCTGCACAGCTTTAACTCTCCATGCTGGCACAAAAGCCGAGTTGATCTGTGGCTTCGTCAGGGATGGTGTAAGATTTCCCGAACGTGCTTGTTTAGACGTGCAAAGTTGCGAGTGCGTCGGGCCGCGGCCGCAACGAGGGCTCGAGGGGCAGACCGCGCGGGCTCAACGCCACGCGCCGCGGCTACCCAAGCTCTGCCCGTTCTTCCAGCAACTTGACAGCGGAGAGTCTGCGAGTGTGTCCAAGTGCGCAGACTCGAAGCTGGGCGGCGCGAGTGGCTGAGGCTTTTTCCAGGTAGAAGATGGGAAATGCCTCGCCCAAGCCCCGGATGGAGCTTCAGTAAGAGCGGAGCAGCAAAGCAGGAAGTTGCTTTGCAGGTGCTGCAAATCGGACACCGCCCCAGGCGTAGAGGCGACAGTGGATGCGAAGCCCGCTCTGGACTTCACTCACACAGTTGCCTGTGTAAGCTCTCCTTCCAAAGATTCGTGCCGATCATCTGTGCCCTTTCCAGGACAGTTCTTTGAATGCCCTGCCCACCGTGACCGGCGGGAAAACCGACAAGGAGAGAATTAAGGTTGCCCGCCTGTCGAAACCTGTTGGCTTTATTGCTTTATTGCATTGCGGCTTCAAGGAGAGACTCTACAGCATCAAGCTTGTGAAGCCGGGGCCCTGTCTTGCCGATGTTGCTGACAGTAGCCGTCCCTGAGCACAGGTCGGGAGGCCTGAAACTCGGGCTGGATGTCGACTACATGGCGGAGCCGGCAGCTCGGAAGTTCCAAGAACTCTCCTGCAGCAAGTGGTGATTTTGCCGAGGCGCTCTGTGCTGCCGATCATGTCAGTGACCGGCGGAGTGGCAGAGCAGGGATCCTAGCTCCACCATCCTGCGACTCGCTTGGAGAAGAGACCGAAATCACAGGAAGTGGAACCAAGACAATCCCGAGATGCAAATCCGAAAAGGGGCATTGAGCCCAGCTTGACTTGGCACTCCCTTCACCGAGACACGGCGTCGCTGCTTAGGATAGCATTGTGGAGGTAAATGGCACGACTGGCAACCGCCTCAGTGAAGAGTCGCCCGTGGAGAGTTCGCAAAAGGTCGGGCGCACCGGGGTGCAGGTGACGTCGCCCAAATGCTCGACAAGTGCAAGACGGACGTAGAGCTGGAGAGCGCGCCTTGGAGTCCTTCACCCCGTGGTGGCAACTGCTTTGTTGTGCAAGTTCACCCAAAAGCCAACTTATCAGCGTTTGGGCTCAGGCCATAAAGCAATACTGCTACTTTCCACGAGCCATGGCTACGGTCTTTGCCAGGTTCTGGACCAGTGTGTTTCTGGTGAGTTTGGCGACCGCTGGCCCAGGCGGCGCTTTGGAAAGATTCCCTCCACAGGTCCTCCATGCAACGTCTTTCGTAGATAATTTCGATTTCACGAACAATGGTACCTTCCAGCAAAGGATCTTCATGTACAGGGACTGGTGGACAACAGGGAAGCCGGTGCTGCTCTTCTTTGGAGGAGAGGGCTCGGTTGAAGGCTTCTACAACGCTACAGGTGCGATTTTCGAGCACGCAGAAGCCTTGAGTGCAATGGTGGTTTTTGTTGAGCACCGTTGTTATGGGAAATCCCTTCCTGAAGTGCCTTTGAGTCGTTGCCTTCGACGGCTTACGGTGGAACAAGCTCTGGCAGATGTTGCCTGGTACATCGTAAAGCTCCGTGAGCAGCTGAACTGCAAAAGGAAGGAGTGCGCTTTTATCACCCTCGGGGGCAGCTATGGTGGCATGCTGGTTGCGTGGTTCCAGCAGAAGTACCCTCACCTTAGCGCCGGTGGCATTGCCTCCTCGGCCCCCATCGATTTCTACCCCCATGATGGACGACAAGATGCTTTCTGGTCCGCAACGCTGCACACGTTTCAGTCTTTTGGAAGCCGGACGTGCGCCAATGAATTGGACAACTCTCTCCAGTTCTTGCGAAACACATCTGACTCGCCTCAGGGGCGACGTCGCCTCGGAGAACTCCTCGCTTCGTGTGACCCGCTCCTAGAAGAGTTGACTGCCGGCAGCAAGGTGGATTTCTTCGTTCGCGGAGCAGTGAGCACCCTTGCAATGCTTGACTACCCTGTGGCCAGTGACTTTGTAACAACGCTGCCGGCAAATCCTGTAAAGGTTGCCTGCCAAAGATTGGCTGGAACTGAGAATCCACTGGAGGGGCTCAAAGCGGTCTTGGACTTATTCTTGAATGCAACTGGAACCTACCGGTGCTACGATTTCTTGGCAGAGATGGTCGGTCGCCCTACAAACGGAACCCAGCATGGGCCATCCACACCACCAGACATGGGGCCATGGCAGTATCAGGCTTGCAATGAATTGCCAATGCAATCCCTCACAACCGATGGTATGGGATTTTATCCCGCTGCTGATGGGCAGTTGTCGGAGGTGTCGGATTCCTGCAACCTTCGTTATGGTATTCGCCCCAGAACTTCGTGGCTTCAAGTGAACTTCGGAGGCAGTGACCTGCATGTTGGCCATTTGCTCTTCACCAATGGGGAGAAAGATCCCTGGCGAGTTGGTGCGCCGAAGCCAGAGAGGATTCGAGAGGGTTTGGACATACATCAGCATCTGATCCCTGGTGCCGCTCACCACGAAGACCTGCGCTTCGATGCCGCTCCGCTTCGGCCCTTGGTGTCCCTGGCGAAGCAGAAGGCGAGGCTTCTCATGCAGCGCTGGATCGCCGACGAGGAGAAACCCAGTGCCGAGCAGCTACTGCTGGCATAGGGGCTTCTCAGCTTCTCCCCCCGGCTCTGTCTCGGAGCTCTCTGACTGGGACCCTGGGAAAAAAAACTCAGCCGTGCGCGATGGTGGCAAACATGGCTTGTTGACGATCAACTCCCTTAGACTCCTTGCTGCACCGGCATTTCTTGCCTTGGTTGTCTCAGGCTGACGCTGTGCCGCTGCCTGAACTACGACCACTTGGCGACTTGCCGAAATTTGGGTTTGAGCACCGGAACTTCAGAGCTCAGAGCTCTGGATGTCGCAGGTGGCTGACTTAGAGAAGCTGGTCTCGGCCAAGAACTGTGGGCCGATCATGTTCGGAGCTCAAGCCCGGAGGGTTCTTGAAAGATTTCGATCTTGCATAGGTGAGTACTTGTTTCTGAGCCAAGGATCCGTCTTTCTTGGCATGATGCTGGTGTCTTCAATGGCGCCAGCCTGTGCTGCCATGAACCTGCACGCGAGCGATTCGCGCAGTCGTTGCCTCTGTGCAGCTGCTTCTGTGCTCTGGGACAGGTGCCGATGGCTGCCCCAACGCAGCAATGCGCTTGGCCGGTTTGCCACCAAGCCTGCGCAGTCGGCTGCTGTTGGAGCCGCAGACATGTCTATGTGACGGTCTCTCGAAATGTGCGAGTCGAGACTGCTCCACCAGACACGGGAACACCAATCCTGGCGAAGCTCGTGTTGATTGTTATGCTACATGGCCTGGAACCACCAGTTCTTGCAGACAGTGAGGCAGCGGCGAACATTCGTTAGGGGCGAATGCAGGGCTGCCGGATGCTCAACTGGATAGCCCAATGTGCGGAAGCAGAAGGACCCTGCGAGTCGCAGACCAAATTGTGTGAGGCCACAGGTGGCACTTGCGCTTCTCGCTCCCATCACAGAGAAGTGAGCCGAAAAGACACAGCTTCTGGAGTTGTGCGCCATGCAACCTGCACTTCGGTAAGATCGGAGGTACGTCCCGCGACTCATTTCTCATGCCGATCTTTGGGCTTTGGCTGCCAATGTTTCCATCAAGGCTCGATGCTGAAAGAAGTACGAGTAGCCTTGACTGACGGGATGTCAATGAGGCAATGGGGGGACCCGAGATTCCGACCCGGTTTGGTCGGCTTGACGTGAGAAGCCCGGCCATGGTGCAAGGCCTATGTTGCTCATCCCTCTATGGCTGTCCTTTTGCACCAGGCACACCATGCGTCCGACGGGGTCTCATCAGCCGAGGGGCGCCTTCCGGACAGTCGTGGAAGCCGTTTCGGGTTTGCGTACGCTCTGCTAGTGCAGGTCTGCTAAGATCCTACTCTAAGGACGGACTTGGCAGTGCATAAGGCCCCTTAGTGGTCCCTTACGTTGATGATACTCAGAAATGTTCCCGGGACGGCAAAGAAGTTCAATGGTATCTTTCTGGCATCTCCTTCCTGTGCCTGTGAATTTCCACGAACAGGCCCTGGGTTGTTCCTTCCGTTTGCCCCGTGATCTCAAAAGCGATCCTCTTCAGTCGTCCATTCTTACCTTCCGACTTGTCGTGCTGCTTGTGGTGTTGTCTCTTTCCAACAAGCCCCCGGACATTCATATGCAGAGTCGCAGTTTTTGGAGGATGTACGAGGTTGGCTCAATGACCATCGCAGATCACAAGCATCCATGGGCCACCCACGCCCTCTTTGCTTCAGCTTGCCGAAGGCGATGCAGCGGCAGCTGCTCACCTATGAAGGTCTAAACTCGTGATGCGAACTCGGATGCCATCTCGGCCGCCCAAGCACATCGCAGGCGGATCGGAACCTTCGGTCGTCAGGGTCTCACTTCATTCAACTACGTTGCCTTTATGTACATTGTTTCCTGCGACGCTCAGGTCGCATCTGACCTGTCTCTGCCTTGCTTGTGAAACGCTTCCCCTATTCTATTCTTGTCACTTACGCCCCGTTGATGATGTCTAGGAAAGGAATCTCTGGTGCCAACCTCTTGCTGAGGCAGTAGGCAGCGTGAGGCGGCCTGCAGGCTGAGTTCAGGAAGCCTGTCGCACGTGCTGCGAAGTTGCCTTACGACCTCCGAAAGACAACCCAAAGTTCAGCTGTTTCTTTTGCGTTGGCTGTGCAGTAAATGGCAGTTTCCGAAAATAGGGGACCCTAATATAGCACCCTAAATAGTAGGATCCTTACTATAAGGATCCCAAAATAAGGTACCCCTATTTTCGGAAACTCCCAAATGTTGGACCTGCAGGATGGGGACAAGGATGCCAAGCACATCAGAGATATATTCGGCCCCAAGGCACCGCCTCAAACATCCAGCGTGTCTCATCAGCTTCGAGTTAATACAGGGGCCTTATACAGTAATTTACTCAGTCTGTCCCAATCTTTGTGGCAAGAGATGTGCGAACTAGGTTATTTTCATCCTGATCTTGTACCAAGAGATGTTCCACACATTTTGTTTTAAAAGCTCAGCATGTCCTAACCGTTGTGGCAAGAGAAGTCAGTATGTCCTGATGAACCAGACTATTGTAAAAACTCAGTATGTCCTAACCTTTGTGGTAAGAGATGTTCGAACCGGGCTGTTTTAAAAACTCAGTAACTAATCTTTGTGGCAAGACAGGTTCGAACCAGGTCTCATTATACGATAAGTATACTAGGGAACCCCGGGAATGGTATAGGTAATTATTAACCTTTATCACTTGCGCGTCCTCAGGGCTTCGAGGACCGTGACATGGTCGCGCTGTCGGGTGCACACACGGTCGGGTCGCGGGCTCGGCCTTACAATGCGAGGAGATCTTCGTGAGATCGGGTTGAGGGTTTTAGGGCGCTGGGTGTTGAGGGTTTGCTGCGCCTGTCCGGCCAGAACTTCACAGCCCGGAACGCCTGAGCCAAGGATGTGTCATGGCGATCGCTCTGGCTTTGAGGGTCCATGGACTGATGTCACGCTCTCGGCACAGCAGAGCTGGATGTGTCTTTCCTTTTCAACTGGCTCAGGACAAGCTCCTGTTCGATAACTCCTATTTCAAGGATGGCTTGAATGTTGAGTCTGCTGTTTTTCCATCGGCAGGGTCTCGTTCTGTTGTCTGCGAGCGATGTGAAAGGACTTGCTCCAGAGGCCGTGGACGAAGGAGACGAACCGGCACGGAAAACAACAGTACAGGCTTCATCAGATGTCATACGATGCTGAACGGAGTATCTTGGAGAAAGACTTGTACACTTGTGGTGTGGCGGAGGTCGGGTGAAAACATGATGCTCACAACGGCTGCGGCCCCAGCTTGTGAACTCGCTGGGAGATGGCAGAAGCAAGTGTGGGTTTTGCTATTCTCAGGGGCACAGGGCATCACAAGGGGATCCTACTATTTAGGATTAGGTTTCTGTACTCCAGTACTTTCAATTCAGGACATGGCATTGGTAGAAGATCCGGCCTTCAAGCAGCACGCGCCTGCCCGAGAGTGCCCGCTTCGCTGCCATGAGCGACGCTTCTTTCCTGCCTGAGCGCTCCTGCGGAGCAAGCGGTGGCCAGGTGGAGCGGTATGCGGCAGACCAGAAAAGTTGGTTTGACGACTTCGCAAAGGCTTGTGTCCAGCATGTTGTTAAGATAACCATGGGATTGATGTAGATGTGCTTCCGGCATCTCAAGTTTGGTTTCTTGCCCTATCAGATGGATCTGGAAGGCCTGGGTCCGGCTTCAGGAGTTCAACAGCGGTTGTGGGCTTAATCGTCAGTCGGCCGATGTCGGCGCGAGTTTCAGTACATGTGCGAGACTTCTCTCCTTTGCGGCCGGGCTGCCATGCCTTAGGTGAGTTGCGTGACATACTGTGAAGCTGGATAGCCCGGCAACCTGATAGCGCATTGTTTCACCTTTTGGGCTTCGGCTCTTCGCAAGAGGCCGGGCCGACCCCGCTGCGCATGCAGCACCTTCGCATGGCTTGAGTGTGGGTGCCGTGAGTAATGTCACCGGACTTCTCACCAGAGCCATGGCCGTCTGGATTGCTGTGCACCTGCAGAGCATCCACCACATTCCCAGAAAATCTCACAATCCCGCAGAGCAAGGACAAGAATGTTACTTGTAGCCCTCACACAGCGAGCTCCCGTCAGCCCCAAACCCGCAGGTCCGCAGCAAAACCCAGCGGCCTTCGTTCTGCTGCTTCCTTTGCACCCGAATTTATGCAGGTAGAGTCCAGAAATGACTTACAAACTGAGCACGTCGTGCAAGGAAAATCCCAGATGCTTGGACACCTGCTACAGGTACGAGATTGAACATAACTTTTCCTCAGTGCGCCATGTTGCTTCTTGAGGTTGCTTCAGTCACTGTGTGGAGCGTGGTGTGCCTGGTTTCGCTTCCGTATCGGCTTCAAGCCCACAGCTTTTGCTTTCTTGTGTCCCGGGTGTGGCCTTTGCACGCTTGCCCGGCCTGTTTATGCTTTGTCGGCGGTGTGGCTCACGTTGCCGGATCCCTTGGAGTGGAAGGCACCCTTTGTTCCAGACTCGCCAATGGGGAACACACAGCCGCAGCCTTTCGAAGACATCCGGGGATGGAAGCTGTCGCACCTGCGAGTCATCTGAACAAGGTTGCCCCGAAACCCTTTGGCTCAAGCCATTCTGGCTCAAGCTTCTGTTTCAAGAACTACTCGCTCCGACATAATTCCACCGACACTACATTTGCGAACTGTTTCTTGACCTAAACTGTGGGTTATAGATGTGACATAGTGGCGTTCGTGAACGTTGGTGGCTGAAATTCTTCTATGCCGTGGAATGCCGTAGAAGGCGAGTCCCTGCAGAATGAGGGATTTCCACAAGAGGCTAATCAGGACCAAGAAGCACACTGTAAGACAGCTGCACTGCACCAGGAAGCCATGGAGTACAGTTTGACAGATCAGAAGCATCTCCAAAACTTCTTGGTCGATGCCAACATACGACTGGTGCGGCTTGAGTACCTTTTCAAGCTTGCGGAAGCCGGCCGTGTCTGGCCACGGCGCCAAGAGGCGGAGAGCGAAGTCTTTCAGGCTGCAGATGGCACGATGCGCACAGCATTGGTGACGACGGAGGAGTTGCAGGATCCCAAGCTGCACCTTGGAGAAGGAAAGGTCATCCTCTCTGTGTCACATACATGGGAATCTCAGCAGCATCCGGACCCGTGGGGCTGGCAGTTGCGTAGTCTCTTGCAGAACATTGAAGGCCACGTTGCGCCCCCCGAGCATCCACACTATTGGGTGTTCATTGATTTCATGTGCCTGCATCAGTACAAGCGCAGTGAGGAGGAACAGCAGTTCTTTCAAAGAGCCCTGAGGTCCATGCATTTGCTGTATGCCCATAGGTGCATTTTTCGCGTGATTCGTTTGGAGAAGCTGACCCCCGAAAGCCAGAAGTCGCTCGAGGGTTCTATAGACATGTATTGCGAGGTGACAGGCAAGTTTGAGGCAAGGCCTCGAAGTGAGTTGGTCCTGAACAGCACGCCATCCTCCCAAAGGGGATGGTGTATTGCTGAAGTTCAGTGGAACAACACCCAAGACGAGGTGTTTGGCTGCTCCCCCATGGCCCCAGCAGTGTTTCAGGAACGGGTGGCGCGAGGCGAGCACGGACTTTCGGATGGCTTGCCGTTGAAGTTTACGCACCGCTCTGATTCAAAGCTGGTGATTCAACTGCAGGAGGAGGTTTTCCTGCAACATTCCAAGCAACGCAAGGTGCTTGTTGCATCGTTCCTGCCTCAGCACGAGGTTGTGATTTTGGCGACCGCGCTGCCGCATTTCGTGAACCTGGAACAGCTCAGCATATGTTCACCTCCAGAAAACTTCAACTTCGGGAATAGCATTATGGATCTGGCACATGGCCTTGAACGTCTTCGTCCTGAGAGGCTAACTTGCTTGGAAGTGGAGGGGGAAGGGATTGGGGATGCCGGTGCTGCAGCTCTTGCCGCTGCAATCGCCAGTTGCAAGGAGCTGTCAAATCTTTATATATCAAGTGACAACATCGGGGATGCTGGGGCAGCAGCTCTGGCTGCAGCAATCCTGGAATGCAAGAAGCTGACCGGGTTCACTCTCGACGAGTGTTACATGATCGGAGATGCTGGAGTGGCAGCTTTAGCCGCCGCGAGCCTAGCAGCCCCATGGGTAGAGTTTGCGATGGGACGACATATTTCAGTTCTTGCGGATAGGCTGCACCACGAGTGGGGCAATCGCACTTCTGGCGCCATCTATTCCGCCGGCATCTGGGATACAACGGCAAGCCATGCCATGGCGCATCGTTCGTACCTAAGCCCCGTCCGAAAACCCAAGTTCAATCCTCTTGCGGCTGACAGGGGAAGTTTCGATCTTCCTTCGGCTGCCTGAACGGGGCGGTGCAGCCACACCCCGCGGCTTTCTCTTCCTTCGCTTGACAGTGCCGGGAGGCGGCTTGTACACGGTGGAAAGCCAATGTATACTCGACTCGAGGAGAGCACCGAAGAGCAAACTCAGTTTCTTCAGTCAATCTTTTCCCTGACCTTCCGAGTGCGGGCGTCGGAGAGGGTTGGACAAAAATCTTTTCAGTCATTGTTGTTTGCATGCTCCCAAGTAGTTGTAGTTTCACTCAGCAGAGCAACCATATGCCTCGCCTGGATGATCCGAGTGTGAGCGCCGAAACCCTAAGCCCTATTTCAGGTGCTGCCAGTCTTCGGACACTAGCCCCGATGCCGCTGCCGAAGCCATGCCAGCGATGGAGCGCTTCTGTTTGCGTTGGGTGTACGTACGTTCATGCGAGTCGTGTCTTCTGCCCGCTTGTGTAGCTGGTCTTGTTCCACATATCGGGGGGGGGCGGGGGGGCGGGGGTTCTGCTGGAGACGTGCTCATGTTAATGCAATTGAGACCCATGGGAGGAGTCTTGGCCGGCCAACCCTGGTAAGTCGGCGCTGGCAAGCTTCCTACTTTCGCAGCAAGCAGCAATTTCGTTTGCGTGCTTTTGATGTACATTGCCTGAGTCGGAATCCGTGATCAGGATGTGCCAACTGTTTCCGGTGGCAACACAGCACAGGCTGGCCAGTTTGCAGCATCGCTGTGGAGCTTCTTCTTCATGGTAGCCAAGCCAGAGCCAACGATCCACCGTCAACGCCTTGCACGGGTCATGAGATTCACATCGCTGCGGTTGGGAGAAGCAGGGTGCAAACTTTTCGCACAGGAGCGTACGTATAAAGTGCGACTGGTGAAGACTTGGCCTCAGACTCCGTACTCAGTATCCGTGAGAGTGATGCAAGAGGAAGTTGTGAACATGTGGTAAAGCTAGATGGAGTCGTTGCTTCAAGGAAAGAAGGTCAGAAGTTGGGTCTTGACGTGGACTACATGGCCGAGCCATGGGCTCAACTTGAGGAGGGAGGTACTGTGCTGCGGCACGGCCTAGAGCACGCCCGAACCAAGGCGCAGCGTGCTCCCAATCTTGGTCATCTCCGGAGGCATTGCTGAGTGGGGAGCTTGTCACCTACTAGCGACACGAGCATGTCGAAGAACCGGCGGGTGATAAGGATGTGGAACAAGCAACACCCAGACAAGAAGATGAACACGGGTGCCCGTGCCCAAGCACAGCTCCGGAGTTGTTTCAGATTGAACACTCATGAATCAAGACTGAAGCCATGAGGACAGCATCACCGAAGTTAATGGCATCAAAGGCGGGACTGTGCCGCTGCTGGGACCAGGCATTTGAAGAGCCATGCTGAGGAAATGTCGCCCTGATGCTGGAGAAATGCAAGGCAGACCAAACTTTGGAGCCCGGCCCAAAGACTTCGCTGAGGATCCTCAAGAGCTCACCAACTCATTGACGTTGCTGCCAGGTTGACCGTTGTTAAGTGCTTGACGTATGGACATTTGGTCCGGAGCTGAGCTTGCAAAGGACTTAATTTATGCTTTATGTCTTGCTATTCTGAATCAGCTCCATCGTCTGGTCTGTGGTGATGGGAAACCATTCTTCGGCTCATGATCCCAGCGAGGAGGGGCGCGGATGTGTCAAGCCAGGAAACAGCATCGTAGTTCCCGTCGGCAAGCTGTACTGGAGCGCACCATCTGCCCCCCCGCTTCGAGCGATTCGACACCCCTTTTTTAATTCGCAGGTCGCGGACTTGGAGAAGCTGATGCTGGTGAAGGGGTGTGGCCCCATCATGCCAGGAGCCTACGTGGAATAAATGAGCACCCCTCACATGCCGGCTAGCAGACCTCTCAGCTAAGGGTCCGACTCTCGTGGCACGACGCCGGCGTATTTAATGGTGCCGCCTTCCTGTTCTTTGCTTTCGCAGCTGTCGATGCAATGAGCAGAGACTGTGATAGTCCGACTTATTCTATGCACGAAAGCTATACAGTCCTCCTCCCACAGGGGCTGACGGCTGCCCCAACGCTGCAATGCGTCTTGCTGGCTTCTCCCCCAGAGAGGTTCTGACAGCTTTCGAACAGCCACCAAAGATCGAACATCGGAGCCTTGCTGAGGTGGGGGTGAACACGCCTTCGGGGCGAATGCAGGGCTGCCGAGCGCTTATGAGGTTTCACTCTTCGGACTTTCTACCACGGACGGTTCTGCTTCTGAAGCGAAAACCGGCCGTGGTCCTGCAAGCAACTGAGGCCGCAAGTGGCGATTCCTCTCTTGCAGGCCATCAGTGACAAGTGAGCCGACTTGTTCGGGCTGCTGGCTTGACTCGGCCGCCAGCCTAGCTCGAATTTTCCGTTCTAGGTACGTGCCAAGACTCATCTCCCATTCGGACCTCTGGGCACTTGCGGCCAACGTGGCCATCAAGGCATCCGCCCGGAAACATTAGAAGCAACTGGTGCTAATGGGTGCATGGCCTGTCGTCGGAGGTGATGGGAGGACCTGACATCGTGACGCACTTCGGCCGTGTGGATGCCGGGAACTCTCGACCATCTTTGGCTCTTTCACGGAAGCGTGAGATGACAGCCACTTGCTGTGAAGGCTCAGTCGCCCTCCGAGGGAGCTACTTCTGCAGTCGGGCGACTTCCGGACCGTGGCCGCCACTCAAGACCCCCAAAGGCCCAAAGCATGCCCACGACCGAAGAAGTCTCGGAGGATGGCGACAAGGATGCTCAACATCTTCGCGACATCTTCCGGCCCAAGGCTCCCGAAGCCTCCGGAAGAGCTCCGATTGCGTGACTCGTCCTGCAGGGCTTCACTGACAAGGATATTGTCGCCCTGTCCGGTGCGCACACAGTTGGGTTTGGCTCCGAGCTGATCCGGGATGCGATGGGGGCAGGAAGGGGAGGAGTCTTCAGGGGGGGCACGCTTTCCTTGCAAGACAGCTTGCACAAAGGTTTGGCATGTAGGCTTCCGGGTCGACTCCATACCGGGACATGAAGCTTCGCACGGGAGCAACGGCAGTTTACCCAAGAGTGGTATCGGCAGAGCGACATAGTGCCACGATTGATGCGTTGGTTCCTGTGTGATTGTATGGTGCGCTCTCTAAAGTAATTTCCGTGGTTGCAGAGATTTCGCTCACAAAACCAGCAGGCAACACTCCAGTGTCTGGCTTTGAAAGCAGGCTTGCCACGGGTTCTCCGAATTTAGTGTCGGCATGTTTCGAGCAGGGAAATATGCATGTTTTTGAGGGAATTGAACACAGCAAAGGCATTCGTTCAGACGAATTGCACTTCGACAGAACTCAGAAGGCAGGCCACGTACGCGATCTGAGGATGGCAATTCAACAGCAAATGGCAAGCATGAGCATGACTCCAGAACTCCACGACGAAGACGCGGAAAGATTACTAGAAGAGGGAATCATTACCAGAACCGGGAGTGTGGTGTGTAGATACTTCGCCGGTCTCTGTCAGTGTCAAGCAAAAATGTGCTAATTGCCTCACAGATAGTGGCTGTCCAACTGACGAAACTGATAGACCCTTCGCTTGGCCAATTCAGGGCTTGCCATGCGGATCGATCTGGCTTTGAAGGACCATGGACAGCAGTCGGGAGCTGAGAGAATGACTCGTTTTAACAGCTCTTGAGTGCCCCGGTCATTGGTCCGTGTCGCTCCGTTCGCGATTCTACGAGTGCAGACGCTGCTGAAGTTCTCCACGGGCTGGTGCCAAAGCTCAGGATAAGCTCAAGTTCGACAACACCTACTTCCAGGCCCGCGTAGGAGTCCCTTGAGGACAAAGGCGCAATGTTGAACATTCAGGACCTGCTGAACAAGACCTGGAGCATGGAGACGGTCAAGTCGGGGAACAAGCAATACAGGTGGGCTAGGGGAGTCCTACGGGAAAGTCATGACAAGGTGTGAGCTTGGCCCTGAGTCTCCTTTGACTTTCTGCCACGTGCCGCGATGGCAGGTCTGGCAAGGAGATGATGTTAACAACTGCAGGGATCTCAGCCCTATCTCCGACCGGAGCTGTGGTGAGTTCTCTGGAGCTCAGGACATGGCTCTCGTTGAAGACCCCAAGCTCAAGGAGTTCGTGTGCAGCTTATCCCAGAGTGTCGGGAGTGTTTTGTCCCCTTCCCGACGACATGCCATTGTTGAGGTGGTCAAGTACGCCTCGAATCAGGGTGCTTTCTTCGATGATTTCAAGGAGGCCACACATCACGATACATGTTGCTGCGTCCCCTGGTTTCCGTCGCGCTGTCTAGCTTCAACGCGCTTGCATGTTCCTGCTGAGTTGCCAGTGAGTCACCCGTGCGCAGGCATGGGTGAAACTGCAGGAGCTCGGATGTGGTCCGCGACTTGTGTGGAAATCCATTTTCGCTCCGATGCATGGCGCAGATGGGAAGTCGTCCTTTGCACCAGGCCAGCTGCGAGACATCCTCTGAGCAAGGCTGCCGCCTGGTCTTTGGGCAATCTGCCTTTTGCAGGTTGGCCTTCGCCTGACCGCCGAACCGTGCACGTGGCTTGCCATAAATCTCATGCAACGTAGAACCCTCTCGGGATTCTAGCAGCATATGAGCAGCAGGAGAGAAGCGCAGTGCCAGAAACACGTGCATGGCCAGCCTTTCACAGGAAAGGCCAGGGCTGCGGGTAAGCCTCGAGCTTTCATGACTGAGTACATCAAAAGCGCCTCGCATCTAGTCTAAAGTCTGGGGTCCGAGTTGCAGGCCTGAGGCCATTTTAGGTCTCCGCGTCGACTTGTGCAAAAACATGTCCTCTTCAAGAAACTAAGCACGGCCCAGGAAGTTCCGAATCAAGACGGCTTGGCTTGCCCTGTCAGCCAGGCAGCCAAGCTTCATGCCCCCCAGGGCATAGCTCTGCAAGCTTCAGCTCTGCGGTATTCGGCTTGCGAATCCTGCATGTCGTTTTCAAGCAGGTTGAAGTTGCGGACATGTGGGCAGAGTATTCCTTGTCATTGACAGTCGCCGTATACATGGTACTCTATTCATATATGTCGCTCTGCAGATGACATGCATTCGGGACTCATGCTTATCGTCCGCCAATGAAGGAGGCCTGAAAGGCTTGCCTTCCGAAACTTTTTCATGGTGCATTGCAAGCATGAAGCATGTGCTCATGCACGTGTTTCTGGAAAGCTTCGACGTGGGACCCGTAAAGGATCCTCAGTTGCGGTGCCGACGGTCAACGCAGCCTTCGCACGAACCGCTAGGACGGCCTAGTCTTTCCTCCAGCTTCGTCACTGTATCTCTCTGTTGAACGTGGAGCATCGCGCATGTCACAAAAGCTCTCTCGCCTAGTCTTTGGCGAGAGGCTGTTCTTCGCACTGTTTGGAACCTCATGTGCAGTCAGCGGAAAGAGGAGAGCGCCTGCCGAACGTCTACTGTAGCATCCCGGTTAGGCCCCACAAAATCAGGCAAGGGCTGAAGATAGGAAAGCTGTAACGGGAGTGACCTTACGAAGTACTAGCCCTCGGCCAACGGCGCACAAGTGCTCAGCACCCTGCTCTCATGGATCGAATGCCCTTTGTTTGCGTCATCGCATGATAATGCATGGTAATGCTCTGCGAACAGCCATGGTAAACATTTGGTGTGACTTGCGGGCTGGTCTCAAAGCGGGTTCGCGGGCAGAGCCGCTGCCTGCGCCGCAGGAGGCTGGTCCGATCATACAAGAGTCAGCGACTGCTTACACACCCGCCACCACACGTGTGCAGCATGCACATGTGCTCATGTTGCCTTGGAAGGCTCCGTTTTCAAAGACCCAGATATGGGCAACACTGCGTGCCCCCCTCTGCCGGATGAATGTTATAAGAGTAGATGCTACATAATTTTGGTGCGGCTTGGGTGCCTGGCGCCTGCCAGACCGAGGTGCTGCCAGTCAGAAGCCAATGATGGTGTCGCTGACGCGCACGTGGATGCCAAACCCATCCTGGACCGCCTCCAGCTTCTAGCTTTTCAGGTCTTGCGAAAGTCTCTAGCCTGCCAAAGAGACTCGTCTGGCAACACGGGTTTCTCTGTTGCAGGAAAGTGCACTGCCAGCAGCACCTTTCATCTCTGGCGGTGATTCAGAACAGGCATGGCAACTAGTTTCGAAGTTTCACTTTGCAGCACCACAGCCCGTGCCTGCCAGCCTTCGACATGACGAGACGAAACGGAGAGCTTTCAGAGTCGCAGGAACGGATCTATCAGGTGACACTTTCAAAGTCTGGCACTCAGGATAATAAATGCTCGAGCACGTCAGGGACTTGAGTTGATTGCCAGCTCTTCTCGAGGTCACCGGGACAGAAGCTAGGTCTGGATGTCGACTACATGGCAGAGCAGCGCCCCGAGACGAAGCATTAAACGGAAGCCACTTCGAAACCCTCGGACGGCGTTGGATCGGAGCGGCTGCAGGCGGAAGATTCTGCCCATCATGCACGTTACTGGCGGCATTGCCGAGTGACACCCTCAGTTCTGTAGCATGGATCGCGAACAGTCTGCGAGGAGCCTGGGTCATGCACGAGCAGTGCCATGTAGCAGCGAACGTCAGTTTACGATGGACATGTTTGGCTTCTTCACAGGGAATGGAACAAGAAGTACCCGGACAGGAAGCTGAACAGTGGTGCTGCTTGGCCAGTGATGGTTCGATCAATGAAGATGCCATCAAAGCCTGCTAGAGCTGAGGATAGCATATTGGAGGTGAACGGCATTTCAGGCTGGTGGTAAAGTGAGACTACGCAGCTTGAGTGCTTCATGGCTACTATCAGGGGATGTCGTAGAGATGCTCGAGAGATGCAAAGCGGACGACACGCTCAAGCTCCGTCCTCGTTTTTCTAGCAAGGGTTTCAAGTTCTGATTGCTTGAAGTGATCCTGGCCCCGATGATGAACAACTGGAAAACTCGAGTCTCCGACGTCCCAGGATGAAGCTGTGCCGATGCCTAACTTACGAGCACTTGGTCGCCAGCTCAAGTCCGGTAGTCGTGGTCGGTCGGTTTGGCTTGAATCTACTTCAACTTTCCCGTGCTGAGGTAGAGGACTTGGAAAAACTCGTCCGGAGAAAAGAATGCGGGCCTATAATGCACGGCCCTCTGCTCCCAGGTAGGGAAACTCGTCGAAAGATTTCAGAAGTCGCAGTTGAGAAGATTCGAAAGTAGCAGGTTGCGGTTGGATAAGCTGTCTACCAGGGATGGCTGTGTGTCTGCATCTGGCGGTCTCTCGAACACACGAGGTCCAATGCACAGGTTTGATGAACTTGCTTTCGGCCCGTGAGACCGCGGTTGACTAAGGGTGCGGCTTTCTTGGCACGATGCCGGCATCTACAACGGTGCCGCCCGATGCTTTGCCCGCAGAGTTGGGTTGATGTGTTGCAACTAGGCAACAGGTGAACGTAGAATGTTGGCTTCGCACACTTGTTGATGTTGCCGGAAACTTGGAACGTGTTGAATCTGGGGAGTATGAGAAGCAACACCTTTCTGGTGCAGCCACGTTGTCAGTCAAGACCTTGCGAGCGCTCTTTCGACTTGCCGTTTGTGCCAGGATTTGCGGCGTTCAATCACAATTTTTGATTCGTGTCACCTCCGCAGAATTGAGTCGGCATGGGAACGGCCTCGCTGGTTCATTCCTCAGCTGACTCTCGCAAGCGTGCAGGTGCTGATGGCTGCCCGAATGCTGCGATGCGCCTGCCTGGTGATTGGCTAAATGCTTCGCGTTCCAGCATGGCAGAGCTTCGTGCACGAGTGCTTTTTACAGAGAGATGCATCTACACTTTGTCAAGGAGGAGGCGAGCATGCGCTTGCAGCGAATGCTGGACTGCTGGAGCCCAAGTTCCACCTACAGTCAGTCTCGCTGCAAAGCAACAGGCAGCAAGACAACTGAGCTGCAGGAGCGATAGCTTGCGTGAGAGCTATTCGCGGATGGATTCTGCTGCAGCTTCTTCTTGCGATGCAGGCCGCAGGTCGCGATTCCGTTGTTAGAACCTCTCGCAGCCAAGTGCGCCCTCCATCTTCTGTGAAAGCAAGAGCCCAGAAGGCTGCGACTCCGACTGTGTGGCCGTGAGTGGGGCTTCGCCCGCAGCATCTGACTGAGGTACGTGCCACGAATGATCTCTCACGCAGATCTGTGGGCACTGGCTGCCAATGTTGCCATCAAGGCCTTTACAAGTTCCTGATGGGGCATGAGAAGCCGGTCGAATGTCGCGATGCTAAGCAGTGCATGCTTACGGCAGTCTTCGAACTTTGAAGAGGTGATGGGAGGTCCAGAAATCACGACTCGCTTTGGACGCTTAGATGTCGGGGTCTTCACAATTCGATTGACGGCGGCTGTAGGGCGACTCGGCGGTACGGCAGACATCACGTTGTCTGAGGCCGAACGTGTCGGCGATGGTGCATCCTCAGCGACGGGACGACTTCCGGACAGCCGCAGAAAGTGGACCTGAACCAAACCCTGCACTGACACAGATGCAAGTTCAATTTGTAGATTTTACAAGTAGTATATTGCAGTCAACTGTAGTCTGTTGTGTCAGATCACCTAACACAGGCACTGCTGACGTGTTGCACGTGCGAACGGCGAGTACTACGCGATGCGTGCTGTGACATTTTCAGGACGGTGACAAGGATGCGAGACATCTGCGAGATATTTTCTACCCCAAGGCTGGCCGCCATCTCCCGTCCTGACTGAGGTCTCTGCACCTTGCTTTCAGAGCTGACAACCCTCCTCCATCCTTTCAACTTGCAACATCTGCCTTTCAGGGATTCGATGACAAAGCGATCGTCGCTCTCTCTGGGGCTCACACTGTCGGGTCAGCTGCGCAGACCTTCAAAGCTTTGGGCACCTACCAGTACTTGCGCACCGCCCTTGGCCTCAACTCAGGAGCTGTCATTTGGACCGCTCTGGATTCGATGGAGCTTGGACAGCAGCCTCGGTCTCGGCACACGCTTTGATCAATGTCCTCACCACCCTGCGCCCGCGAAGTATAGAACCCTGCATCATCTCGAGGGCTTGCACGCAGTCGCACACTTCACCCCTGCCCTTGAGGACAAGCTCAAGTTCGACAACTCATATTTCAAGGTCCTGTGCAGTAAGCTCAACCTTCTACTGGGTTTCGATGGTAGCCTTGCAGGACTTGATGCACAGAAGTTGGTCGTCCGAGACCACAAGCAAGGGGAACCCACAGTTCAGGCAAGGGGGACTGCATGCAGTGCCGAAGTTCTCACGGTAGGTCAACGGGTGGTACGTAGCTTCAGCCGTTCGGCAGGTGTGCAGAGTCCAAGACCATGATGCTGACAACGGTGCTGGCCTCAGTCACGTTATGGGAGGTTCCACGACTTACCGTGAGTGACTTTACCCTGATCCTCTCAGCATCAAGCTGTACGATTCCTTCTCTTCGCCGCAACTCCGACGCCATGGCTGCAGTCTTCCCGGCCAATCAGGTGATCGTGGTCGGCGGCGGCCTGGCAGGCATGTCCGCCGCCAACACCGTGGTGGAGCTTGGTGGCCGCACCATTCTGTTGGACAAGTCTTCCTTCTGCGGAGGGAACAGCACCAAGGCCATCCTGTCAGGGATCTACAGGGATTCTGTCAGGGGATGTTTAGGATTTAATGTTTGTTTGAAGTGCTTCTTTCAAGGTTTCCTTATCAAGCTAATAGTAGAACATACCCCAAGCCCCCATTCTGACAATCAATGCAGCGTACGGATATGCCTGCTCTGAGGATCTTCATCGCAGACACGCTGAAGGGCGGCGCGAAGAAGCCGGAGCTTGCCAAGGTGCTGTGTGCCAACAGCGCTGCGGATGTTGACTGGCTCGTGGACAAGTTCGACCTCGACCTCTCCCTCGTCGCGCGCCTCGGAGGCCACTCCCAGCCGCGCACGCACCGCGGCAAGGAGCGCTTCCCAGGAATGACCATCACCTATGCATTGATCCAGATGCTGGAGAAGGTTGCTGAGAAGACCAACCGAGCTCGCATCGTGACGAAGGCGGAGGTGTACAAGCTCCTCGTGAATGCTGGGACCGTCGTTGGCTGCGAGTACAAAAAGGCCGGCAAGAGCGTGAAGGAGTTCGGGCCCATGGTCCTGGCCTCGGGCGGTTTCGGTGCCGACTTCGGAGCCGATTCCTTGTTGGCCACGTACCGGCCAGACTTGCTCCACCTCCCCACCACTAACGGCGAGCACTGCACCGGTGATGCCATCAAGATGGGAGAGGCCATCGGTGCAGCCACCATTGACCTCGAGTGGGTCCAGGTGCACCCAACCGGTCTGGTGAAGCCGGACGATCCCGATGCCAAGGTGGGACTATAATAATCCAGTGCTGTTAAGTTTAGTCTTGACATGTCCGTGTTCGATTTTGATGGTTTTCCGTGGAAAACGATAAGAAGAGAATAACACGATAACAAAACGATAACGCATTTTTCGTTGTAAAACGAGAAGAAGAAAGTAAAACGATAACGCCATTATGGGATAATGATTTTTGTAGGGTGTTATTATATAATCCCAGGTGAAGTTCTTGGCGGCGGAGGCCCTTCGAGGTGTTGGTGGCATCGTCCTGGATGCCAATGGCGACCGCTTCTGCAACGAGCTGGGCCGACGCGACTATGTCACTGGAGAGATGTGGAAGAACAAGCCACCCTTCCGCCTGTGTTTGAACAAGGCTGCAGCCGATGAGATCATCTGGCACGCCAAGCACTACACCGGCCGTGGCGTCATGAAGTTCTATGCCTCGGGCGAGGACTTGGCAAAGGACATGGGCGTCCCTCTCCAGAAGATTGTCGATGCCCACCAGAAGCACTTCGAGGCGGCAAAGAAGCAGGAGAAGGATCCCGATGGTGGCCCGTTCCCTGCTTACCCGTCCGGCAAGACTTGGGACGAGCCCAGCGGCAAGACGGGCAGCGGCAAGAAGTTCTTCCACAACATCATCGATGGCTCTAAGGTGCCTACCGAGCCCTTCTACGTGGCAATCATTACCCCGGTGATCCACTACTGCATGGGTGGGCTCGAGTGCACCGTGGACGCCGAATGCATTGACAAGAAGTCGGGCAAGGTCATTCCTGGACTTTATGTTGCTGGCGAGGCGGCTGGTGGCATCCACGGCAACAACCGCCTGGGTGGCAACTCTTTGCTGGACTGCGTCGTATTTGGCCGAGTTGCTGGCAAGGCCGCCTGCAAGTTCACCTTCGGTGCTGGTGAGAAATTCAAGCCTTGCCCACCGCCGGGCGAGCTGAAGGATTTGTGCAAGTGAGGGCGCCGGGTTTCATTTTAATGACAGCCTCCAGATGCTGGTTAGTAAGCCGTGCAGTTGTTTAGCATGTAGTTCTTTTTCATCGTGTGTCTGGTGGCTGGAAGCGAAGCACAGACTGTGCTTTTGTTCCGCACAGCGAGACGAATTCCCACTTGTACACGCTCACCCTAAACCTTGATTGGCATCGGGCTTTGTCTCGCTTTGAGGTATTCCGTCTTGAAGCATCAGCCCACTCGACGGGCTCTCTCTAGATAGGGGCCGCGCATCCTCGTGGGAAGCCGCGGCGATGGACAAAACAACAAAATGTCGGGTAAGGCAGGGAGCTTGCTTTAGCGCGAAGTGCATGTTTTGGCCTTGGGTTGACTTGGTTGCATCTTCCTTTCCTGTCGTGGGAGCCGAGTGAGTCGCGCTCGGCCTTCTCCTTTCCCGGGATTGTGGGATTACATTTTATTTCTTGGGGTGGTCAGCACTTGAGGTTCTTTTGCATTTTGCTGTACTTCTATGGCGGGTGTCCTTTCTTAACTTAGAATCCCACGGG